GTTTATTGAGATGGTGCGAAAGGCGGCTGAGCTGAGCATGAAATACGACAGCAAAAGAGGTGGCGAACAAGAGATGGACCTGGATGTGAATGGCAGCCACGAGTGGGGAGTCAACATGGACACTGACGGTGGAGACCACAGAGCGGAACTGACCAAGTTGGAGAACAAGATGCTCAAATATGGCCAATCTCTACAGGGAGAGTATGCCGGCGATTCGAGAAAAGAGATTGGCAAGGCATTGAACGAGATTTGGGCGCTAGTGGCATACAAGAACCCGCTCAAAGAGCCACAAGTAAGCCACCTATTGGAAGAAAGGGGCCGAGTAACAGTTGCTGAGGAGCTGAATTCTGCCATTTTATGTGAGTCTTACGGCTGGCCCCCCTTCTCTTCTCTTCCAAAACATGTTTCTAATATACTGTGAAATCACAGCATCACTCGGAAAGTCTTCCCGGGCATCACTGGAAACGTTGTATGCGCAGACTAGCGTGCTACTTGAAGATTTACGAAAGGATGGCGGTCCAGGTGCGTTTGTATCGCTTCAGGACGTGGTAGATAGCATTCAGCAGTTTCCACAGATGTGAAGAGACTACGCTATCGCCGTTCCTCTACCTGGGATGTGCATAGTTGCAGCGGTCTTTGGTTCTTTGGCCCCTCCTCTATTTTGTATTTTTCACTTATGGCTATAATCGTGCTTTGGAGTTTTGGCGCTGGGATTTCCTACCTTTTTATCACATGCGCATTTGCCGACTCCCACCCTCTTTGTATTCTTTATTTCTTCTCTCCTTCCTATCTTCTTACCTTGTTTGTCACTTAAGGGGTAATATTAGATTTAATAGGGACATTGGCGGTTAGTCGGACGCGGTACGTTCAAAGTCAAAAATATCAAACGGAAATATCAGGGACGGGGTCAAAAATAATGAATGGCTGTGACTATGATTTCTTTCCCTGTGGGCGTATCGGAAGAAACTTGGATATGCGCTGAGCTGAAATGTGATGGAATGCTGTACAGTAACATAATGGCAGACGGACTGCGGCTGGGTCTATGAGTTGAAATCGTCGGAAATTGTATGTGAATAGTTGACTTTTTGTTCTATTATGCTATCGTGGAGCTGCGTTCCACCTAGACCTATTTCCTTTCTATTTCTCTCCCCGAGATTCTGGCCAACATCTGTCATATAGTCTTCTTCTGTGCTCCACCAAGTTACCGAACTTTGCTAGGCACTTGGCAAGCGAATTCTCATCCCCGGCCCAGCCAAACTCGGGATCCAGGATCAAGTAGGTGTACGCAAAGACCTCGGCGTCGAACAGGCCCGGCTCGGGGCGGCCAAAGAACCACTCGTCGTCGGAGAGCAGGGCGGAGAGCGAGCGCAGGGCGTCAGTGGCGTCGGAGAGGAGCTGGTCGGGGGATATGATGCTGGAGCGGGTGGTCTTGAGGATCTCGGCGGTGGCGGCGCTGCGGAGGGCGTGGAGAGAAGGGATTTGTAGGATTGGCGAGGGGGGGAGGTAGAGGGTTTTGAGGAGGGGGGTGTTGAGGGGGTTGAGATAGAGAGTGTGTAGCTGGATGTATGGTTTGCGTTAGTTTATTACAAGGAAGAGAGATGTTGAAAGATGGTTTTTATAGCGTACCCAGGCGGGACGAAGACTCTGTGAGAGCAGTGCTTCGTAGGCTTCGATTCGAGAAGAGGAGAAGGAGTCGTCGGATATCATGAGATAGGAATGGTCTTTGGCGTAGCGCTCGATCTTGCTGCCGGTGAGAGGTATTGTAGGTTTCAATGCCGGAGCAGGTTTTGGCTCTGTCGGTGATGATGAGGATTGTGCTATTGTTGGAAGGAGGAGGAAGGGCAATGCGCCGGAGGGAGAGGCGTGGTTGGTGGAGGGCACAATGTCGACTTCAACGCCGGCTATACGAAGGAAGGTCTGTAGATGGGAGTCAAAGTCAGTTGAAACAGGTTAAACGATGATATGATACATCTTCATGTAATAGCGAATTGGAAAGCTCACCTGCCACTTCAGGCATTGCGGATTGAAGCTCGGCCGGCCGCTTCGAGCATCCTCCTCGGACCTGGCAAAGACGTACAGACGAGGCCGCGGCCGCGTCCTTTCGGGGCTTCGTTCGGGGAGAGGATCGGCGGGGAGGGTGGTCAAGGGGAATATCTTGAAGAGCTCGCGGACGGGGGCCGGCACGGCGAACCAGCCGGGGCGAGAATTGGGGCCGGTGACGGCGGCCATGTGAGGATGAGGGTGTGTGGTTTTCTTTCCGTTGTTGTAGGATTTCTGGAGTTTGAACCGGGGAGGGGGTGTGAATTTGCTTTAGTTATGCTCCTCCTTCTTGTTTTGTGTGTGTATTCCCACCAATTCGGTTCAAACTTGATACGTTCTTGTGAAACCGAGTAGAAAGGGTGTGTGGAAACGATAAGAGGCTAGACTGGCCTTCTGGAAGCTTGTCGTTCGGGAGAAATCTCGGAAGAAAGAAAAAAGTAAGAAGTGACGTTTCTGGCGTGAAGAAAAGAACGTGGGGCAGAAAGAGAAAAAGCGGGGGTGGCAGGGCGATTAGAAGTGGGGTTCAGGGTCCAGCGGTGCTCTTTTTGGGAAACGTTGGGATTGAATTTTTAATTCTTTATTTGGCACTGGCGACTGATGGAGAGCAGAGCAGAGCAGAGCAGAGCGTATCGAGTCGTGCAAGGGTTTGCATACAAGGCCCGTCTGCGGTATCTGCGTGTCTGTTTCAACATCCCATCCTGCTACTGTACGGTGTTGGCTAATCGGCGCCGAATGCGTCCAGCGCGGCAGCAGAATCAGGTCATTCATGGTATGCATCGCCTAGCGCAAAACCCACTGTTCGAGTTGCAGCAGGCCGTATCATGCAACGATGTACAAAAGTAAGAGGGGGGGCGAAAAAAAAAACGCACGAGTCGTAACGCATGTGTCGGGTGTTTTTCTCCTGCTGTTAATTTCCCACTCTCGCGATTTTCGCAATCGGCCCTAGATAAAGAGACAGAACAGACTAATGATTCCCTCCACTCACTATCCATTGGAAAAGTGGTAAATTTCGGCAAACACGATACAAACTATCCCCCTTCACCGCTCCTTGGTTACCCGTAGAGAAGAATGGAAAGAATGCTTTGGCTGCTTGTAAATGTGATAAATCCCCTTTTTTTTGGTACCAACTCATCTGCTTCCAGATAGCAACAGCAAGGTAGTGATACCAGGCATCGCAGGCCATAAGCATAGAGAGGTACCTTTGTGCCGCATTTGGCACCAAAGTGTACCTGCACGTGCATGGCAAGAGATGGACAGCGCAGCAAACTGGGCAGAAGCATGCATGATGCAGAAACCAGACCAGGGGCCAAGGACCCTTGAAATCAGTCCGAGACCATCTGCAGATCTGGGGCCGCCAAATGCAATTTTCTAGGCGTGTTAGCCGACCCCGACCTGACGGAATAGCCACTCTGGGTAATGGAGACCTAGCAGTCGAACTAGAGCTGAGGTAGAGAGTGAAAATGCTTCTGCCTAGTCCTTGGCTCTTTTTTTTTAATCCTTTTTGGCTGTTGGCTGTGTAGCTCCGCGCCTCGGATCGGTAAATCCGATCTCTTCTCCTTGTCTTCTGCTCGTGTAGTAGCATTGCTGTTTCTGGGTGCAGCAGCAGCCATGCAGGAAGCAGCACAATGTGGCCTCCTCTCATTCGATCTGGCTGAGCGTTGTCTGTGTGTAACGGCTGATTTTTTTACATAAATTTGGGGGTAGCCGTAACCAACAGCAGCAATGCAGAAATAGGTACCTATCAGATTCTTCCACATCTCGCTGTACAGACTACAACGGGCAAAGTACACAACTACTTGCAGAGGCAGATGCGCCATGGCGTCGAACCGCTCTTCCCCGACTCGGGGTAGCCTCTGGAGACAGCAAAAGGTACTTGTATGCAGCCGAGACCTTGGCCGGTGAAGATGTAGATTTAGTTGCTGGATCGCCAGAGACGTGGGGTTCGCCCAGTTTCGTCTTGTCTCTTACTTTATACCCGGGATTCATTAGCATGTAGATTCCTGCTGCACGCAAAGTACTCTGAACAATGACACCCAAGGTGAGCAGTCACGACGTCGCAGTCCACCACCACCACCACCACCACCACCACTGAAACAAGGAAAATGAAACCAATCAAAAAAAGATGAAAAGACGAAGAGTAGAAAAAAATCCCGATTCTTCCTGCACGAATCGTCGCATCACGCGGCGGTACATGCCGAGGCAATCCCGGCCTACAGCGCTGCTTCTATCCCCCAAAAAGTCCCTTTTTCCCGAGTCCTTTGGGGAAAAAAGGTACTTGTCGCTCCCCCGACATGATCGCCCGCGACAACGTACTCCGAGTTAGTGGCTACACTGTCGTCATATGTAAGAGAAAGTCTTTCCCCCCCACAGAGAAGGCCCGGCAAATCTAGACTCTCTCCTCTCCAACAGCCAACCCTCCTTGACTGTTTTTATTCCGCCGAGTAGATAAAGGAGTGCTAATCCGCTTTCTCGTGCCCTCTCTTCTATAGTCTCATTCCCCCAAAATATCGCCCATATTTGTTTCATTCTTCTTCCATCTCTCAGCCTCCTCTCCTTTATTCGTGGAACAAAGTACCGAAAAGGGCCGTTCCAGATCTCGGGTCTTTACGCTTTTGCTTGCAGCAGCCCCACCAGCAGCCAAACCTGGACGCACACACACGCGCCGGCTGAATTCGTCCAATACCGTCTCCTCCGGAATTTATACAACCGTCGCCTTCTATCCGCCTTGGATCTCGAGATTCGAAATCGTTGCCGCAAAAGTTTTCTCTTTTTTTTTTGATTTTCACAAAAAGAAAACGAAAGAGTGCAGATCCCCCAGGTTTCAGCTGCAGCAAATCATCATCGAGTCGAAATATTCGCCATCGTTTGCTCTACCGGCTGTCTATTACACCGCCAGCCACCAACTCTTCACACAACCTCTGACGACTCCTATAACATTTTCTTCGCCACACTCCACAATCATGGATCCTTCTTCTTCCACAGCCGCCTCCTCATCTGCCGCCTCGTCAACAAGGCCGTCTCCCAGCAGCTCAGCCGCCGCCATGGCCCCGGCCCCCATCCAGACCAAGGTCCCTTCCACCGAGCCCTTCCTGAAGGACTTTACCCTCCTCGCCGAGGCTGCCAAGCGAGCGCAGGTCGCAGTCATGGTGCGCGACTTTGAGGATGTCGGTATCTGATGAAGAAAAGACCATCAGTTGCGTTGAGATTGGTGGCTCGCTTCGTGGCTTTGAATGGTTTTCGGACGAGACTCACAACCAGGGTGTGGCTTCTTTGGGTTGTTAGCCGCGGCAATACTACGATGCGATCTATCCAACCGAGCACAATCTGGAGAAGATCGCTCCAATCTCAATTCGTTTTTGTTATACTGCGATATATTCGTCTTTCATTTTTTTAATGCATCGGAGATCAGGCGTCAGAAAGTTATACACGCTCAATATTTGGGATTTCTTGAATTTGGTTAATGGAGCTCTATCAGCTGGATGGGACGGTGTTGGTCTATTTTGGAAGGGGAAGCTTTGCGTACAGGGACATGTTGTCTTGCTGATTTCTTTTTTTCTTCTTCCCCTGTCTCCTCCTCTTCCCCTGTTATTCCTCGCATATAAATTATATACAACGAGCTAGAAATACCCGCATCTTGATAGTAATGAAACTAAACGAGGCAGACGTATGCTTCAAACATGGCCTCTTCTCTTTCTTCTTCCACCATCTACGTGACGAATATATGGCGCCAACAAAGCAAGCCGGCTTTGATAAGAGAAACAGGTCACTGTGACCATATACACCATGTTTATAACTTGGCCACATTAGATGCACCTCCGTCGATACGAATCAAAGCCCCGTTGCAGAATGCACCTGCTCGACTCGCCAGGAACAAACTGGCTCCCGCCACGTCCTCTGGCGTGCCAATCCTCCGCAACGGCAGCTCGCTCCGAATATACTCGCCGGCCGAGTCGAGCGTCGCCCGCATCATCTTTGTCGCAAACGGCCCGCACGCCAGCACGTTGCTGGTGATGTATCGCGGCCCCAGCTCCTTGGCCAGCACGCTGGACATGTGGTGCAGGCCGGCCTTGCTCGCGGCGTAGGCAATGTTGGACACGGTGGGCACGCGGATGCCGTCGATGCTGCCGAGGTGGATCACGCGGGCCGGGTCGTCCTGGCTGGCGATCTTTTCGAGCAGCGGCAGGCACAGCTGCGTCAGGGTAAAGACACGGTGCAGGTTGAGCGTCAGGACCTTGTTCCACGCGTGGTCCGGGAACGAGTCGATGTCGGCGCCCCAGGCCGCGCCGGCGTTGTTGACCAGCACGTGCAGGCCGGTCGGCTCGAGGTCCGTCAGGCGGCGCACGAGGTCTTGCACCTGCGCGAGGTCCTGCAGGTCGCCGGGCAGGGCGTGCGCGGAGCCGCCGTTGCGGGCGAGCGAGGTGAGCTCGGCGGCGGCGGAGGTGCAGGCGGCGGCATCGCGGCCGTTGAGGTAGACCTTGGCGCCGTTTTCGACGAAGCCTTGGGCGATCATGCGGCCGATGCCTTTGGCGCCTGGAGGGAGGGTCAGTTGAGGGAATGGGGTGTTTGAATTGAGAAAACTTGCCTCCGGTGACGAGGACGACTTTGCCCTGCGAGGTGGATGGTGAGCTGTCTGTACGGAGTAGGTCAAGAAGAGCAGACTATACCTTGACGCTGAATAGATTGTTGACATCCATGATGACTTGGTATCTAGTGAATAATTTGAATTTCCGCTTTACCAAGGCTGAATTGATTCTACTTCAAACAGTTGGAATTGTTAATGTAAAAAAGCATGCAAGTAATATTATCATCAAAGGCCAAGAGTCTATCCTAAGATGTCATCCGCAGCGTGCCTCGGCCCACGGCCAGTCCTGTACCGAGTTATGTTATGCGCTGCAATCGGACTAAACCCGTTTCGATACCAGCTTGAGACTTTTCATTGTTCAGCTCTTCTTTTTGGGGCCGAGCTTAGCGTTATCGATACGCGGACCGCAGATGAAATTCCCACTGCGGCTCCAGGAAATGCAACGTTTGGATGTCGCTTTGCAGCAAGCGTATACAAACCAGAGAATAAATAATTATTCAACCTTTTACACTGAGATGATTTGCAATGTTGTATAATGTTGTATTCTATCATTATTAGCTACATGAATTGTGTTAATCGATAAGTCTTTGCTTAATAAAAGGCAAACATGCGCCCAAAGCCTCTCACACAACCATTTCCCCAGCTCCGAATAATCCCATGCGCCGAGATCCCGCCCCACCTCCGGCTTAAACTTAGAAGACGCAATACGCTTCTACTAAGCTTCGCCGCCAGCCTCCCCATCGTCATGCTTCTCTTGTGCAAACCATCCACGCGCTCGCTTCGCTCGCTTCTTTCGTTACTCAATGTAAGCGATTGAGAATATTGTGTCGTTTGAGTTGCTATTTCAGCTTATATCTTTCTCAAATCTCGCGGGCTTTTGTCAGAACTCTTTTGCTTGGGGTAAGTTCACAGCGTGCCCCTCCATGATGCTACTACTGGCTTCATCTTCTGCCCCAAAGCCAAATTCCATAGCCAAAAAGCTGCATATATATACCTCTTCTCCCTCCCTCCGTCTCTTCTCTCTTCCCAGAACTATTCCTACCGATCTATTACCTCAATTCTAACATATAATTTTCAACTCAGACCACACACCCATAACAATGGCCACTTCCACCGCCCCCAAACTTCGCGACCACTTCGCCTCCAAGCCAGTCTCCGCCCACAACGACGCCTGGGATGCCCTCTACGCAGAGTCCTTCACGCCCTGGGACCGCGCCGGCCCATCTCTCGCCCTCGCCGACCTGCTCGCCCAGCGCACCGACCTGATCCCGCCGTCCCTCGAGCGCGACCCGCGTGGCAACCCCCTCCGCGATGCCACCGGCCAAGTCATCCGTCGCTCGGCGCTGATCCCCGGCTGCGGCGTCGGCCACGACGTGCTACTGCTGAGCTCGCTGGGCTACGACGTCGTCGGCCTGGACTACAGCCATCGGGCGCTCAATGCCGCGCGGCAGAATCAGAACAAAGTGCAGTTCAAGTCGAGCGAGGAGGGCGTCGAGTGTGGTCGCGTGACGTGGGTCTCGGGCGACTTCTTTGGCGAAACATGGGAGGGCGGAGCGGGCAGCGAGGGCACGCAAAAGTTTGACCTGATATACGATTACACGGTGGGTTGAACTCCCAAATGTTGCTTTATTCTTCCCTCTGTGTCATGATCTATATAAAGATTCCACCGCTCTATAAGCAAGGCAGCTAACACCTAATTTCTCTCGCCAGTTCCTCTGCGCCCTACAACCCTCCGAACGCCCCAAGTGGGCAAAGCGCATGTCCCAACTGCTCGCCCCCAACGGCCAGCTCATCTGCCTCGAGTTCCCCTCCGGAAAGCCTCTCTCGCTGCAGGGCCCTCCCTGGGGCGTCTGGCCCGAGGTCTACGAGGCCCTCCTCGCTAATCCCGGCGAGCCTGTCGAATACACTGATGACGGCAACGTCAAGTCGAGCACGAGTCCCAAGCAGCCTCATCCGGATGCGCTGCATCGCGTGTGTCTGGTGAAGCCGCCGAGGACGCACAAGGCGGGCTTGAATGAAGACGGGACGGTCAGGGACTTTATCTCTGTGTGGTCCCGGTAGTAACGGCGCTGGTAGGTGCTGAGGGTTTCCGTATATAAAAGTAGGATCCAAGTGAAAAAAAAAAAAAGAGGACGGTGGGAGGACCCAAAGGAAAAGGAGTTTGGCGTCTGTGAACTTTTCATCTTCCGCAAAGTAGAAGGCAGAAGGAGATCAAAAGTCCCTGTGAACCTGGGAACCAAACATAAAGTAAATAATAAAGGCCCGGTATATCATTCTCAGTATCGTCGTCATCCTCAGTCCGCCGTACTTGCCGCTGTCGTCGTCGTCGTCGTCGTCGTCGCCCTCCTCAAAGAGTTGTAATGCTCTCCCAGCCCATATCCATGTCGATAATACGCCAGCCACAACGTCTTCGCCTCATCTCCCTCTTCCTGTCTCCCGCTGATATTCTCCGTCCTCCCATCCTGAATCACCTTAATCTCAACCCCATACCGCCTCGCCACAGCCATCAACTCTAACTGCCCGCCCCACTCCGCCGTATCCCGCATCTTCTTCACATAGCCCCCGAAATCCTCCTCCAAAAACGGCGCAAAGTCGTCCTTGTGTTCCTCCATGTATCCCGTCGCCGTCTTCCGTATCGTCTTGTACGCCGGCTCTTCCTTGTCGCCGCCCAGAGAGATGTCATTATGAGAGAGCTGGTCCGCCAGCGCGGAAAACAGGCAGTGGCCATCCGGCTGAATGTCCTTCTCGGTGAGCTTGTGCGTCGCAAACGCGCTCTTCATGTATGTGCTTTCGCGCGCGCGGTGGTCTGTCATGGACGAGGCTTCCTGCTCGGCGCTTATCATGGCGGCTTCCTGCTCGGCGGCGCGGCGTGCGAGGCGCTCCTTTTGTCGATTTCGCTTCTTCCCAGGCTGAGCAGAGTTTTGGCTGTTGTCCTCTTCAATCTTGAGCTTCGCAGTCGCATTTTCCAGCACCTCGGTCCCGCTGGGCATCTCGTCGTTCTGTTCCTCTTCCTCGTCCTCTTCCCCAGCATCTTCCTCGACTTCTCCGTTCAAGGCGGCGACTTCGGAAGCTTGCTTCTCTCTCATTTGGCGTTCCATCTCGGCGCATTCGTCATTGACGCCCTTGCGCGTCTTCTTGGTGGCGTTCTTCTTCTTGCTTGTGATTCTTCCCTGGAGGTCCTTCAGCTCACGGCGGTGACGCGCCTGCATCTGTTCCAATGTTTCGGCCTCCATAGTGGTGTCTCTCCACTCTTTGGCCTTCAAATTCTAAATTCGTAACAAATCCCATAAATCCAAGAAAGAAAAAAAGGAAGAAAAAAGAAAGTTCAAAAGCCAAACGTGCGGAAATGCGAATGGCGGGGTCGAGTTCCAAAATTCCCATGTCCAGCCCAACTTTTTCCCGTTTGGCGGGGTTATAAAATGGTGCCTTTTTCCTGGCATGTGGAGATTTAAACCTACTTCGAGGTAGATGCTGCAATTTTGTAGCAGAATCAACAACACCAACATTACTTTCAAGATATTAGATTGATGAATTGTTCTTTCTTCTTCTTAATATTACGAGCATACTATACTCAGTTTGCACTATTTACTTACGCTGCCTCTCAGTCGTCTGTGTTCCCAGAGAGTAGCTGCCCAATCAGCCTACCAAGCAAAGTATCGAGAGGGCATTCCGTCTAGCTCATCTCCAAATCTATGTACTCTGCCCAGGCCAAATACGCCTCCAGCAGCATTAGATCTTGGTGGAAATTGCTCCGTTTGTTCTTGTGTATACCCTTTTTTGTATATATTTCGTGGACTCTTCTCGTCCCCGTCATACATCCACCGACAAAGAAAACAAAAGATATATGTTCGAGAAAAGGAAAAAAAGCCAGCGCCGCGCACCGTCAATGATATGAAATAATATAAACAGGAAAAAATGAAAATGAAAAGATGAATTAGAGCGGCAATGACCGTAATTCGTATCAATATCAATACAAGGCTTGAAGCAAAATGTTAGTGTGTATGCTGGGAAAAAGAAAAACAGGGTATCCCGTCGTGGTGTTGCTCAATCCGTTGTAGGCGGATCGATGATATATAAAATCGGTTGAAGGAGCGTGGTAGGTGTTTATTTTGAATTTTACTTTTTTTTGTCTTGTTCTTTTCATCGGGCAGTTTAAAAGCCGCTAAAGGGATCGTCTTGGAAAAAGTCTTCTTCTCCCGCTGTCTTGTTTCCGTTAAAGAATTCATCAGATCCTCGCGCACTTCTAGACATTTGGGCTCGACGTCGATGCCGGCTCGTACGTCGGCGAAATTCCTTGCTCTTCTTCCGTGCAAGCGATCTATAGTCACCCTCAGGGTATTCATCGTATTGTTGGTGAGCATGAGGGCTAATGAATGCTTCCATTCGCACAGTGCCGATTGCATCAAAGAAGTTGCCTTGTGATGACACTGCCGACACGGATGATTGAGCTATGCCCCAGCTTCCAATGGTAGAGCCCTGGGAAGCGTATATATCAGAAGAGCCAGCAGTATCAATACTGGCGCCGGCTGTGCTGTTTGTAGAATGGTGGCTGCTCTCACCCAGAGATGGTGAGAAGCCTCGGAAGGATAGTGGCGGGTGTACATTGCCTCCCGTATTGCTTCGCTTGCGGCCGTGATGCGTCTGGTTATGGCCTGTACGCTCGTTATTGAAGCGACGTATCATGGGTGGCTGGGCAGCGTCCACGGATTCTTCCCTAGCGTGTCCAGGCCCGGATACGGATTCTGCCACTCTAAAGCTGGCTACATCACCCATTCTCAATGTCGGGACATCAGGAATGCTGGGCATGCTGGCCAGCTCGGCCTTTGGCGCAACGGCCCGACCTTTAGCTAGCCGGATGGAATCTCGGATCCCGCCTCTTGAAAGCTTGGTAGGCTTTGGTGGTTCAAAATTCGGAAGAGGCCGCTGTTTAACTGAAAGGTGTTGCTGTGGCTGAGGAGTTATAACGTCAGGGATTGCTTGGTAAGAATGGGCTAGGAAGGATAAAGCTGTCAGCCAGAGGTAGTGTCTCTCTGATGTGGAAGCTGTGAACTTGAGGGCTCTCTGCGGCGTGAGGATCAAGATTGATCTGTTGAAGATGGGTGTAGTAATGCCCCTAGGCGAGGGATTGTCGTCTTTGACGTCAAGTACCGACTGGATGGCCAGCTTGCGGCCCGTTTTCCCTAACAGAGCACTACCAGAAGACGGTTGCTTGCTGCTCCACAGAATAGCTCTCTCATAAGGCGCTATCCAAACCCATCGCTTGTGCCTATCGTTGCTGTTTTCGTCTTTATGCGCACTATCTCCAACACCAAACGATTTTCTTCTGCGAACGTATTTAAACATCCACTCTCCAACCATAGTCTGGGCAATCGCATCCACCACTCCCGGTGATTGTGAGCTCGTCTGTGACGCGGCTTCTGTGTTGGCGGTCACAACTGTGTTGTTGGATAATTGGTGGCGATGTTTTCTATAGCTGCTGTCTTCGCCCCTATGCGGCGTAGTAATGTCATTTCGAGGCATGGGAGGGAGACCAGGGCTGTCAGGAGCTTCAGTGGATGGCGACAATGGTGGTGTGCGACTGCCTGTCCTATGATGGCGTTCATGGCGTGGCAGTTGATTTGCAGAGCGGACACGGCGAACGTTATTGACATGATAAGTACGGCTACCGCTTCGACGATGGTAGCTAGTGTTTGATGGAGTGCTGCGTCCATCACTTGGAATACTAGTACTGATAGATGGCTGCCGTGAAGGCCGCCGTGAACTCGCTCGGGCTGGTATAGGGAATGGTGGTGGATTCTTAGGTTCAACAATGGTAGGATAGTTGACCATACCAGTCTGAGCCATGGTAGCATTGCGTATAGCGTTGTTGTTACGGCTCGATGTGCTTGCAGCAGGCACAGGTGACTTCTCCGTGGCCCTACTGGACCTGCCGGATCTAAGACCATCTTCTTCAACACTATACAGGTCACTCCTCACTGATCTCGCAGACGTCCTGCCAGAGCGCTTGGAATGCTGATCCGGCGAGGTCGCCACTGTACCCACAGAACTTCGCTTGCCCGTTCGGCTCAAGTTGGACGGAGGTCTAGGTGCCGTTAAAGCTGTTCGGTACTCAGAATCACTAAAGTCTAGCTCTCCAAATTCGTCGACTTCATCTGAATCAGTGTAGAAGCCGGAGAAGAGGCTGCTGAATCGACGAGGCGGTATTATTGGAGCGTGTGGGTTGGAGAGGAGAAGATCATCATTGAACTCGTGCACATCTGGACCATCCATCGAGAAACTGATAGGGGAAGATGGGAGTTCGGTACTATACCGGCTGCTCTCCAATCGTCGAGGATTTCGAGGAGGTACATTACTAGGAAGAGCACTCTTGTCGAGAACAGCAACGCCCGATGGATGAGGGGATGTAGGCCGTGAGGTGATAGAAGAGGGCTGAAGATGTGCTGGTAAATTGGCCAGCCGCCTCTTGTCAATTTGGATTGCCTCCGTCTGGGAGCACGAATCAACTGTATCCACTTTAATAGGGATATTAACTTGGCAGCCGATGTCTTTGAAATGTTGAGGTAGCTTGGGTGTATGCGGCGACGCAGGCCGACTGGTTGGCGGTTGGATGCTAATACTCGGAATGCGTGTGTCTATTGGTGGTAGCGGCTTAGGCGGCACTGCAGCAGCAACAGCCTCAGTCTGTGTAGACGAGGTTACCATCTTTGGCTCAACCTTTGGTGTTTTGACTTCAACAGGCGAAGATTCAAGGACGGCGAGCAGCGAACTTGGCGTCTTTGGAGGTGTCAAAGGAATCTCAACTGTCTGGGAAGCAGACGATACCATGCGCTGGAGAATAGCGGGTGTTTCGATGGTAAGAGGCAGGCTAACACGCTTCTTTCGCTGATTTGCCTCGACTTCGGATGAACGTGGAGGGGTCTTTGGCTCCATTTTCTTTTCAACTACTTCCGAGATGGCGGATTCCGGCTCGATAGGTTCTACAACCTTCAATACAGGGGAAGGTGGTGCAGAATATTGAGCTCCCGCATCGGCGTATGAGTGTTCAGAAATAGGAGAGTACTGGATTCCTATGTCGGTGTATGGGTTTTCAGAAGCAAGAGAAGACTGGATTCCAGCGTCGCTATATGAAGGCTCAGCAACAGGAGAGAATTGAATTCCTGTGTCAATGTGTAAAGGCTTAGCAGCTGGAGCCGGAGCTGGAGCAGGGGAGCATTGAACGCTTGCATCGCTGTACGTATGCTCGGGGACAGGGGAGCACTGGGTCTCAGCGTTGTTGTATGAGTTTTCGGAGGCAGGCATAGATTGAACTCCCGCGTCAGCGTATGATGGCTTTATAAAGGGGGCGGCAGCTAGAGCGGGACGAGAATCTTCTCCTTCTGTTTCTTCATCCTCGCCCTCGAGCGCCTCTAGAACCGACTGATTCATGAAAACCCTACCACGTGCGATGCTGCTAGTACGCTTCAAGCTGTCAATGCTCTTGTTCTTCCGATGGAACTTGCTAATGACACTCTCGCGACTAAATGTTCGTCGATGTTGTCGTGGGCTCGCGACTCGTGGGCTCGAGAAGACACTGTCACGTCCGTCAATATCGGTCTGCTCGTCAGTATCGTCGAACTTGAGCTCATCTGCCAGGGAGAATCCGTTGAGAGAAAATCCGGGTCCGTTAGCCAGAGAGTACCGAATACTGCTCGTGAGACTCATTGTTCTGACACTAGCCGCATCATTTTCTCTACCACTGTCTTCACCTTCACTCTCGTGCCCATTGCCCTGCTGGGCAGCTCCCTGTACGTGGTTAGCCTGATAGGCCTCTACCTCATCAAGCACTATTTTGAGGCGGCTTTCCGCCACGTGAATCCGCCGCTCATATTTGCGTTTTTCATCTTCCCAGATCTCCTTTTCTTCAGCCCATGAATCATGAACTCGCTGGGAGTCTTCCTCTTGGCTGCGAATTTTCTTTTGAGCAGCCTCCAAGCGCTTTTTAACATCGGCTGCAGAGTCAACAGCTTCATCCCTTTCTCGCGAAAGGTCGCCCAAGGCTGAGGAAGTTCCACCCTCCAGTAAAGATAACTGTCGCTGTAGCGAGCGTGTCTCTTTGGACGATGCGTTGATACTGTTCTGTAACGCCTCTTGTTCCTCTCTGCTTGTCTGTAGCGTGCTTTCGAGGCTCTCAATTACTCTGGTTTTCTCTTCCTGATCTCTTCGTAGTGACAGGATCTCAGACACTAAGTTGGCGTGTAGCGTAGGGGTGAAGCGCCGCGGATCAAGGATACTTATTTGCTCATCGGTCGTTATATCTTTTGATGAACGTTTGGATGCGTTTCCATTCCTAGACGGCGATATCTTCTTCTTCGCCGGGGGAGTGATTGAACGTGCCGAACGTCGTGACTTTCTTGATCGAGTCGAGGGAGTTCTGTAAGGAACGTACTCTCGTGGAGGCAGCGAGACCGCGCCATGCGCATTCATATACTCATCGTCTGTCCAGGCTGTCATTTTGACTGAATTGGGCCAAATGGTAACAGAATCAGATTAGCCACGTAGAAAATGCGAGCTCTCAGCCGCTCATATGGTTTATACCAAGCGGCTATATCAGACGCTGTTGAATTATAGTAACTTTACGGCGCACCGGGCGTATAAATGTGACATAGGCAACTTCTCCAGCCAGACAGGTGGTAATAACGTATAATGCAAATACGCCTAAACTTGCTTGCAGTAATAAACGGTCGATGATGCTGGGGAATTGTGTTGGTTGAGATCTTCGATATGCAATCCGAAGTGTAAGATGGAAGTCGTGAAATGATGGGCAGGAAATCCGTTTCAAAGCTGAAAAAATGAATGATTGGGCTGATGATGGTTTCTTGGAAGATGGTCCGGCCGACTGATGAAAGCGACGGCGAAAGCGAAGGCGAAGGCGAAGGCGAAGGCGAAAGGGACCTCGAATGAAACACAAAGGAGGCGGCGAGTGTCAAGGAAGAGTTTCGACGGCGATGTCGCGTAAATGCCGTGATGTAAATAAAAAAAAATGAGAACTGAGACGATTCAATAAGAGATTATCAGCTTTGTATTCTCAAAGGCAGCTTGCAAGGCAGCTTGCAAGGCAGGCGGGCTGGCTGCACAGGGGCGCTATTCGCTCTTGCCACTTGAGACTCACCTAAAGACAGAAAGACACAAAGACGCAAGGGAAAGAAAGAAGGAAAGAAAGAAGCAGAATCGCCTAGAGAGGCTTGGCGGCAGGTTCTCGGTTGCAATTAATCCATCGAGGCCGAAAGTAAAATAAAAATCAGAGACAAAACAGCTTCTGACCCAGACAATCTCCCTCAAGGCTGTTGATTGTTTGAGGCTGAAGATTGTCGCTCAAAGCACCGAGCACAACTCGACCAACGACGATAACGACGACGGACGCAGAACAGGAGACGGCGAGACGAAAAGATAATGACGAGGTATCCCGCCGGGGTGCCGAAAGAGTAGGAGGCAGGGAGTATAAATTGTCCACATCCACTTTGCCTCGTTGGCTGATGCGCGATCGGGGTCGACTCTGGACATGTGGGCCGGTGATTGAGGCGATCCCAGGACGCTGGAAGCTTGCGAGCATGGGGGCCGGGCAGTTGGAAGTCTACGAGTACCACGCCGCATGCTGGCACTAGTTATCTCTACGGAAGTGCTAATGATACCATGGACGTGCTAGCAGTCGAGTCAAGTTGATCAACTGGCGTCTGGACAAGTTCCCAAGCTGATGGCGCTTGGCTAGACCTGCGGCAGGCCCTTCTATGGCCTTGACGACGTTTATACATCTCGATCTCTCGCCATACCCATTATCAAATATTCTACAGGGAAAACACAGAGCCTGGAGCATTCTCTTTCTTCCAAAATTCGTCGCGCGCCGTTGTGAGGTTGCAGCTGCACACCACCATAAGCTGTTGACGTCTAAACGTCCGATATGCACCGCCAAGGGGCCCCTCCCAAATCTACCGCAACAGCGTGTTTTGTCCCTCCTTGGAAGCTCAAGTCGAAAGGGCTTTCTTTGCCCCTGCAACCCTGCTTCCCCTCCTCTACCTGTACGCTGCCAGGGGCTTTCTCTGTCGGTTCTTTCATCCGCGATGGCCTAAGCGCCATTACACCCGGTCTTGATTTAGCGGTCTTCAGTCAACACCAACAGCGCCCACTAGACATGCTCCGTACCAGTGGCTAATACGAATTCTAATAGCTCGCTATCCTGTCAGATATCCTCTTCAGCCAAATGCACCATTATGGCTGCCTCTAGTGCTGGCAGGTGGCGCGGTGGCGTTTCTTCCCGGCTGCAAAGCGTAGGATCGTCAATAGCTTGTGGCTTGTGTTCGTTTCACCATTGCCCAGCTCAAGACCGAATACTTTAATATGATGCGGCAGCTTTCAAATGGCACATTACGAAAGGGCGAGATTATCACCAGCACGGAGGGTTACCTTTACTCCCTTGTGCGGGATATTTCGGGTTATAATGGAGGCCCGCGTTAATTTGTGAAAAGAGCCAACAGTCTTGAGAAGGCATGGTACGATGGGAAAGCCGCGAACACTACCCACGCTCTATACCATATTCAAAGCACTACGAAGAGGGGCCTTGAAAGTGAACGGCAATATTAAAGATCTCGCCAGCATTGAAGTACGGAGTACCTGAGCTAGCACGCTTGTGTGAGGTGGATGCACGGCAATATCACATATGCAAGGCTACCGGCAGTATCACCAGGTGGAATCCCTGTCAGGGCCGCCTTCACAACATTATCCGAAGTTGCGTGCGCAGCCAAGAAGAGTACCCTGGCTGGAGCGAATAGGTATTCGGAATTCGTACAGCGAAGGAGAGTAAGGATAATGCCACCCACGGAGTACTGCTTGGCGCGATGGACGGCGGGCAATCGCTACTCGTATTTCTTTTCTAGGAAATGATAGGAGCATTCGCAAGCCGTTGGTCCAGAGTTAGTCTCATTATTCGATCATTATCGGAGGCCCGAAAGCCATCATCGTCATCACCATCATCAGTACCCCATAAAGCAGAGGATGGCTACCTCAGTCTTTCCCCCTATTCGGGGTATGCTTCGCCCGGGTCGGCTACGCTACGGCCCAGTCTGATGAGACTCTGCTAAGCTAGAGTGCTCTATCAAACGTACCAGTAAGCGAATCATACAGTCGCAATAGGGTATACGAGTACCTGCGCCGGGCTAATTACCGTACTTGCCAGCATGCTGGTGCTCGGCCATTTTCATTCGATGCCTGAACGCGTACCTTGCATCGTCCTGCAGGTTCAGCTTCCAGTGTTCCGTACAAGCTCAAAGACACTTATCGTTACGGGGAATGCGGTCTGTGGGAATACCTACCTACTGCTGCGCTACTGGTAGATCCTGCAAGTACACGTGCCTACACAATATCCTAGTATGGGGTACGGAGTTGTCCAGGTTGGCTCATTTGCTTTAGTTGGCTTGGAAATTAATCGGGACCAGGGCCGTCGTCGTCGATTCTGCTCTGCCATCCACCAGTCCCCGACACTATGCTGGCCTAGGAAGCGGGCCGAGCTTGGCAGAGCCTGCACGGCCCTGGCGCTCTTTTAGGGGAGCCAACCTTACTCCGTATCGCTCAATTAATTAGAACAGACAGGGGTGATTATTGGAGATTTCATTCTTGCCCGCCTGTTCGTCAGGGTCGGCATGACCGACACAATCAAGCCTATGGAAAGGCAGATACGACTGCAGACGCTTCGTTTTGTGATCTTTACTTTCTAAAGCTAGGCTACCCAGAAGAACATTGAGAGAAGGATATGAACACTGCTCTGTGCATAACATAAGGATCTCACTAATGCAAGGGCCGCAGCGGATGTTACTCAAAGCAGCTCAACGGCATTCTAGATCATCTCACTCTGCTATGCAATCATGTTAAAGGAGACGACAAGTAACAGCGGAAATTGAAGCTGGCTATACTACGAGTAGGTGTTTTCACTGCGTCGCATGGGTCGCGAAATCTAGACCAAGCCATTGTCGAAAACTTGAGAGCAGCCGGGCACTCTCCAAAACGAGCGACGATCATCGCTTTCTTGGGCCATACATCGTTAGCATTGGCTGTTGGCTACAGCTGGACTAGGACCTCATGTCATCAGCTAAAAGCTTCTCTAACCAGTAACTATCTGGCTCAAAAGATTACGCCGCTACAGTCCTCCTTGGAAAACATGTACCGATTCGAGCACGATATCTCCACACTTGCCTCGAATAATATGCCACCACCACCGCATCAGCTCTCTTCGTGCTAGTACAGCTCGCTCCCTCAGGTTAGCCTGAGATGTGATGGGTGATAGGGCGATTGCCATGCTCCTGCAATCTCTCCGCTTAATACTCCACTCCTATGCCGGGCGGCCTAGTACTGTTTGTTAAAACGCCAGTTCTAACTGCAGCTTGTGAGCGGCTGAACTCACACGGCTCTCTCTAACCAAGGGTGAGCAGTCTTTAGCGATTCGTCTCCAGCGCTTCGGTAGGGTTGATGATATTGACAGAGTAGCAAGCTCAAGGTCAAGGTATCTTAATAGGTACCGAGAGAAGTAAGATGAAAATGCTCCGCCCGTCAAGCTGATAAACTATTGAATTCTTAAAGGCCTCAAACATCTCAGATTGGCAAGATCAGCGGTGGCTGAAGTCCATCCGCCTCTGCGCTTTTCAGCTAGAGGTCTTCGCGCAAAGCTGAATCTAATACGCTCAATGAAGCAGTACAACAGAGTGCTGTTCATACCTGTTAAACTTGTTGCTCTTCGGCTTCACTTGAATGGTACACTCGACAACTATAAAGTGTGTACGGTTTATGGGCATCAATAATGCGGAACAGATTCAGCATATCACCTAGCCCATGGCATAGCATCCTGGAGTAGCATGCGGGAAAGAAAACTACATGGGGGCAGCGGTGGTTGACCAGGGGGCATTGCCCGGTACTAATATGTTATCCAGTCAATATCCTATTGTCTCAATTGATGGTTTATTGTGAGACCATAGGCTCTACATGGGTCCAGCCACATATTGTGAGTTTGCCACCGTCGTTCCGGGCCGTCCATCCGTGTCTCTTCATGGATGTATTTTTATCTTACCGCATTTCGGTACCAACTACATGACAGCTGGAGTATTGCCGGGGATGCGGATAGAATACCCATAAGCTAAACAGCATGGACCTCTTCAAGGCTTTGCTCGGCTGCCCAAGCCGGTGAACAAAGATAATCCTCGACTTCTCCGCGTCAACTCTTTTCTTTTGGTCTAGCCGATGGCACTTTTCATCCTTGTCTTGGAGATAACAAGTCTACCGGCGGTTTTACTGTATTCCTCCATTCTCCGTAGTTCCATCGCCACTCCACGTGCTTTGGGACACACCAAGGATTCGATACCCAGCCATCACTATCACAGTCACACAACATGTGTTACGGAGCTGAGGGGAACTTTCTATTTAAAGAAGTAAAAAGGGCCGCGAAAATGTATGTCGTGCCTCGGCGTTCAAAATCACAGGGATTCCATCTCAGCTGTCTCGGTAAGATGCTGGCTGCATTCAGGAGGCTCGCTTCGCAATCTTTTCGCGAGTTTGAAGTATGACAAGCTAACAGCCAACAACATGGGACGGGACTTCTTCTCCGTAATAAGTACTCGCTACCAGAGAGAGGGCGCTCAGTGACAGATTAGAACAAGGGTTGCAAAGTGACATGTCTCCATGACATATACGGCGCCAATCATTTGATGACAACTTCCCACTAGTTCAAGAAGACTGGCACTATCAAGCTAATAAATAGCTTAATCAAGGTCCAATATGGCTTTGACATTCCTGAGTCTAACGATGTTTTTTTTTTTATGCCGATTGTTTCGAGTAGATGACTTGTTGGTCATTGCGCGGGCGATATTATTTCACTAGTAAGGAGTCTGTGCTCGCGGATCAATCCCCCGAGCAGATCAGCATGTAAGACAGCCACTTATAGTAATCAAAGTGTTATTTCGTGCCTCGTATTATCTCGACTGGAATGCTATCCGGCGATGGATCAGTTACCTGCTAATAATCCGTTCATATGATGACAGTTGATTATAGTACGTGAGATAAATTTGCTAGATATAGGGGGATTTTCTTATGGTGGCTTATTCGAAGTGAGCGCTTGGTACTTTTGTTGATTGGCGATTTGATGGAGAATAACAATACTTGTACGTATGAACTTATGAGCCGTATATGGTTGCGTAATCCATGGTATGAGATGTAGTGCATTGTTGTGTGATATTATACGGCTATGGTTCACTGGCGTAATAGCTGCCTGCTTCTTCAAAGAGGGCAATCCGAGATCCAAGGTGATTGAGTATAATTAATGACAAGATCATGTTGTTGCAATATTTCATTCCTCTAGTGCTTGAATGAAGGATAGATTCATCGTATATTGTATGTAATAAGCTGTGTCACTTATACGTGATGATACAACCTGGAGCCGTGAAAATTCCTGCTGCCTCAGCCCTTGAGCCTTTTCGCTTCTTTGAAAGCAACACATTATTGCAGTATTCCCTCTATAAAATCTTATAACGAGATCTCTGTAGTTATAAATTGGCTCATAGTTATTGCTAGATATGCTTGCAAGGTAATGATGGTGATATGCCGAACCACTCTGCTTGGTCTCACTTAGTGTTACCCTACAACCCAGTCAAAAATTCATCCAAAATTCACCACGCTGACTTTTACTTGTCTATATTATTGAATGAAAGAAAAATGCAAACTCACACTCTTATTTATGAGTCATTCACTGGTTTTGTGACGAAGCTCTGCTGTTTGCGGATAGCGACATTTAATCATGTGATCTTGTAGATCTAACTTTAACCTCGGCGACGCTTCACCATCAACCAACTGACACTGTACATTACAACTCATAGGGTCAAAGATTGCAGTATTTGCTTTAATTATACAATAATTACAGTAAGCCCAACTCCATAAAGTCTCATGAATGGGAACGCATAGCTAATAATTACAGTCTAGAAACTTTCATAAGCAACTATGCCATCAGCAGTCTCCCCCCTCACCAACGTCAAAGCCCTCCTCTTTGACATCTTCGGCACCACGGTTGACTGGCGCGCCTCCGTCACTGACGAAATATCCCTTCGGGTATTCCGCAAACTCGGGTCCGACAATGTTTTGCCATCTTCCCTGAAAACCCGCCTCGAGGGCCTCACTCAGGCAGACTGGGATAGGTTCATACAAGAGTGGCGCAACGCATACATTGCCTTTACGAGATCATTCAACCCGGAAACAGATGCCTGGAAGATTGATCAACATCACTACGAGAGCCTCGTCGAGCTTCTCAAGAAATGGGACCTCGACGGATTATTCTCGGAGACGGAGCTTACATCTCTGAGCTTGGTCTGGCATAGACTCTCTCCATGGCCTGATTCCCCAGATGGCCTCGTGGAGCTGAGCCGCAAATACATCACTGGGACTCTCTCAAACGGAAACACCAGCCTGCTGCGTGACGTAAACGACTTTGGAGGGTTGACTTTTCACAAAGTGTTCTCTGCTGAGACGTTCAAGGCTTACAAGCCCAATCCGGCAACGTACCTCGGCGCCGTGCAGGCATTGGGATTGCAGCCGGAGGAGGTGGCTCTGGTGGCGGCGCACTTGGGGGACTTACACGCTGCGAGGGGATGCGGTTTGAGGACGATTTATGTCGAGAGGAGTAGAGAGGAGGCTTGGGAGCCGGAGGAGGAGAGGTATAAGGAGGCGAAGGGGTGGGTGGATTTGTGGGTGACGGAGGAGGAGGATGGGTTTTTGACTGTTGCGAAGAAGCTGGCAGAATTAGAGTAACGACGACGCAACTGTTTTGTGGAGTATGAAGTTGCTGATTGGAAGGGGGGGGGGGATGGGCTGTATACATTTGGCCTGATTGACACGAAATTTTCGACAGTGTATAAGCCATGAGGTTGATAAATGGAACCGTGATGTTTATACAAATATACTACCATCTTATAAGAGCAGTAAACAGAGTGGGTAAGTTGCTTAGTCAAGCTACTGGCCCAGAGATAGATGAGATGTCTTGTTTGAAATAATCACCTTGTGACATGTAGTCATGGAGTTTCAGGTTGACTAGAGTCCTTCCTTGCATCAGTCTTTGTGATTAGATTGAAATTATAGCAGCTGAGGTTAATATGAAGAACACTTAAGCCTACTTTGATAAAGGGTCAAAATCGCCAGCAAGTGCTACTACTGACGCTGTCTTGCTATCCAACTCAAGGCAAGTCATCAACAAATGGTTGATATGATTGACAGTATCACGTAATATTGCAGCCACTATCACTCAATTATCAACTCCTCGACCGAGAAAGCCCCAATCAATATCTCTCATGAGACGTGATCGTCAGTAACATGTTCATTGCGAAGTAAGTTCACAGCCATCTATAAATCTGTGGTGCCTCATGTTACAAATGCGGTCAAATCTCTATCTCATGAGGCTTACAGAGAGTCTTTACAACTACTGCAATGGGGGATACTACTACAAACAATTTCACAAGAAAAGTCCACAAGTCACGCTCTTTCAGCTTTGGCTTACGTTTGGGGTCATACTCACTGCTCACATCGAGATGAAGCCTTCCTGATTTGAGCATCGAAAGTTCGCTTCACTTATGAGTAGGCCGTCTATATTCTCCATAGCCATAAGCTCCGCAAGCTGAGATGAACACAGCACTGGCTACGCAGCTTCATCTCATATACTGTGTGTATGTGCTGATGATCTCCCATTCGGGAGTACCCGAGGGTACAGGATACAATCTTGATTCGTGGGGCTAAAAGAGAGCATAGCAAAACGACAGGGTTCGTTCGGATGGCTTGACCGACGCAGCTGAGTCAAACATGGCCTGATGGATCAGTATCGCATGCAGCTTCTTGTTCGTCTCTCGCCATCTCGCGTTTACTTTCGCGGTGATACAAGGATTTAAGAAGTCGCAATCGTGCCGACCGGCTAGTTTGATTGTCCGCCGCTTGCGTATGCTCCAGCTATGGCTTATCATATTGCAATGAGACATGCAGCTGGCGGTGATACTTGTACACATACCATGCTCGCTCACCAATGCCTATCACTTGGCGCCCGGTTCGGATGACTCTGGCTCGCATTCAGGATCAGCTGCTGCTCGCGCGTAAGCATCACCTGCGTGCCGGTATGCAGGAAAGGAGACGGCCGCTTAGGCTAGCAAGACGCCGGCAAAACCCGACATATGGACTGCGTATATAGCTGCGCATGTAGCAAGCACTATATGCATGCTACAACGTGTTGTGCGGAAGGGGAAAGAATTCCTTGACCGAGCGACATGCTTCCCCGCGCTGACGCAGTGCTACTGTATGTAGCTACTATAGGTAATCATAGCAGAATACACATGCTCTGTGTAATTCGTACTAATGGTCGTAGCGTATCCTCGAGTGAGTAAAGCGCCGTTATGGGCCAAAAGTCTGTTGGCTGTATGGGGAGCTGATGCTTTGTACAAGCTCGGAGTGGCAAATACTGCTGTATCCATGCCTGTAAGCGAGAGATGGAAGATAATCGCCGACGGGCGTGACCTGGAATCATAAGGCTGTGCAAATCTCACTAGGACCGATATGCCGTTGGCTCTAGACAGACAGGCATTGGCGGAAGAGCAGGACGAGGAAACAAAGGTGCTGCCCAGTATGTCGTCTTACTGGCAGCCGCAAGTGTACAGAGGTCGTGTGTAGGTAGTAGAGCTTCATGCCCATCGAATGCTAGGACGGATGTAGCTTGTGGTCTACCGCTGCGGGTCGACGTCCTCGGCCAACATGAGGCTAGACTGCATGTAGGCTCCCACGCAACATGCGACGGATCGTTGGGGGAAGCACTGGACGCCGTTGCCGCCTCTCGGAGACATAGCATGGCGAATGTCACTGGCCGCGGTCGCGCCTTTTGGCATCCATGGCTCGGAGCAGTCCACGTTTCGCTCGCTTTGATCGATCTCTCCACGCCGAGTGCCCTAGCTTCTGTGTCCCGTACCGGCTCGTTGCATCGATACAGCATGGTGGACTCCCCATAATATGGGTCGGATTGTCGCGAGTCTTCAGCCTTCAGCCTGGGGAGAGCGCCAAGCACCGAGACGTGCCAGGGCTATAGCGCGTGTAAGAAGCTGACGAATTGATACTTGTAGCAGTAGTAGTAGTAGTAGTAGTAGTAGTATGTGTAAGTAAATAGGCGGTTATTGCCAGAGCAGGGACGCTACAGCTGTCATCACACAGGAGAGGCATGCTGATTATGGCAAGATGCACGAGCAGACGGCAATCCTCAGCTTACTCTGCGGGGGGTTCGTCCTTTGTGACCCCCGTTCGCGCACGGCCTTGTGCATAATACGCGATACAGAGGTGAGTGTATGAGTGTTTAGGCACGCACTCCGAGCTTGTAGTAAGCAGAGGCCTTCGGCGTTGGTAGGGATGATTGCCGAAGGAGATGCTGCCGAGCCTAAACGCTCTTGGATGCCGTAAATCTGTCTGCCCTTGGCTTTGTGAGAGAACCGATCAAATAGCCTCTCCTCTTCTTCCACCTTCGCCTTCAGCTCTTGTCCCTTTTGTCTCTTCAGCTTCTGTCTGCAGATGCTAGCGAGGGACCGGATTCCGCGTTAGTATAGCAAGACGGTAATATCGGGGCAAGACGGCGAAGAATCAGACCATTGATATCATGCTCCTTGCCCATACATCTCGTAGCGGCCATGCTGGGATCTCAGACTTTCAGCCAGACACCATCAAGTATCAATGACTAGCGCTTCGGCCTGCTACAACTACTAGTACCTAAGAGTAGAATAGTCGATGCTCAGCGGACAGCCGAGCGTGTGAAACTGCGGTGCCGACCGCTAGCTCAGCCGGCGCTGCAGATCGATAGCTTCAAATCCTCAGAGGCTCGCCGTTTGATGCTACAAGTATGTAGGGATATGCTGCTGCCACGCTCCCAAGCTCCGTAAAGCGCGTCGCTTCCGCAGCCGCAGCGCGCTACGGATGCAGCATCGCTGCGCCGACATCGACGCTTGCAACGGGCCCAAGCAAGAGGCGAGACGCTGGTTTGAAGGCAGGGCCAGAGGCGTCGGGTCGCCCCGGATGAGGGAGCTGGGAGAAGGACGAGAGCTGTGGCTCGCCAAGTTTGCAGATTCCAACCAGCTTTGCGAGCGAGGGCTGGGGATGCGGCCCCCGCAAGGTTGGCACATGTCGTGCTCGTGTGATGGCGGCCTTGCTGGATCTCTGGCCTTCAAATGCTTCCGACTGGCTCGGCTGGGTCAGGCCATGGAGGCCACTGGCGCCGATAGCTGGGCGAGCCGGTTGATGGCGGTTGGCTGGCTAATGCTGGCATGGCTGGGGACTGGAGTTGGAGAGTTGCAAGTTTGAAGGGCCAACCGGGGAGAAGAAGGAGAAAATGCTGCCCAACCGATGTGGCTGGACAGGCCTGTTTCGATCTGGATTTGCCGTCCGCACCCGTTGGGCCAGCACTAACGAAAGGGTATTGATCCTATCAGCAGTACTGTACAGTATTACTGCATATTAGCACGCCTGCTCGGTTTATTTCCGCCGATACCTGGTGCCTGCAGAGCCTTGTGTTTAATCACGTACGGATGTCGTCGTAGACCCTACAACGCAAATTGGCATCCATGGAAATTGAATCATTTCACGGCGTTCATGGCAGGTGCTGCGAGGCCCGGCATCTCGTGGCAGTGGAGGTACTGCTAAAGTACTTACCGCTCTACCTCGTGGGCACCAGAGCTTCTCGGGTAGCACTGGGCCCATGCTTGGTACGATGGAAGTGGACATGCTTCGTCTCCGGCTCGGACTTTTATCTCGATGAATGAGTCTGCAGCTCGTTAAAATGCCTACATACATATAGAGATTCCATATCGTGATGCTGCTTTGCTCACGCAGACCCTGTCTTACACTGCCAGACAGCACATTGCAAGGGGATGCAGGTGGCATATGCTGCCGACAGGTGCTCGTATACAAGTATGTGCTCGCTCGCTGGTCCAACTCCAACCATGTCGATTCCCTTGCTGCAGCGCTCTGACATAATCTCGCCGCTAATTGTCTGCGTTGCAGGCTTAGGCCAAAGTATCGCTGAGGTACCCATCGCCGTCATCCAGGGTCTGGGTTATACCGTCCACAGACATTGAGCAGCGAGACAACCAGGCAAAGCCGCCCCAGACGCTTTGGCCGCAGGGTTGTCGGGGCCGCAAGCTCCAAGCTCAATCCATCCTTGCTGGCTGCAAAAGCCATGCGCTGCTCGGCGGACGCAGGCGGGAGAACGGGCCTGTAGGGGAGAAGAGAGCAAAATAGGGGATCATTGGCCAGAGACAGATGCCTGTGCTGCTGCGTGTCTTCGGGCCTGTACGAGCATGTCTTGTAAGTAAGTACCTGTACGAGTGCCTGTACGAGCGAAAGCCTCTGCGTGGGTTGGCTGGTTTGTGCCCCCCCAAAAGGGCTTAGCCGGCCCGGGGCAGGGCCTGGGCGCGCAGCTCTGGGTGTTCCGGCTGCCACTAACTGGCAGCTAAGGCGTTGCTATTCAGCGCAGACGGTGCTGCTAGGACCAGCTTGGCGCTGCTAAGTATGCGGCATTCTTCTGCCTGGCCTCGCTGAAGCAGCAGACCAATGCGTGTCCCCTTCAAGGAGAATGCGCCTCAGCGTGTTGGTTCCTGTACATGTACATGCTTGCGAACAGGCTGTTGCTCCTCACCTCGCGCTACACGCAAGCACCTCCCACTAGGCTCAAACGTCCTAGACCTCGACGCTCTCCGCGCCAGCAAAACTTTCCGCGCTCTGCCTCAAGGTACCGGATGTACTAGGCAAAACACGCAACAAGTACTGCTACAAAGCTCTATCGCCCATACACTCCCGATCCGCGCTGCGTACGTGATTCACCTTGCCATCGCCGTTCCTCCGTAGCAGACTACCTGGGTATCGACCTACATGCTCCAAAGGTGCATGTACAGGTGCATACACATACTGCTGCATATGGCATTAGCACCTCCATGCCGTTGCTAGGCCTGCTAGCCTACCTGTGCCTCCATTTTCCCTGCGAACGGCCGCGTCCCTCTTTAAACCGCTCTCCCGTAACCGCCTCCAGAGCCCTCGAGCCCCCTATCAGCAAGCCTCTTGTTATCCCAACTCCAAAGCCGGACCCGCCCAGAACCCACACCTGCTTCTCCACCAACATCCACTCCGACCAGCTCCAAGGTCGCCCAGAGCATCTTCGTCTTTTTTGGCCGTGCTGGAACTGACACAAACATCCCTCCCCAAACCACCTGCTCCCTCTGCTTCCAATTGCCTTGCACCGCTCGCACCGCATCTCCTCAGCCATTGCTCCGTCGCCGTGCTGCGCCCTCGAGTTGCTTTGCTGCTTCGTTGCTTCGCTGCTTCGTCCTTTTCCATTGCTTTTGCTGCTCATCTCCATCCCCCTCCTCCTTTCGCAGCGCCGCTAGCGGGCCCTTTTGGAATCGCCCGCGAAAACCCTAGGATTGAGAGTCTTAGCTCGGTTGCTCGACCACTAACTTGCGCCCATCATGGCGGGCAGAATGGTGCTGTACAAACTGGTGGTGCTGGGAGATGGTGGTGTTGGCAAGACGGCCTTGACCATCCAGCTGTGTCTGCAGCATTTCGTCGAGACGGTAAGCATAACCCTTTCCCCCTTCAGCTACGAGGCGCAGAACAGAACAGACTTGGGAGAAAGAAAGCGTCTTCAGTTACTGCTTCCCCTCTCCTGGCCCATTGGGTTGAGCGGTGGCGGGAATGGAAGAGGGGCGGAAACAACAGGGAGTCGTCTACCGCGAGATGCATGTTTTAGCTAACGGTTGATGTCAACAGTACGACCCGACAATTGAGGACTCGTACCGCAAGCAGGTGGTCATTGACGGCCAGCCCTGCATGCTGGAGGTGCTCGATACGGCCGGCCAAGAGGAGTACACAGCGCTGCGAGATCAATGGATTCGCGACGGCGAAGGTTTTGTGCTGGTCTACAGCATCGCATCCCGCTCATCCTTTACTCGCATTAAGCGGTTTCACCACCAGATCCAGCGCGTCAAGGAGTCGGTAGCTTCCTCACCGTCATACCCCGGCTCTCCTCTTTCTGCCACCAACTCGCAGCTGCCTGTGCCCATCATGCTTGTCGGCAACAAGAGCGACAGAGTCACCGAGCGCGAGGTATCGACCCAAGAGGGACATGCTTTGGCTCGGGAGCTAGGCTGTGAATTCGTCGAGGCCTCAGCCAAGAATTGCATCAACGTAGAAAAGGCCTTCTACGACGTCGTGAGAATTCTGCGCCGCCAACGCCAGCAGGCTTCACGACCCGCGGCGGGCTCAAGCGGCCGAACTCGAACGAGCAATGGCGAAGTAGGCGGAGGAGGCCGAGATTCGCACAAGTACGGGCGCGGCGGTGGCAAGGGCAAGTCCAAGTGCATCGTGTTATGAGCAGCTCCATTGGGCCTCATCTTCCAACTTCCGATACATCTTGAAGGCTGGGCCATGTTGATTGGATAACGCGCGCTTGATTCTGCATGCTCTCGGGTTTTTTTCATTTTGTTGTTTTTTTCGATGCTTCTGTCTACTTGTTGAACTTGACACCGCATCCTCTAGGTGTCTCTCATTCGATGGAATAGAATGGATCGGGGCTGACGCGACGTCAACTCCGCAGCAGCAAGAGCTGGTGCTCTGTTTTTTTAGCCCTTCCCCGCTGTTGGACGAGCTTTCAGTGTTTTTACATGATTACGACGGCACTTTTGGAAAAAGAAAAGAGAAAGAAAACGCATCTTTATTTAAAACTTACGGCTCCTCTCGAATTGGCGCATGGCGTAAGACATGTGCACGCACAGACGCACACATACAATTCACATTGGCGGCATCATCCTGCGGCGCTGGACCCCCAATATGTTTATATCGCTACTGACAACCTGAACGCGGCTCGCAGATGAATTCTTTTGGGAGCAATAACCTCGTTTCTTTTTTTTCCCCTCATCTGGCTTTACCTGACGATTTGACACGCCACCGATCAACGCCAATCTGCTGTCTCCAACGCCGGGGGCACCTCTTATCTCTCCCTGCATCGTCACCATTTCCTACTCTCTTTTGCGTTCGTTTCCCCTACAGATTTGGAATGGATGGTCGTGCGGGTGTTCCAGGAGTCTTTGGTTGAGTCTGGTTTCTCTTTCAATTTTTTTTCCTGCTCCGACAGTTTCCATCTCTACTACTCCCTTTTCAGATTTTGGGTTACAAAAAGTACATCACCGTATACGTCTTGGGCACATTCATGGGAGGGGTGTTGATAGCGATATCTTGTTGGATCTGTCATTTTTGTTATTACCATGCTATTTTCTGTTATTATCCCATATTGTATTGAATTTGTTTTACTTTTTTCCCCTCTTATTATCCTTATATCTGGTTTCTAGATGAAATTGTACGGAAGAAGGGAATGCTGGATGCTAGAAGCTACAATTCCTTGCTTTTCTCTCTCAGTCAGAAGTTCAATTTTTTTTTTCTCTATTTCTCTATCTCTCTCCTTCTTCTATTTTTTTTTTTTTGTAAACAAGAGCGAGATTTGGGATAGGCCTACGCCACTTTGGCCCAAAAAGGGGAAAAAGCAAGAAGAAAAAAGTCCAAACTGTATTGATGTTTTTTTTGTTGAAATCGTGGCGGAATTGACTGGGATAAGTTACGGGATGTTGCAAGGCTCGCTGTACCTTTGCTTTGCTCAAAGCAGTACCTACGTACAATCGACATAATCCAGTGTCACTCGTCATATCGTCACAGCTGATCTGTCTACCTATCCGTACATGTGAAGCACTTCAAAATCGTGATAATCCGCAATGATGTAATTATGCGGTGTACACACAACTTGTATAGCCCATTTTGAGCCTTGATAAGCGCCCCCCTTACTTCCCCAGGAAAAACGCGTCCATATGCTCAGTTCCCATTCATGGGCGTTTTGAGCCTCTGATGTGTCATAAGTACCTGCCAACTCTCAGTAGGGCGAAAACTGGAGCGCCAATTTAGCGTTTTTTGATCTACAGCCAAGGCCGTTGACAAGGCCAAGCTGACCACCAGGTGGCTTGAAAGGAGAGAGAGCCTGGAGAGAGGGATGATCACTGGAGTAGGGATGTGCACGGCAGAGGGTTCCGACGGGAATTTATTTGTGGAGAGTGTGACGGCATTAAGGAATTGCTTTCACGGGCGGGTTTTTGTTGATCAAGGTTTTAAAGTTGTATGGACCTGAATGAGTTTCCCTTTCTTTCATTCTTTGGATCTTAAGTTGGCTGTCAATTTACGGTAGGTAGCACATGTCAAATGCTACTGCTGGCTTATAGAGCCTAAGAATTGAAAGCGACTTTAATCCACGATGTCTTTATGAACACGAAAAGAAGACGGGATACGAAAAAACAAAAAAACCGCTATGCCGATGTCCATCTCCTCACTGCGATTAATTTGTCCTCCCCAAAGAGAATATTAGCTAGCCTCGCTTTCTATAAACGGTCGTGATGCGATCCGTGTGACTCGGCAACTCCGCGTAAATACTAAGGTAGACAACCCGCCATGCGAACTAACTGCGACTAAAAAGCTTCTTGGATGCGGGATAGCGAAACGACAGGTGGTGTGTGTGGGACTAGTACCTGGATTTTTCCTACTCTTTGACCAATTACAGATAATAAATGTCATTTTGGCTACTATTTACATACCCCCTTCTTCTTTCTCTTGCTTCAGTGGCTTGAGTTGGTTTTTTTTTGTGTGGTTGTATCGTAACGCAGAATGAGACTTTATCTGTTCTAGTGTCCTTTTGTTGTTGAGAAACTCCACTCTTCGTCTGGCAGAATATCTGTTTCTCCTTCCAGCAACAAGAAAATACCACTATTCATCACCAATATAGATGGACATTTCATGTTGAAATCAATCTACAATCTTCATGTCAAAACCCCCCTCAAAAAGCTAAAAAAGTGACAGCTCCAAAGCCAAGCCGGCAACGTCAACCGAATTTAGTCAATTGAAGAAACTAAATCACTCCCGTACAAAAAGATAACAAAAGTTCCCGTCCTAATCTGGGAAAGCCAACCAACAACTAATTGCTGACCTAAAAAGACAAAAAGGATGAATATGAGCAGATGCCAAGGCAGCCAAAAGAAAAAAAAAAAGGCCTCAGTATAAGAGATACGAAAGTGAAGCTGCTGCTCCCTTTTGCCCCGCTCTCTTGCATTGGACCTGAAGCCTTTACACAAACTTACACGCCATCCAGCGGGTTCTAAACGTCTCGGCGAATTTTCAAAGACATGGAGTGTTATTCTTACGTTTTTGAAACTCCCCCAAACAAGTTATAGACTGTGTGTGAAAGAGCGACTTGGCTGCCCATCTTTATTTTCATCTCATCATCCAAACCCTGCAAGGGCGTTGAATAGTCTTGACGCGGCAGCCTGGTGGCGTCCCCAAGTTCACCTTCAGGCAAGGGGGGCCAAGTATAGACTCAGAAACTTGAGCAGCCTATCGGCCATAGTCGGCTTATCAACTCAACTAGTTTGATGTGCAACGCCTCTGCGGTCTATAGTCAACCGGTTGATAGGCCTACTTTCCTTTCAGACAACATCGGGCAAGGCCTGCTAGGTACTATTGCTTTGGCGTTGTCTTCGAGAATTGCACTCAAACTATTGGCTTACAAACAGCTTCAGAATCAATCCGCAAAACTATGTGCTGAGTATAGCTACAATAAGTCAAAGTTGAGATATTGAATCCAAAGATTCAAGTCCTCTCTCCCACAGATAACATCACACATATAACAAGCATAACTGCCAAGTAAATCATGTTTTCTATTCAAAGTAATAAGTAAAATCGAGCACACAAAAAGATGTCACCATTTGTTGCTTCAAGATCCACGCCGCCATCTGTCATATCAATCCTTGCGACATTTTGTCCCGGTATAAAAAAGACGCCATAAACCCGTAACTGAAGATATTCTCTCGTCGCTGAAGAAATCAGAAGTCTCCAAAAAAAGTATAACACGAAAAGTATAGATATAGAGAAAGGAAACAAAGAAAACGACAAAAGCCCCCTCCATCACGCTCATTATTGACTCATGGGAATCAATATCTAGAAAAGGCCTTCAGGGTTGATTTGAATTAATCTTTAGTTTCGTGCTCATCACCAAAAGGACTAGTATCACGTTTCTGAGAGCCCTCTTTGGTGGCCGCCCTTTCCCTGCCAGGTGAAGAAGGAGCCTCAACAGAAATCTTGGGGCTCATACCACCCTCTGGAGGGTCAGAGAATGGTCCTTCATTTGACGACTCTCCTCGGCTCGTGGGCGGGGTAGTAACGGTAAGTAGTGTCTCTGGTGACTTGTTGCCGAGTGTTGTGGTAGATCCGTTAGCCTCAGGCTTGGAGGCAATTTCCACCATTCTCAGCCCAGAGCCTCCCACTTTGACAACCTGTGCGCGAGCTTGGGTAACAGTGTTGGCACTGTTGAGGAAAGTTGACCCAACGCTGAAATTGCTTGCCGCACTCGTAGGCCGTAGGTGCTTGGAAGAGTTGAACTTGTCAAAGTCGATGCTGGGAATAGGAGGCGTGCTGGGGGCGCTTGAACCAGACTTGACGCTCACCATCATCGGCTTGGCCCGCATACCGGTCTGAGCCGGAGTCAGGACTTGCTGCTTGCCACCGCCGAAGATGGTAGACGCAACGCTAGAGCGAGGAGGAGCAAATGAAGTTCGGTCCGAAAAGGCAGAGATACCAGAGTATGTCGAGTCTCGCAAGTTACCGGGAACGAAGAAGTGAGGATCGGCCTCAGAATCGCGGTATCCTTCGGTGTGGTGCATGGGAATCGGCGGGACAGGGGGGACCAGAACATTGGGCGACGTAGGAGTGGCTCGGTTGGTGACGCCGGGAATGTAGGCGATTTGGATAATGTTGGAAGCGCGAGTGAGAACGGTCGAGGCAATGGAATGAACTGTATGTGTCGATGCGCGGCGTGTAACCCGGTTGCCATTCTTTTCGCCCTCAGCCACGCCCTCTTCAGCTCCATAGACCGCCTGGGTGTTTTGTCTCTTGGGCTTAATTAGAAATCTCCAGACAAGGTACGTGATGATGGCAATGGCAGCAAGACCACCGATGACACCACCGGCGATAGGGCCTGCACTTGGTCCGTTGCCGCCGCCACTGCCTTTTCCACTGTCGGTCGAGGGCGTATCATTTGGCGCGCAGAAGGACGTAGGACATTGCGTGCAATCGAGCGGAACGGTAAACTGACAACTTTCATTGGAATTGCAAGAAGGACATTGAAGCTTGGACGTGTCATCGCATTTGACGCAGTCTTTTGCTCTTGGGACCAGTCGCATCACTGGGATAGACATTAGTAGCCGTGATAGAATGGCAGCATGCGCCCATGCCTCTGGAATTCCTCACCTTCATGCAGCTCCGTAATGTCCCTCGCAACGAGATACGGGGTCGTGTCCATCTTGGGTGGTTTCTTTGTGACAATAGATAGATGGTAGCACTCGGTGATTTACAGTGACGAAATAGGGTCGTTCAAGTCGAATTCGTTAACAGCAGGGCGTCAAGCAAATTCAGCGGAAAATACGGATCGGCAGGGTCTTTCCAATATTCGTGTTTGATCTTTTTCTTTTCTTTTTTTTTTTTGTTTCGCTAAACGTGTTGATACTCGAGTATATGTCTTCGGCCAAAGGAGACGAGTGCTTTGTCTCGTAACGTAGGTCAAGATCGAAGAACAGCGGGAAATTGGAAGAAAGGAGTGGACTGAGTCTAGCTCAAACAAAACGAATCCAAAGAATTAAACAAAAAAGGGTAGTTGAAAAAAAGAGAAGCGAGTGTGAGTGGTAAACAACAAGATGCTAGATCAAGACGAATAGAACGACATAATCGGCCTTGGCGACAGTCGAGGAGGAAGAAAACAAACGGAAGAGGAACAGACTTGCGGCAGCCTTTCCCAGGTTCGTTGGACGCTCGGTGTTTTCTTGCGTGCTGATTGTCGTTCGACAAGGCGAGGAAAAGAGGGCGCAGTGGAGGTTTGGGTGAGAAGCGAAAGAAGGAACTGCGCTTGGGTTGGGGCGGGCGGCAGAGCGACACGCAGCATGGCGCTGAAGCACGAGCTCTCTACAGGGCCCTGCCCGCCAAGCTTGCCCTTCTGAACGCTGCTGCACAGCAAAGAACGCAGAAAGATGGGCCCCCCGGTTTGGCCATGGGAGGGGGCGTTTCTGGCGCCAGGGGCAGCGTCAGGGAGCTAGAGCCGCTTGGGGCCTAGCCGCCTGCATTTCGCAGCGGCCGCGCACAGTGCATCTTGCGCCGGCGGGCCCTCTGACAGCCTCTTGTTTTGGGCTGTTTTGGACCGGTGCCAGGGGCGGTGGGAGGCGCTGAGTGGCCGCGGGAGCTGCGCGCGGTGGGGCGCCGCACCGCTGGGAGGGACCGTCCGGATACTGTGGGATCGCACCGTGGCCTCCGCTCCCCCGTTGTAGCGCCACTATTTGATTGTTTACACCTGCTAGTAGCTGTTAGTCCGAGTCGCACTGCGACGAGCACTATCGTGACTCTGTGCTAGCACTTACTCCATTCCATGGCGAGGGTAGACCTTGCTTCATTGCTCTCCATGTTCAGGCTGTCTTCTGTCCGCTGCAACGTTGTGGATTTTTGGCTTGCATCAAATCCATTTTACTGGAATAAGATTCACGACAATGCGCCGGTTGGGCATGCTACCGATTTTCTTTTTTTTTTCAGTCTCTTTGATTACATCCAGAGGCTCGCCGCCATGATTTGACGCTCGATCCGCTACTGCCGTGCTGTGTCTCTACTGTACGGAGCCCATAGTGGGCGTCTAGGGTCAAGAGTACGTATACACGAGTGGCATGTTCTCCGTATTCCGGTTCACTTTTCTGCTCCGTGGTTGCGTGGACACGTAATGCGGTTCAATCCGCTGCTTTTCGCTCCCGGCTTTCGCCCCAAACGAGCCCTGCAGCAAAGACTCTTGGCCGCGGTGAAAGAAGCAACAACAGAGGCAAAATATAACACTTTCACATTGGACAAAAAGAGGCTTGAAGATGTCTCGCGTGTCCAGTGGATATACCACCTGGTGCCACCCGCAACTCCGCTACAAGGACCTGCAGCGCCTCGCAGCCCGCGTGGGACGAAAAGAAACGCTGTTTTTGCCCACTGATTCAGCCCAGACGTCCCCTGGATCCAGTGATGGCTTCTTCATTCTATTGGGCGGCTTGCGCGAGATTCCTCCTCCCTGCGGGCATTTCAGTGGCACAGTACAGGATGAGGAAGAAGAAAAAAGAACGTGATTGGGGCAAGCAGCAGGCATCTCCCCAGCGCAAATGATCCACCAAAGAAAGCGAAACCAGGAAAAGTGAAAAGTAGCTGTTTTCTTGGCTTTTTTGCCCTCGTCAATCCCCTTGCTTACTCTGTGCTTTGGTCCCAAGCTAAGATGCCACACTTGCAGCAAGTTCTGTTTCCCCGTAAATTAACAATTTGCCGGTGGCCAGCAAATCACGCTCGCTCCCCGCCATTGTCGAGCATGAACACTCGTAAAATGAACAGTCCTCGAGCAAGGGGGTGTGGTGTGGTTCAGAGACGAGCACGTTTCGCACGTGCAAGTCTTACTCGTGGACTCGTCGTCGCCTATCAGGCATAGAGTATTGCATGCAGAAGACGGTATACGAAGTATATGGATAATCCGTATTGATGCACTAAATCCAAGCAGGATTACCAATGGATCTTTTGTCCTGCAAAGTCGCGGCCAGGGCCAATCTCACCGCAAATCTAGATATCTACTTTGCAGTCTCACTTTATAGGCAAAGTCCTGCAGATAGGCACCAAGTGCGTGGGCCGGCAGTACGAGGAATTGCAACTCTAAAATATGACTAGATGGCATCGTGCAGATCCTTCGTTCTGGACCCTGGACAATGTCCTGATCGCAGCGGAGAATGCGCGCTTTTGGGACAAGCTCGTTACAGATATACATGTTAGGCATTCTTGGATGTAGTCGTAGACTCGTAGCAGCAGTGGTTTATTTGATCTGAGGGCGTTTTACATAATGTTCGCTGGCTCTCGTAAGTACGAAGGTTTGGGTCTTTGTCAAGTTGACTGGCGTCATAGGTATCTTATACCAAGTGGCATTCTGGGGCGAGGAAGCCTTTCTCTTCCATCGGTTACTCCGGACTTTGTTTTCTTCACACAGGAAAAGATTAATCATCTCGTGAAATGTCTTTAATGAATCGTAATTATCATGACAAGCACACTGCCATCATTAATCTTGACATCTTCACACGTTGCTGGATAAATTCTAGAGTACAAACCCACAAAATTCTATAACTTCCCAATAGCAGCATAAATACTCAAACTCCGCTGCCCATCCTATACCATCCTTTCCCACCCCCTTTAAATCTTTCTAAATGTATTGAGGCTAAGGCTTTACGCGTTTGACGCGTCATTGTTGCTCTGAGAACTGGCACTCATGACAGGCTTGGTCACCGGAAGCGACATCTTGGCCTTCTCGGTCTGGCGGACCTTGCCCCAGGCATACACAAGACCACTGAAGAAACCGATGATGATGGCAGACACGCTACCAAAAGTAACAGGGGCATCGAAGAAAATAAGGCCACTGACAGCGATAGGAAGCTTGTTCAGGGCTCCCACCATCGAATAAGTGGTAGAAGAAGTAACACGAATGCACCAGGCAGACGAGTACGAAATGAAAATAGCACACAGGCCCGAGTAGATCATACCGATGATGAGACTGTTTCGAGTCTCTGCGGGGAAGTTTCGAGCCAGGTTCTCAGCAGACCAGTCCTCAAGCAGAAGTGAGCCAACAATCAGGACCGGAATGGTCAAAAAGTTGTTGTAGAACATGGCTGTAAGGGAATGGTCAGCACTTGTCATCATATGTCGGCGTATATATATCCAGGGAGAAACACTTACTGTCCCAGTCCTTGAAGCCCATCTTCTTAATGACCTTGCGCATACCGAGAACAAAGGCGGCCTGGCAGAACACGTTCAGGGCCATCCAGGTATAGCCGACCTGCAGAGTGGCAAGGGATTGAGAGGCCTTTGATGAACCTCGAGCAGCATCTGCATCAGCCCACGCGGCAACGATGGAGCTAAAAACAATCAGGCCAAAAGAGAGAAGAATGGTCGGGCTGACGCTTCCGCCAAACCAGAGCACCTCTCCGTAGGCAATGACAATAATGGTCAAGTTCTTGAAGATGGTGTACACAGGCACGGACAGGTACTGAAGAGCCTTGGCGCCGGTATAAATCATACCAACCAAAAGAACAGAAATTGGGAACCCTGTACAAACTTAGCAACTTTGTAAATCCACAACTCAGACAACAAGAGCTAACATTTTTTGCCCTTTTCAACGTCAAACGCAGAAAGGTTGGTAATGAGGCCGGCCTGCTTGCAAGCCTGAATAGCAACACAGCAAACAATGGACTGTTTGATAGTTAGAGATTGCCATGTTTTGAAATAAATGAAGAGCAAAGTGAGAAATGTGAAAAGAGGCTATGAAGAGCAATATGTACCTGAATAGCAAGATATAAAAAGTTCATGTTCCATGAGGAGCCAGACACGACGAATTTATTGACAACAGTCATACTGATGGAGGCCAAACAGTAACCCAGGACAGACGCCCCCGGACTGTTGTCGATCTTGGACAAATTAAAGCCCGTTGGAGCAGCCATTCGAGGCGAGGGCGAGCGAGAGTAGGCCGTCTCGACCTTTCCGCCGTCGCCCATCTCGGCATCCCGATGGCCATAATCGTCGTTCTTCTTGTCTGACATGTTGAAGCTCACTGGTAGAGACGCTCAGACAGCCAGGCGATGAGCAATGCTAATGAGAGTGAGAGTGAGAGTCAAGGTGAGAGTGAAACGAGAGGCTGGCTTGACAGAGTCGCTAAGGGTGGGTTCCACGCGAGATTCTCTGGGGGCGGAGATGGCGCGATCTGCGTCGGAAGGGAGAAGAGGACGATGGGTCAAACGAGAGGCGTCTTCTAGAAGAAGAGAAGAAATGAAGACTATGCAAGAGGCGCGCAGGCGTCAGGTTGTTGTTGTGAAGACCGCTCTTTGCCAGGCACAGACACGTACTCCCTGATACTCCTAACTCCGTACATGCAATTCAGGAGAACAAATCTTGTCTGCGGTTGGGAAATTTCATCTCGATCCCTTAGTGGGGCACGCCGCGCCAAAAGGGGCTTAGCGACCCAGACGCACCGCCTCCCACTCTTGTGGCCAGAGATTCTCCGTACGAGAAAGTGAGGATTTTTCCACAAGGTGGCGATTGGACGCTGGAATACGTGGTACGGGAACACCAGGCATGGGGCAGGCCGATAGGCGCAAGACATTGTTCTCAGATAGCGAGTGTGACGATGCAGATTCGTATCGTATGTATCTGGTACGGACGGAGCATCCACGCTAGGGCCCGGCTGGGCATCTGAATAGGCCAGAGGGCATCCTGTTTGTGGCCTATTCGCGCATCTATTCACAGTTTGATACGACGTACATGCAGTATCGCGTCTCCATTGTGTGTGCGTAGTAGTGCCGGACAATAGGTACAGACAGAGTAGAATTGCAACGTCTGCCGAATTGCCAGTGGGGCTGGCGCAAATTGAATCTAATCGCCCAGACTGGCAGATTGATATTACCTAGCTGGTATGTGGCCCCTAGGTTGCGGGAGGCGGAAAATGCCTTATTGCAGGTTCCTGGGCGAGCTGCCGGGCATCGATGCCTTTGAGATGCGGCATCAACGCAGGCCACTGCCCAGACGCCATTGCCTGCCACATCACCAACAGATGATTACTCATAAGACGGACTTTACCAGGTGCTACTCGTATACGATATACCTCTCCTACCAACAATGATGTGGATGTTAGAGGATATCATGGATGTATTTTAGAAGACGGGCACGCAAACTTTACAAAGCATGTGCCTACAGCAAAGCCTCAGCAAGTCTGTGCTTAGCCAAGAGCTAGCGTCTTCGGCGTGCCCAGGCATCTCGCACTGTAAACGCGGTACTATGATCAGCAAAAAGCCTTACCACTAACGCGTGAAATCCAAGTCTAACAGAAACAGACTGTGGCTGCACCGCCTCCACAGTGCTGCGGACGCAGAGCTGTCATTGGCCTCAACATGTTCTAGCTGGTGCTATTTTTGGTAGCGATCAGAGAGGCCTAGCAGCGGATGAGATGAGAAGAGCCCTACGGCTGGCTAGCGGATCGCTCTGCTCCCGAGCATATGGATGAGGGGACTTCAAGCATGGATGAGGAATATCGCTAATGAGAAGATGGACATTGAGATGGAATCAATGCAATATACGAGCCGGAATGATGCTAATATACGCAAAATATCGTCCGGGCAGCTTCTATAAGCACTGCTGTGGCTGGAATAAGGAGCACACGCTTATTAGTGAGCCGAGCCGAGAGTGCACAGTGCCAATACTGCACGTCCTTCTCCAGCAGACAGTGGGACGCAGTCAGCCGCGCTCCAGGGATTGGATGTCAGCATCTGGTGCTATTGCAGGGCCGGGCTTTCAAGAGCGGATACCGCCATGTTTTTTTTTGTGCCCACAGCCATACGAGATCTTGACACTTTTGCGGCTCGTGCGAGCATAGGGGAGCTCTTTCAGCATCTGCGCAGCCTTGACAGCTCGAAAGCTCCCGCGGCTTTGCGACGAGCCACGAGATGGAATGTGGGTGTCCAGCAACAAGGAAAGTCATGTTTCTCTTTGTAGGTGCAAGTGAATGTAACAACGCGAGAAGCTGCTAGACCCTCCTGCATAAAGGGAGGGGCAACGTGATGACGACAGGTGATACTCTGCTGCCTCCGGCATTTTTCTGCTCGAGCTCCCAGTGCTGCTTTTCCTGTCTTACAGCGAGCGTTCGCTGCGGCTGTCTCACCGCAGACGCTAACTCGGGGCTGATAGGGCGGCCTAGCCCAAAGGATGCCCAGTGAATCTGTTCGCCTGTTGTTTGAGATGTCTGTACAGTGCAGGTGCGGTGGCTCAGCTCCCCCCCTCGAGGCCCCTTAGCGTTCTATGTAGTCTCCCCTATTCTGGGCCAGCGCTCGAGTGGCCGGGCACTGTATGCATTTCGTACTGTCCGAAACAAGATCCTAGAAGCACGCAGCACTTGGGGCATCTCCTGAATCGTTCGCGAGAGCCTTTCCCTCCCCTTATTATTCTTTTCAGCCCACCAGGCTTCGTCGTCAACTCTCGCTCTTCCATCTTCCCCAACCTTCAATCCCATCGCTCGAGGCTGGAGCCTCATTGCTCGTATCGTTAGGGGTCGGGTTGCTTTCCGCAAACAAAGCTGGCATTGAGCTCAATAGATTTTTCTTGACCCTCTCTCTCTCTTTGGGGTCCCCTATTTTTTTTCGATCCCCCCCATCGTACCTATTCGGTACCTACGCGAGCCAACTTCCTAGATACGATTTACGAACAAAACATCCCACCAAAGACGCTCGTTAGCATCACGACTTTTATAACCGCCATCTTGATATCATTTTAGAAATAGACCATCATGGCGTACAACGGTGCCGGCGGTGGCCCAGGCGGGGGACACCCACTACAGGATCTCCCCTCAGGCAGTAGCGTGAGTAGCCACCAAAAATACCTAGAGAGCGGAGGACGACGTCAAGATTAAGTTAAGCAAGGTTTGGCTAACGCTGTCTTCGTTTGTATAGTATCACTTGCCTCCCCACGAGCAAGAGGAAGAAGCCGGACGATATCTGCTCAACGAGCCCGGCGCGCATGGCTACGAGCATGACCGACTTGGCGCGGGAACTCCTCCCGACCGCCCTGTCTCAGCTTACAGTCTCACCGAGTCTTATGCTCCTGGAGCATCACCCATCGGCACTCCTGGCTTGGGCAGTGACAATGGCTACAACCAGTACGGCCAGGGCCCGGGATACGATTTCCCACGCCCTGCCTCCACTGTCCACGATAACGATGACGACAGCTGGGTGCAGAGACAGCAGCAGCCCGCCGCCGGTGGCGGTCTGAAGCGTTACAACACCAGAAAGGTCAAGCTTGTTCAGGGCTCCGTTTTGAGTATCGACTACCCGGTGCCCAGTGCCATCAAAAATGCAGTTGAGCCCAAGTACCGCGATGTTGAGGGCGGCAACGAGGAGTTTATCAAGATGCGATACACTGCCGCTACCTGTGATCCTAATGACTTCACTTTGAAGAACGGTTACGATTTGCGGCCGCGAATGTACAACCGCCACACGGAGCTTCTTATTGCCATCACGTATTACAACGAAGACAAAGTCCTGCTTGCCAGAACTCTGCACGGTGTGATGCAAAACATCCGAGACATTGTCAACCTCAAGAAATCGACCTTCTGGAACAAGGGAGGTCCGGCCTGGCAGAAGATTGTCGTCTGCTTCGTCTTTGACGGTATCGACAAGGCTGACAAGAACACCCTGGACGTGCTCGCCACCATTGGTGTGTACCAGGATGGTGTCGTCAAGAAGGATGTCGACGGCAAGGAAACCGTCGCTCACATTTTTGAGTACACCAGTCAGCTTTCCGTCACGCCCAACCAGCAGCTCATCCGACCTTCTGCTGACAACGCGCAAAACCTGCCCCCTGTGCAGTTCATCTTCTGCTTGAAGCAGCAGAACACCAAGAAAATCAACTCCCATCGTTGGCTGTTCAACGCCTTTGGCCGAATTTTGAACCCCGAAGTCTGTATTCTTCTTGATGCCGGTACCAAGCCCAGCCCTCGTTCGCTGCTGGCTCTGTGGGAGGGTTTCTACAACGACAAGGATCTCGGTGGTGCTTGTGGTGAGATTCACGCCATGTTGGGCAAGGGCGGCAAGAAGCTGCTCAACCCCCTGGTCGCCGTGCAGAACTTTGAGTACAAGATTTCCAATATTCTTGACAAGCCTCTGGAGAGTTCTTTCGGCTACGTCTCTGTGTTGCCCGGTGCTTTCTCTGCCTATCGTTTCCGAGCCATCATGGGACGCCCTCTGGAGCAGTATTTCCATGGTGATCACACGCTTTCCAAGCTTCTCGGTAAGAAGGGTATCGACGGCATGAACATTTTCAAGAAGAACATGTTCTTGGCCGAAGATCGTATTCTTTGTTTCGAGCTGGTCGCCAAGGCTGGCCAGAAATGGCATTTGACCTACATCAAGGCTGCCAAGGGCGAGACTGATGTTCCCGAAGGTGCTGCCGAATTCATCAGTCAGCGTCGTCGTTGGCTCAACGGTTCGTTTGCTGCCTCTCTGTACGCTCTGATGCACTTTGGCCGAATGTACAAGAGTGGCCACAACATCATCCGAATGTTCTTCTTGCACATCCAGCTTATTTACAACTTCCTCAACGTCATCTTCTCTTGGTTCTCCCTGGCTTCTTACTATCTTACCACCACTGTTATTATGGAACTTGTCGGTACTCCTTCTATTCCATCCAGCAACACCAATGAGCATCACGCGTTCCCCTTTGGAGATACCGCGACGCCCATTGTCAACACGCTTCTGAAATATATCTATCTTGCATTCGTCATCTTGCAGTTTATCCTTGCTCTGGGTAACAGACCCAAGGGTTCCAAGTTCACCTATATTGCTTCTTTCATGGTCTTTGCTTTGATCCAGGGCTACATCTTGGTTCTTTCCGTCTTCTTGGTTGTTACCGCTTTCAAGACACCCCTCGACCAGCAGATCAATTTTGACAACGGCGAAGACTTTGTCAAGAGTTTCTTCTTCGGTGCGAGTGCCGCAGGTGTCATCATCATTGCCCTGATTACCATTTACGGCCTCTACTTCATTGCTTCTTTCCTGTACCTCGATCCTTGGCACATGTTCCACTCGTTCCCCCACTACCTGTTGCTCATGTCGACCTACATCAACATTCTCATGGTCTATGCTTTCAACAACTGGCACGATGTGTCTTGGGGTACCAAGGGTTCCGATAAGGCTGAGGCTCTCCCGTCTGCCAATGTCCAAAAGGGCGAGAAGAACGAAGTGGTTGTCGAAGAAATCGAAAAGGAGCAAGAGGATATTGACAGTCAGTTTGAACAGACTGTGCGACGAGCCCTGGCTCCCTTCAAGGAAGAGGAAGAAATCGAGAAGAAGGATGTGGAAGATGGTTACAAGTCTTTCCGTACCGGTCTGGTCGTTTCTTGGCTGTTTAGCAATATTGTTTTGATCATCGGTGTCACCACCGACAGCTTTGAACAAGCTGGTTTTGTGGTAAGTACTAATAGCTTCTTTGGTATGGTCTCCACCAGAATGCTTCTGATGACTAACAACTACTATAGGGAACTGCCTCCAACCGCACTGCCAGCTTCTTCAAGTTCCTTCTGTATGCTACCGCCGTGCTGTCTCTCGTCCGCTTCATTGGGTTCCTCTGGTTCCTGGGTAAGACGGGTCTCATGTGCTGCTTCGCCAGAAGATAAATTAAAAGATTGGATGCAACTCCGATCAAGACTTTTGCGGTTGTGGTTTTCCAGGAATATATGGGGTTGCCTATTAGACAAATTATTTTCATATACAGATATACCTTGGCTTGTAACGTTATTAAGGCATTAATGTTTTTAGCATGTTTCTTTGTTCACACGGGATGGAATAGGCAACCTGAGACGAAAAAAAAGTGTGTTTTGCAGATAGTTTGGAAGAAATTCTTTGCGGTGTGCCTACTGAGTAGAGAGAAAGGAAGAAAGGATATTAGAGAGGAAACATGGAAATCTATTTATTTAACGATTTAATGACCTAAATGCTTGTGTTTATTCATTCTCCGTGTATGGGCTCTGCACGTCTCCTCGTCTGTCGCCGCATAAACTCCGGCCATGTAAGATTACCTACTAGTAGGTACAGTACGCATAAAAAAGGACCTACATATATGGAGTACGGGTGGCCTTATCTTATCGCGACTGTGTGACAGCATCTCCAGCGGGCAAGGCAACATCGGTCCCCGCCGATGAACGGTTGCTTTTCCCTATTATCCAAAACATCACCTTTTGTGCACAACCCGAAAAGGCTCAGTCTTCTTTCAAATCGGCGGTCTAGTCCCTGGTCTTTTTCACTCATCAAAAGAATTTTCTATTTTTTTCTCAGTTTTCTCCTCTTGCAGCCAGCCCTTTTCAGGATAATCGGTCACACCGGCGACACTCCAACAGCCCAAGATGTTGAACATATGGTCTATGGTATTAGGCACGCGCCCAGCTTGTATTCTGCCACGGAGATTCCTAACGCTTGTTTGTAGAAAAAAAAGCAAAAAGAGGCTGAGAATGCCGAGGGCCAGGCCGCTGGGGGCAAGAGGAAGAAGGTGACGGCGGCACAGCTACGAGTGCAGAAAGGTAAGCTTTCCTCTCCCCTCCGAAATACCCTTTCCAACTTTGCTCTGCTATTACTTGACTGGGTAGCTAACAGGTGGCTATTTGCAACCAAAATGCAGATCTATCAGAACTATCACTCGGAGCCACGATGAGAACGGATTTCCCGGACCCTGACAACATTCTGAACTTTATCCTAAGTATCGAGCCGGACGAGGGCATGTATCGAGGGGCGAAGTTCACTTTCGACTTTGCCATCAACCAGAACTTCCCTCACGAGCCCCCAAAAGTGCGATGCTTGGAGAAGATTTACCATCCCAATATCGATCTAGAAGGCAAGGTGTGCTTGAACATTCTGCGGGAGGACTGGAAACCAGTACTGAACCTGAATGCTGTCATTGTGGGATTGCAGGTAAGAAATCAGCACGTGCTCTTTTGCTCTTGGCCACCGGCACAGAGCAAGAGGGGAGAAATACATGCGCTATGGGGTTATGAAGGCTGACTTGAAGATGCAATTTGCAGTTTTTGTTCTTAGAACCCAACGCTTCGGATCCGTTGAACAAGGAGGCTGCTGATGACCTGCGAAGCAACCGAGAAGGCTTCAAAAGAAACGTACGAACGGCCATGAGTGGAGGAACTATTAAGGGTACTACATATGACCGGGTACTGAAATAGACTTGAAGCGTATCAGAGGAGGCAAGGAGGGGAAGAGGAAGGTCGTGGAAAAAAGAGGATGAGCGAGACGACGACAACACGAGACCACCCGACATACTATATAAAGGACATGTATCGTCCGATATCCGGCACATATCTTTTTTCCCTACATTGGAGAGATGGTGCTTCCCACATGGGACCTCAACTACCGCTGGTGTTCTGTGCCAATGAGAAGATGCTGCTCAGATGTTTCCTCTCTTGGCGGGACCTGGCTTGCTATGAGAGTTCAACTTATCTATATACTACCTTTCATTACATATAGCATAGAAATACATGGCGTTTGTTGCGTAATCTGCTTGGATGGACTCTATATTTTGGAAGTGGCAGGCTCCGCTACCCTACGATTTATACACGAGGCGGAGGTGATGCAATAAGTTACGCTCTCCATTATAGGTAGATGTAATATGTGGTCGGTATACATCTGTACTAATGGAAAGTTGTAATGCTACTAATGGTGCTAGAAGCGCTGCCAGAAATTGCATCTAGCCCATTTGCCTCTATCCGATCGGCCACTAGGCAGTAATAGTTAGATGGTGTGCTAGGTGTAAGCTGATGCTCACGCAGACGATACTCCCCTGCAGGCTCGGCTGCGCAGAGATGATACTGCTTTTTACCACAAACACTCTGTAGGAGCTTTGCTATTTTGATGAATCAATGTTATGTCTGAGGCAGTTCCGAAATGGCCCGAGTGTACCCTGTCGGGTATATGCAAGTCCTAATACATGGTGCAACGCAGTCCGAAACCTGAGCAATTCTCTCGTTCCACGACCGTTGCGTGGCTCAAGACATTGTCCTTGCATGTCATGCAATGCAGAACAAGTAAGAGACTTAGCTACATATGCCCAGAGAATGCGTCTACGTGGTTGGCTGCTTGGCTATGCATTCGCCTACGTAGCACACAGACATAGGCAGGGAGAGAGCAATTGGGCCAAGTGATGATAACTACATGAGGGTAGTAAATAATATACCAGAGGCTGGTGTGAAGTATCCCGGCATGTTGGAGGTGCGTAAGTACATAATACTGCGGCTGGTGACTCTCCGGATCAGGGGCCGTAGCCTGGCCATAACGAGACGAGAAGCTTTTTGGACATGGCTAGAGAGCTGGTTTTCGAGGGAGATGGTTTCATAAAAAGAAGGCGAGGAAGACGATACGGGAGCAGAGAAGGCTCTCTTTTGAACCGTCAAGAGTAGATCATCGTGCTTAGACGTCAATGGCACGAACAAATAACTTGGAATAAGAAACGTTCCATTCATTGGACACGAGCAGAAGCCAGATTTCGGCGGTTGAGGTGGGGCTGCAGCTCCACGCTGCTGGAGCCTTACGGAGCAGTGGGCGCTGCAAGCGCTCATCGGATGCGTCACCTCTGGCTGGGAGACGAGCAGTCGGCTGCGGGGAGGATGCGCAGCAGCTTCATGGTTTCAGTTTTCTAATCACAGCGGTTGAGCAATTGCACAGGGAACACCATCAATAATGGCTGACCAATTGGCCACAGAGTCCTAACTGCTAGCCCTAAATCCTGCCGCAATATTACGACGTGCTACATCCCAATTGAATGCATGCAATCGCTTCTTGGTACAGTAAGAGTAAGCTGAGGGCCTCGCTCGCCCCAAGGGTCCCACCACAAACGTCAAGGCAAGGCTCGCCATTGTCTCTGTTACTCATCGCACTGACTGTACAGGCAATTTCTGATAAACCCTTGGCAGGGCTAGGCTCAAAGTACGTAGAACGGGGTTTTTTTCACATGTGGGACAAGGGGCACCTCCGTCTAGACAGAAAGCTGCTGGAGCTGGCGCAATTGGCACCACCGAGATCGGGCTGCTGCCACTGAGGCTTTTCCCCCACCCACCCATTCAAAAGGTAGACGATCTGTTGCTCATCTGCCCTCTGCTAAATAAACTTTCTTACTTCCCTCTTCCTTTTTTTTTTTCCTTTTTTTCTTTCCTCTTCATCCTTCTCACACACCAGATCCCTCCTCACAATGGCCTCAAAAGCTTTCTCCAAGACCCTGCGGGCACCAATTGCTCGACAGCTGGCTGCCCCTCGTGTGGCCCAGCGCTCATACACTGTTGCTCGCAGCGCCACTCGCGCCGTCGCTGCTGCTCGCCCGGCTCTGGCTGGCCTGTCCCACCAGCAGGTCCGTGGTGTCAAGACAATTGACTTTGCGGGCGTCAAGGAGGAGGTCTATGGTAAGTGCGCCGCTGCTCCTGCGCGCGGGGGCGTTATGAGATGGAGAGCTATGATCTGACAATTGGCTGCATTGTAGAGCGTGCCGACTGGCCCCAAGAGAAGCTTCTGGTGAGTAATTTGAAACTGGAAATGATCTCCCCGAGGAGTCATAAATTCCCAGCTCTCCTCACTCTTCCATCACTGCAATTCATCCAATGGTGATTTGCTTGGGCGAGGCGCACAGACTGACCGCAATTGCCTTTATAGGATTACTTCAAGGACGACACTTTCGCCCTCATCGGCTACGGCTCCCAGGGCCACGGCCAGGGTCTTAACCTCCGCGACAACGGCCTCAACGTCATTGTTGGTGTCCGAAAGAACGGCAAGTCATGGAACGACGCCATCCAAGATGGCTGGGTTCCTGGCAAGAACCTCTTCGAGGTCGACGATGCCATCTCTCGTGGTACCATCGTCATGAACCTTCTCAGTGATGCCGCCCAGTCCGAGACTTGGCCCTCCATCAAGCCCCAACTGACTGAGGGCAAGGTATGTGGCTGCGCTGCCCCTCCCCCTCACCCACATGGCAGCCTCGTCCCAATTAGGTGGCGTGCCATTGTTAAAGTCGCGACTAACTCGGCTGTCTGCCGCAGACCCTGTACTTCTCTCACGGCTTCTCCCCCGTCTTCAAGGACCTCACCAAGGTTGATGTCCCCAAGAACATTGACGTCATCCTTTGCGCTCCCAAGGGCTCTGGCCGAACTGTCCGCTCCCTCTTCCGTGAGGGCCGTGGTATCAACTCCTCATTCGCCGTCTTCCAGGATGTGAGCGGCAAGGCTGAGGAGAAGGCTGTTGCCCTTGGTGTTGCCATCGGCTCCGGCTACCTGTACAAGACCACCTTTGAGAAGGAGGTCTACTCTGACCTGTACGGTGAGCGTGGCTGCCTGATGGGTGGTATCCACGGCATGTTCCTCGCCCAGTACGAGGTTCTCCGTGAGCGCGGCCACAGCCCCAGCGAGGCCTTCAACGAGACCGTCGAGGAGGCTACTCAGAGCTTGTACCCTCTGATTGGTGCCAACGGCATGGACTGGATGTTCGATGCCTGCTCCACCACTGCCCGACGTGGTGCCATTGACTGGACCCCCAAGTTCAAGGACGCCCTGAAGCCCGTCTTCAACAGCCTGTACGACTCCGTCAAGGATGGCTCCGAGACCAAGCGATCCCTCGAGTACAACAGCCAGCCCGACTACCGCGAGAAATACGAGGCTGAGTTGAAGGAGATCCGAGAGCTGGAGATCTGGAGAGCCGGCAAGGCCGTTCGGTAAGTCACCTACATACGCAGCACTGCATTACATCTCATTCACTCGAGATCGCCATGGCTAACATATTCACTTTCTCTGCACAGCTCTCTGCGACCCGAGAACCAGAAATAAGCAGCACGACTCGCGCGTTGTGGGTTTAAATGAGGATGGTGTTGTGGGGTGGAAAAAACATTTTGGGGTAAAATGTCATTTTGATTTTTGGTACCTGCATCTTGGGCACTCGGCAAAGATCCTGGGAGATCTGGAGTGACGAGGCATGTTGTGATAGTTTAAAAAGTTAGGGCCTTTTTTACGATACCGCATATGGGAAAATATGAATTCTCGTTTCACGCACATACGAAACTGTCTTCTCTTGTGAATCATTTCTTCCGCCTTGTCCTCTCCGTGTTCTTCCGTATCGGACCTACTGAACTCTGGGGTAGTAGGCCCAGGTATCTCTCCTCAATTAAAGATGTGCTCATGAGTCGAGAGAATGGTTTAAAAGCGGGTCAGCTCTGCCCTCCGACTTCGGCGCTGCGAATCTCTGCGCAATAGAGCACCAGAGCTTCCAGAGACTGGGGGTTTTCAAATTAAAAAAGACCCCGTTCCATCGGCGTGTCTCCGGAGAGCCGGATGTCGCCATCTGCTCTGCCGGCCCGGTTCGACCTCCGGGTTTGGCATTTTGTGGCCTTGAGGGCCGGAGGCTGGCTGTGAATAGTTTGTATTCATATGAGTATGCGCCGTGGACGCAGAGAGGATTGAATATATAGGTGAGTAGTAGTAGCTGCAGTATAGCTTAAGCTTTGACAAATTTTGCAATGCGTAACATAAAGTAGTCAAATTCAAAGTAATTTAGCGAGAGTTTGAGACAGAAAAGCTGATACTGTAATGTGGTTTGAAGTGTGGCAAGACAAGGTTTGTCTGGTGCGTTGTTGGTTGGAAAGTTACTGTGAACCTATATAAGTAAGGTAGGAAGAACATTCAGCTAGCGTGCCCATGTTGTTTGCTGTAGTGCCTATTGTCGCTTCAAAAAGAGCGCCATTGAATTGAGCTTGACGTGACAAAAAGATATTTACTGCCATTAGCACGTTGCCTCTACAGAGGACAAGGGAGAGTCAAGATGGAGTGCAGCAAATTAGATAGGACAGGACGTAGTTATTGTGTGGCCTGCGGCATATGCAGAATTCAGCCCGCAGACGATTTTAGACCTCACGCCGTTGCTATTCTTGCTTTGACAGAGCTCTGACCAAGTAGAAGCGCGTCTGCATGCTTCTGGATAAAGAATGGTGACACGTGGTGGCTATATGGTGGTGCCAAAGTTTATAGAGCAAACATTAGAATGCGACAACGTGTCACTAATAAACAAAGAACAGGGTCGCATTTAGACTGCTTCGAGTCTGAGATCAACTTCTCAATCGAGACCCTGAAATGGGGGTCTTTCCTAATTGACAGGCAATAGTCCTGGTCTGCAGTGCTATTTATTGCTCCGCAAAATCAATAAACAGCAGGAGCCTATGCCAAAAGTATCGGCTACAGCTGCTCTAGGCTTCAGTCTAGGCAAATCTGCTCTGTCAGAAGCCTCAGAGCCCCTTGCACTGCCTGCATCTCGACAGTGGCCCAGACCGACCTGCTAAAGCTGCGTTAGTGGCGCGGCATCTAGCCTGCTAGTGCGACCCCCTACTTGCAAGTTGGTAGCGGTACGGCGATCAGCCAGAGGTCCTCTTGGCTTTGCGCCCGCAATTGCAGCGAGGGGAGGAGGGACAGCTTGTACCTGTACTTGCACGAGCGAGTTGGTGTCGTTCTATTCAATGCGTTTTCGACAGAACGGTTACGACAACTGGCATCTCCAACTTTCCCATTCGTTTCATGATCTTCTTTTGCACATCTCTATATCTTTTACTGATTCGCTTCCTGGAGTTTTCCAGGAGCTGGGAGAAATTGCATTGCAGATCCAAATACCTGGGTGAGTTTCATGCTCGGCATCTTTTTTGGTGATTGGCCGCCTGTGCTGCAAGGCGGCGGTGCTTCGGGAGTGCCGTTCCGAGTCGCTTCTCCAATGTGGCGAGTTGCGACGACTGCGACTCCTGAGCTGCCATTCATTCGTCATCCCACAGTTGGACTTGCAACTCTATTTTTGCTAATTACTAACAAACATCTTGCAGATCGTGTTTACAGTCTTTCAGTCGACCTATAAACAAACAAACAAAAACAACCCCCCCAAAAAAGAGGGCTCCATGAGTTCATAGCTTCAGCCACTCTTCTCTTTCAACTCGCGTCCCATCCCTTTCCTTGCGCCGGCAGCTCCGTGAGCGCCTCGCCTTCGTTACGCCGCTATGAGAGTCGCTTCTGTGCTCGGACTTGCTGGCCTGGTGGCCGTGACGCAGGCTGCCAGAATTGCCAGAGATTACAACAAAAACGATTACTATGTTCTGCATCTCGATCGATCAACACCACCTAGCGATATTGCGGCTCGCCTTGGATTAACGCACGAGGGCCAGCTTGGAGAGCTTACCGACCACCACGTATTTCGCGCCGAGAAGCATGACCGAGATATTGTCAAAGATGAGGTGCGAGAACGCAAAAGGAGGAAACGAGACTTCGGCGGGCACGACATCCTCGACGGAGTCCTCTTGACAACTAAGCAAGAAGCTCGCAGCCGCCTGCAAAAGAGAGTCATCCCACCGAGGGACGATGTGCTTCCTCGCCTCCCGCAAAACCAAAAGCCTGACGCTTCGGCGGTGCTCACGCAATCAAATGTCATGAGAGACCTGGGTATCGGCGATCCGACTTTTACAGAGCAGTGGCATCTATACAATACAGTGCAGGTTGGCCATGATGTCAATGTTACTGGGCTCTGGCTCGAGGGTATTACCGGCAAAAATGCAACAGTCGCTGTGATCGATGATGGCCTGGATATGTATAGCCGAGACCTAAAGGACAACTATTTTGCAGAAGGCTCTTGGGATTTCAACGACAACGACCCTGAACCTAAACCGGTCTTATCAGACGACAAACACGGCACCCGATGCGCTGGCGAGATATCTGCAGTCAAGAACGACGTATGCGGCCTTGGCGTTGCCTACGACTCCAAGATTGCCGGCATTCGAATTCTCAGCAGCCCTATCAGCGATGCGGACGAGGCCGAGGCCATGATCTACAAATATCAGGACAACCAGATCTACTCCTGTTCCTGGGGACCTCCAGACGATGGCAGATCTATGGAAGCCCCTGATGTCCTGATTCGACGAGCTATGCTCAAGGGCATTCAGGAAGGCCGAGGAGGTCTTGGTTCCATCTACGTCTTCGCAAGTGGTAACGGTGCCGCGAGCGGCGACAACTGCAATTTCGACGGATACACAAATTCCATCTTCAGCATCACGGTCGGCGCGGTTGATCGCCTTGGCCAACATCCGTATTACTCAGAACACTGCTCCGCCTTGCTTGTTGTAACCTATAGTAGTGGCGGCGGTGATGGCATTGTAAGTTATTTTCTCTCCCTGAACTTTCGAACCCGACTGTAGTCGCTTACCATTTACAGCACACAACTGATGTTGGAGAAAATGCCTGTTATGCAGCTCATGGAGGTACATCAGCTGCGGCACCGCTTGCGGCAGGTATCTTTGCCCTGGTCATGCAAGTACGCCCGGACCTGACTTGGCGAGACATGCAGTATCTTGCCATGGACACTGCCGTCAAATTGGAAGACGAGACAGACGCCGAGTGGCAGACCACTTCTGCTGGGAGACAATTCAGCCACACCTTTGGTTACGGCAAAGTCGACTCTTACGGTCTGGTTGAGAAATCAAAAACATGGCAGAAAGTGAAGCCTCAGGCCTGGTACTTTTCTCCTTGGCTTCATGTCAAAAAGGACATTCCCGAAGGCAACGACGGACTGGCAATGAGCTTTGACGTGACTGCTGATATGCTCAAAGAAGCCAACTTGGCTCGTCTGGAGCACGTCACTGTTACCATGAACGTTGAACACACCCGCCGTGGCGATTTGAGCGTGGATTTGGTCAGCCCTGACAACGTCATCAGCCATATTTCCGTTTCTCGTAAACAAGATAACTTCAAAGGCGGTTATGATGACTGGACTTTCATGTCCGTTGCCCATTGGTAGGTTTTTCCACTTTCCCTTTTGTATTGCGTTGTTAAAATAAACCACTGGTGCTAACAATATTTTCTTTCAGGGGCGAGAGTGGCGTTGGACGATGGACTGTCATTATTCGAGACACGGAAGTGAACAATGAAAAGGGCAAATTCATCGACTGGCATCTGAAGCTTTGGGGCGAGAGCATTGATGCTAGCAAGGCCAAGGCTCTACCTATGCCGTCTGAGGATGATGATGCCGACCATGACGTGATTCAATCCACCGTTTCGGGACTGGCCTCTACCAAATCGATCGCGGTGCCAAGCACAACCAAGACGGCTGTCACCACCAACCCGACAGACCACCCTGTGCGCCCAACGAAACCCGGGGCACAGCCTACAGAATCATCGACCAAACCCCAAGAGACCTCTACCGAGGACAAGCCATCAGATACTGAGCACGAGGCTGCAACCGGGACTGAATCTGCCCAACCATCCAGCACGACTAGCCCATCTTCATGGGTCTCCTGGCTTCCTACATTTGGGAACAAGGCTAAGATCTGGATCTATGGCGCCCTTGGCCTGATCGTTGCGTTCTGCTGTGGCTTAGGTGTATACCTATGGATCGCCCGCCGCCGTCGCCTCCGCAATAACCCCCGCAACAACTATGAGTTTGAGCTTCTCGACGAAGAAGAGACCGAGGGTCTCAACAGTGCTGAGAAGGGTGCCAACGGTGGTAAAAAGACGCGCCGCACCCGTGGTGGAGAGCTCTACGATGCCTTTGCCGGCGGTAGCGACGACGACGACGAGTTTGACGAGTATAGAGATCGATCGGCTTCCCGGCTGGCGGGACACAATCCCGATGACGAGCCGGAACATTATGTCGTTGGTGAGGAGAGCGATGACGATGATGATGGTAACGAGAAACAGAGGCTATCGAGTTGAATATAGATGAGAAGCACTTCTCTGCCTTGCGGGTTTTTTTTGAATTGAAACGCAAAAAAGAAATTTTGAAAACTAGGTATTCATTAGACGGAGTATATTTTACAATTATATCATTTTGCTTCATGGTCCTTGATCAAAAGGTACTCTGTTTTGCCGCTTGGGGTGGTTTTTGTCTTGATGTGAGGGCACATGGCTAGTGTATAATGAATGTATTATACTTACTACTCTTTGATTGCCTCGCCGTATGGATGTGGTTTTATTACAGGGGTAGTAGGAGCTGCATCTGAATGTTGAAGAGATTGAGTAGTAAAATCAACTTCGTTTAATGCGTTCTTCTCATCTATCAAAAGCTCAAAAATGGCTGCTTATAAAGCCGGCCATAGGATCCCCCAAAATGCCTAAATCTCTATATATTGCACTCTCTCTTTGGAAACGCATTGACAGTTCCTGTAGGGGATTCCAAGGTTATTGAATGAAGGACATCTGGCTTATAGAGGGAAAGAAGCGTGTCTAGATCTCGAAATATGACAGCAACCCGAATTTTCAGATGCCAAATACCCTCCTGGGAACATACTATTATAGCCAGGCCATATATCTTTTTAACAGGATGCTTCTTGGGCACAAACAGTAATTTGATGCTTTGTATTAAATATCCGTGTCATTACCCAGTATTTCTAACCCCTTCCAAACAAGAATACAAGCTTCCCTCCCCTTCAACATGACGCCCGTGCATACCTCAACACCAGTTCCTGTACCACACTCCTTCCCTTTCCTCTTTTACTTGGAAATGAAATAGAAAATAAGAACAAAAAAAAAAAGGACCGCTGCAAATGGATTGTCATCAATATCACATTAAAATACCACATCTTTTAGGCTCACTCTCATGCTATGGGAACAACGCCCTCCTTCTCCATCTCCATGACATATTGCTCCCACAGCTCGGCGACGTCGCCGTAAAACTTGACATGAGCATCTGCCAGACCGCCAAGCTGGGCCTTCATCTCGATGCGCTTGATGCGCTCAAAGTCAGCAACTTCGCGGATCACCTCGTCGTCGAAACGATGGCTAGTTTCACGGGCGTTTTCGACCTCGGTGCTGAGCTCTTCGACCCGTAGTTCTAGCTTTCTAGTGCGCTCTCGCCGGGCCTGTTCGTGATCCACGCCGCGGACGTCCTCGATTTTGGCGCGTATGAAGCCACCTGGCCCACTGGGTGCGCCATGGCCGGAGCGCAAGGAATCACGCTCGGAAGTGGATTTGTTTAGGTACTCCGTCAGCTGTTCGTAGTCAAGCTGCTTCTGCTCTCGGGCTTTGAGAAGGTTCTTGAGGGCGAGGGAGAAGGCCTGCATGTCGCGAAGCGATCCAAGATAGTCCTGATCTGTTACATCCTTCAGCTGGTGAAGGTGTTGTGCCGTATCTTCGATAGAAGCAGCAAAGGCGTGGACGGCGGACTCAATACCAGGCTCAAGAGTGATGAGCTTCTGGAATTGCTCCGCCAGATCCCGCAGATCGGTTTCCAGGTCCCCTTCTCGGCGGGCCACGCGGGCAATTACCTTTTCGATGTGGCCAAGGTCTTCGTCTAGTTTGTCGCTCTTCTCCTTCACCTCGAGAAACCGTCTGTCAGGCTGGTGGACTTTGGTGAAAGCGTTGATAAAGGTATCGGCAAAGTTATCGAAAACGCCGCTGGAGCCGCCGGGGTCACTCGCTATGCTGCCACGAGTTGTGCGGCTCTTGACCGTTGCATTCCAGTCGTTGCTTTCGAGGAAGCTGTGCAGAATGGTGCTCCTGCGTAGCACTGGGTGGAGCGACAGGCGGTTCAGGAACCGCTGCAGCGAGTGGGCGCGCCGTGAAGTGAAGTCGTTACCGAAGCGATCGCCACGGACATACTCCATGCGCTGCTTATCCGGGATTGGCGGGACGGCGCAGGCGGGGTAGTCTCGCATGAGCTGTTTAAACAGGAAAGCGAAGTCTGTGAAGCGCCTCCTCACTGTCGTGACTTCTTTCTGGAAGGATGGGAATGTAGACTAAGGTCATGTTGCACGTTGTGTTAGCCAGCAGCCTCCAGTCGAGCATCACCTTGCGACAGCTTCAAGGCGGGGTAAGAAGGGAGAGAACAAGAGAAGAGTAAGAGCAACTGATCGCTCGCAATCATGAACCCGCTATACGTACGTGAGTGGTGACGAGATACGATACAAAGGCATCCTTGGTGCCGTCATTCTCCTTGATGGGCGACCCAACGGTGCATTCGAGCTTCTCGCGGCCGAGGGCATTCGCCGAGCTGTTTCCAATCTCCTCGATGGGGCGTCCGGGGCCCTCGGCGGCGGCGACAGCTGCAGAGCGCGCTGCCTGCTCATGGACATGTTCGCTCCAGGTGACGTTGGAGAAGTCGTCTTGGTCGTTGTCTTGGGGGCTCGTCATGGTCGGAGCATCTGCGGGGAGCTTGGCTGAGTGGTGATGGCTGATCGGATGACGGCAGAGGCTGTGAGTCTGGAGAGATGCCGAGCGGAGATGCGACAATTGGATGGAGGCTCTCGACCTTGAAGAGGCGCGGTTATGGTCGAAGGATGGCGAGGGAAGGCTGTGAGCAAACGCTGAGAGTTGAGAGTTTAGGATGGGCGACGTAAATTCCGAGGCTAGCGAAGAGGCGTTGCCAGTTGGCTGGAATGACTTGAGGCTGTGTGAAGGCTGCGCGCAATTAGCATGTACCTATACCAACATGCACCAGGTTCCACAGCCGTCTCAGGTACATACGCGGAATGGGATTTGCGAAATGCTCATAACAGCAGCCTCAGCAAAGACACTGTCGTTGAAAGATGAAATGAAATGGATTTGATGATAATGGCTTCTTTGATACGACAAATAGCTGTAAATGTCTTTTCCCCTTCTCTGCGCATAGTTTGAAGCACCGTCTTCCATTTCTGCGCCCGGCTTCGGTACCTGCTTGATGCTGCCTTCCAAGCTGGTACCTGCGTGGGCTGCGATGACGCAACAGCCTCGCGGCCAACCGCCGACGATTGGCGGTAGCTTTTCTGGCGGTATAGGACGCTGGTGCTTCACTTGCACATGCTTAGGTACATAAGACACCACCATTTTAACATTTGTTAGGGTCGCTATAGAACGCTGTACGCTTGTACTAATTGTCAGAATTCATTACATAGCACATAGCATGATCAAGCACGCCGTTAAAAGCAATTATAATCATATGCGTAGTCTATTTGTTGTTTCCTGATTGTGTCGAGATGTCTATGCCGCCCGCCGCCCAAATAAGTTTCCATGTTTGCATCATCCAGCTTATTGTTAGTTTATATAGTGACATGACCCCTTATCCATTCGGGTATGCTGTAATAAGCCCATTGTGTACATATGAAATAAGAATAACAAGTCGTTTGACTGCCGGCGCTATAGCATACGCCGTAGATTTGCCTCCTTTATGAATTTCCTTTTTTTTTTTCCCATTTCTTTTTCTTTCTTTTACATCTTTGTCATTTTATGATTTGTCATTATTTCTGCTCCTGGGCATTGGCCTTCTTCTCAGCCTCAATGACATTGATCTGCTCCATTTCGGCATCAACCATCTCGCTGGCTGGCTTCGTCTCTAAGCCACTCTTGGCGGCCGACGCTTCTCTCTCTTCCTTCTCGTCAATGTCATCGACATCACGGGGAGTAGCAAAGCCTGTTGTCTGGCTCTCCTTGTTCTGCATCTCTTCCTCTTCAATGAGATCTTGCTGCTCCTTGACGACTTCGAGACGCTGCTTGTTGGTAGCGGCGCCCTCAGCGTTGTGGACTTCAAGCTCGATCTCATGGTAGAGCTCCTCAGGGATAGAGGAGAGAACACCAGTAAGGGCCTCAATCTGGCTCGAACCCTCGCCGGATCCTTGGCCGTACATGTAAGCATTGCTCAAGACCAGCAGCGTAGAGGGAACGCCCTCCTTGAGACGCAAGTCAAGCCAGGTCTGCAGATCAGCCCTCATCCTGGCAGGGGAGACGCTGTGTGTGCGAATACCGCGGGCGGCGCACGCCAGCTGCAGCTCTGCAACAGTTAGGCTGTCAACGCCCTCATAGGCGATAGCCTTATCATCGCGCTTGATTTGACGCATGCGATGGCGGATTTGATATCGCAGCATGGCGTCTGTGCCAAAGGTGTTGAGACCCATGTAGCGGCACATGGACACCAGTTGGGGCCGTGACAGGTTATCCAGAGTCATGTCATCGCGGAAGACCTTGCACACCTTGATAACGTCCTGGTCAGTGGGCGCTTCTCCAGTGGCTCTGACTTTGCGGAAGAACTTGGCAAACTCTTCCTTCTGAGCTGTCGCTTGGCTCAGGGGAAGGCCGGACTCTTTCAGCGTCTGGCGAATAAAGCTGCTGACCTCCTTCCTCGTTGATCGCATCAGAGTAGCTTTTGCCTCCTTGGACTTTTGACCCTCAAACGTGCTAGGGAGCATGTTGGGGAAGAGCTTGAGGGCCAGAGGCAGCAGAGCTTCACCCAGGGGGACAATGATGAAGACGGAAAAGGGAACGAGACGGCCCAGGTCTTTCACAGTGCGCTGGAGCTGCTTATTTTCCCTGCGGGTAAGCTCGTAGCCAGCAGCCATCTTGAGTGCTAGCCTCCAGCTGATACGGATCTCTGTACCAAGGAGCTTGGTTCCATCCCAGTAATGCTGTGCCTCTTTCTTAATTTTCTGCCAGGTCGTCAATTTGAGTTCCTCCTCCTTCTTCTTTGCCAGCTCCTTTTGCGAAGAGTTGTCGACAGTCTTGGCAGCAAGCTCCGCTGATGAGGCATCGGCCTTGGCTTGCGCAGCAGTCACCGACCCATCCTTTGTCTTTGCATCGGCATCTGATTTCTTAGCAGCACTCGAAGGGTCCTTTGGCAGCGGCTTCTTAGCCTGCTCGGCATTGAACCCTGGCGGCGGTCCAGACGGCGCATCCGGTCGATGAGGCTCGGTTCCCAATTGGCGCAATGGGACAAGCAGAGCCAAGGCAGGGATCTGGGTCTGTCGGGCAATGTGTCTGGTGATGAGAGCTGGCGAGACGCCTCTGGATAGATGTCTTGCTTCGGAGAGAGTCAATAACCGTGGCGGTCTGTAAAGGAGAATCAAAAACAAGACTTACATGGACCAAGCAAGGGGTTGCGAGTTACAGCCCTGCGGGCGAGGCTGGATGAGGCGCTCATTGCGAGCAGATGTGAGAATTATAGACCGAGACAAACAAAAAGATTCGATTACAGCGACAGCAAAAAAGCGAAACAACAGATAAAGTACAGAGAATGGGGGGTGAGCTGCAATCGAAGGTGGCGGATAGGAGGGATGATGAAGGGAAAGAATATCGAACGGATCTAGGCCAGGGTCTACAAGAGTACAGTCCAGTCTGAGTTTGGTGCGCCACACGTCAGAAGCCGCGCGCTGGCATGCCATAGGCTGGATCAGAGTTTCCAGCGGCAGATTTGGTGGAGCCGTTGGGCTGAAGCCATCTGGCGAACGAGATCACGTGACGTAATATCTCCTGAGTGCCTGGGCTTGCAGAGAGTTCAGGCCTGATTACATAATGAGAGCGCGCTGATTTGCGTGCTGTCGGCCTCGGACATGCCGGACTTTGGGAGATGGAAAAGTGTAATGCGTAAAGTATGCTTTGCTGGCAAGCGATTGAGTGTGTTTGCTTGCGTTGTCAGTCGTGGAGATGGACAACGCGAGGGCGCAGTCTGTGCTACCAGTATGCAGCGTTCTACAGGTCTACGAATGGCAGATGCTGGTAGCCGTTGGCAGACGCTGTCACCCGTGGAGATATGCACGACACTCATCATCGGGCTGTATGTGGCTCTGGCTTATTCCCCAGACTGAGTTGGGCTTCCTTGCCTGCTTTGTCTGGAGTACATGAACACGTACCGTCTCGGGCAAGGCACATGTATTCTGTGCGAGAGTGCGAAACAATGAAGTTGATGGAATAGTCTTCCGTAGTTAGTTGGAGATCAGATGGCAAACAAAGGGGATCAGGGCGATATGAGGCAGCAACATGGAGAATTCCCATCAAGTCGTGGCCCGAATCTCGATTCTCTGCAGCAAGGGGCAATGGGGCATAGTTGACACCTACGTACTAAGGCATCCGGCTGCTGTCCTCAATCCTCCACAGCACATGCAGCCCGTATGCCTGGGACTGACATCGGGCATCTCTCGTTCTGTGCTGGAGATTGCTCGGTAAATGCTGCCATCGTGGCCCGACTCATCGCCGGAGCCCAAAAGTGAAACACGACTGTCCCCCAGACGAGATATGAACCGGCCAATTGCTACGCTGCGAAGACTCCAATGTTTAGCAGCAAAAGGCCATTTTTCTCTCAAATCCATAGACTAAGTCTATTGCCCATAAAAGAAACCACCATGCTGACGAACAGAAAGCACAGGCACCCTCATCGTCTTTATACAAACTACACTACTACACTAACCAGCAGAAGTGGGTCCTCACAAGCATCGCATCGCATCGCATCTCTTCAACAGATCCAGTGGAATATTTTTTCCCTTTTGGGCTCGGACCGCCGCGGACCGAATTGTCCGTACAGCTTATAGTAGAACCAGCGTCTCTCTGATAATTACTGCTTTTGACTCAAACTGTCCCTGCGGATAAAATGACGTGACGGATGTTTCGTCGCACAAATAGGTGTAGCTGGCGATTGATTTGCGACCCGCCCCATTGAAGCTTTGTTGAGCCGACCGCTGGCCCAAGAATCGGCGCATCGAGAACAGGCAGACGCCGGCTATTAGCAGCTGGTAGCGCCCACTGCCCACTGCCCGGGGCCCCTTCCCCATCAGCGCACGTTGCGGCAGCGTCTGTAGTTTCCCCGCCGCGTGCTGTAGTACCGCGTTCAGTCGCAGTAGCAAGGTCCAGGGCGAGAAAAAAGCCTCCGAGCCCCGTCAGCGGGTTCGCTTTCGGCGCTGTTCCAGGGCACACTGCTCGTTTGTTCCCCGTCCGGAGTTTGGAGCTAAGCTGCTTGGCTCTCAACCAAGGCTGGGCTGATTGTCCACTTTCTGCGGTTTCCGTCCAAGCAGCCCGTATCTGAGACCATTCATCCCACCATCTGTTGGCTGCCCACAACGTGCCGTCGATGGTCACCGCACTGTCAGCCACTGCCTCTGCAGCGCCGCCACCCACAGTGCGGCGCTTCCTCGGTTCCCACATGCCAGACCCCCGCCCGTCCCGCCATGGCAGGACCGGGTCTTTATCGACAACTCACTCAACATTATTAACACGTCCTTCCCTCGCGCTCACTCAATTTCCATCCCCCCGTTTTGCTCTCTGCTTTGTCACCGGTCTTATATATATATAATATCTTCTTCATTCCTTGTCTGTGGTAGGCAACTTGTTTCACGTCCATTCGTCTTGCTTCAAGGCTCTGTGTCTGTTTAGCTTTCGCTGTTCCAGCTTTTCTCTTATTTTTTTTTTTTCCCTTTTTGCCTTGGTCAGGCCGTCTTCGGAGTTGCTTACGCAGGCAACACTTTAACCATTTTGATACCTCGACCCTGAGAACCTCATCCGCGGCGTCGGTTCCAGTCTCGTCTCTACGTAGACCAAATAAATCATCATTAGTTTCCTGGAAATGCAACTCAGGAGAGCAGCACGAGTAATTCTATTTGGCGCGCCCGGCGTTGGCAAAGGGACGCAGAGCGAGAGGTTGTTGAAGCGCTTCCCTCAACTCAAGGCCATCAGCACAGGCGACCTTCTCCGCCACAATGTCAAGAACAGGACGCCTCTCGGTAGGTCTTCTATTTTCTATCCAAACACTGCCGGTAGCTAATCATTTCCCCTCAGGTATCATGGCTGAAAAGACCATCAAAGCCGGAGGCCTGGTCGCTGACGACTTGATGCTTCGTCTCATCTCAGGAGAGCTTCGATCCCGGGGTTGGCTTTACGGAGGCCGCCCTCCGGTCATGACACTCTCCGCCGAAGCTACTTCCACCGAGGGCTCCTACAGCGCCTCTTCCATGGATCACTTCAACTCAATGTCTTTCCATCTCGATGAGCATGCCGTTCCACAGGCTTCCGAGGATCCTTCCGCGTCCTTCATGCTGGATGGCTATCCCCGAACTGTCCCCCAGGCAGTCACGCTTGAAAAGATCGTCCCCATGAACCTGGTCGTTTCCATCCAGACTCCATTCTCCGTCATTCTCGAGCGCATCGCCGGCCGATGGGTGCACGAGCCTTCCGGCCGCGTGTACAACACAACTTTCAACAGGCCCCGCGTTCCCGGCCGCGACGACGTCACCGGAGAGCCCCTCACCCAGCGCCCGGACGACAACGAGGAGACGTACCGCGCACGCTTCCAGAAGTTCCAGGAGAACAGCGAGCCGCTGCTCAACCACTACGCCAAAAAGGGCGTCTTGCTCGAGGTCGAGGGCATGAGCAGCGATGAAATCAGCCCTAAGCTCTACGAGGCCTTTGAGCGCCGTTTCGCTCATTAATGGCTTAATCTTTGAAGAGGAGGATCCTCTGAATTACGTTTTAACAATTTTTTATTATTATTCAGCAGCCTTTTCAAGCTTCTCGGTTTGGCAATATTGCTTATATCTGGCGACTGTTACGTTTCATGTCTTATTTTCACTTGGGTATTGTTAGGCGTTATGTACGGTAGTTGGGAAATCACGTCTGTAGGTTCAGACTACCTTTGAACAATATTCGAGGGTATCGATTCGAGGGGGTTTTCTGTTTGTCTCTTAGGAAAAAGGGAGGGGGCTTTCTCATGTACTGGATAATATGTACATACGGAGTGACGAAAAGTCCCCGGCGTTTTCAATTTCACGCAAGTGTTTTTCTTGCTGCGCAATGTGACATTCTGCCTTTAGAAAAAGTGATGTGACGTTCACATGCCTGCTGCTAGTGATATGCTAAGTCTGAAATGCGTGCAGCTTCTCCGCACTCTCGGGACGAGTCCCGCGACTCCACTGCCATGAAGCCGAGGGCTCATTCACCAGGGATCTTCTTTCGGCTAGTAGTAACAGAATCCCACGGTCCGCGGCTCACAGTCGTTCCCAGAAAAGCAAGTTCCCTGGCCAGAAAGTGTTTATATTCATGCCACTAGAGTACATAGTTCAGATATAGCAACCATCCTTCATCATGGATTTTCCCCTCTTGCTACTCCTTGATTCCCATACACATCACCAGACCCAATTTAAGCAAAAAAGGGGTACCCAAAAGCATATTTTGCGTAGAACAAAGACAAAAAATTGTGTGTTATCCATCTCGTAGACTACAGTGTTGATATTGTAGCTGTGATTCCAAACTGCTGCTCTTAAAGAGATACAGTATCCAAGAACCTAGATGGACCTGTCCTAATCGGCCCATTCATCCCCGCTTCGGATTCCTGGTGGTGTGTGCGTCTGGGAAGAGCTCCCAGCACGCAGCGGCGTATCTTCGTCGTCATCGTCATCATCCATGGCCTTGGCCAGCTCGTCGGGGTCGTGCATCCTGGCATCAGGGTCCACCGCGGCATCGAGACCCTCGTGATGATCACGATTGTCTCTCTCCGACTCCAATACGCCATCGTCGGCACTGACTGAGATGCCACGGGATCCCCATCTCGCTCGGCCGCCGCTCGCGTCGCCATGGCCAGCTTCCTCGTCGTTGGGCGCAGCGTGCTTGCCAAAGATGCGGTACAGGAACCATCCGCGGTTCAAATCATCGGCGTCAACTACACCGCCGCCACGGAGCTTAACCCGCTGTCTGGTGTAGTAGACCCAAGCAAAGTCGATGTATAAAGCAGTCTGAATGATGCCGAAAATGACGGCAATAGCATCGGGCGGGCGGTCGCTTACGTCCATTTCTCGCACGAACCAGTTCACGCAGTACATGGCCCGGTAGGAGCCCAGTGCCAAGAGATAAAACGAATCGATGACGGTGGGAACTGTGGTCTGTCTCAAAAGCAGCAGCTGGGGCAGAACGCAGATGGATTCGAGGATTTCAGAGAAAACCCACATCCACTGTGATGATGATTAGCATGAACACTCTCTACCATCTTGATTGCGCTGAGACCTACAGTCATGAATCCCCATCTTCTCTTGCTTTCGAAAATCATCATGATAAAGGGGGACAAAGCAAGACTGCCACCAAGAATGATGGCTCCCAGCTTCCAGGAGATCTCACGTTCTCGAGACCGAGGGAACAGCCATTGCATAACACCCAAGATGTAGAATGACGTTACAATATACGTGACTTTGAATATAGCGTTCCATGCCGAGCGCTCTGAGAACAGATCGAGGTATCGCGAGCAGAAGACGATGGCGTAGAGCCCTTGTGTGATGAGGGAGACTCCTTCGGCGCTGCGGTTTCTATGGATGGAGAAGATAAGGATGCCCTTGGAGAGCATGTGTAGGCAATCGCCCAAAATGCGGAAGATCTAGGTCGCATAAGTCAGCTTGCTTCTCCCGGCGATTCATTCAAGACGAGGATTGGGATCCCATCTTACGTTCCAGGCTCCCATGATGCGGGCTCGCGGCAGCTCAAGCCTTGCCGCTGCTCTAGAACCGAATGGCCAGAAGTAGCGATATAAGCAAAGGAAGAAAAAGAAATGAAGCAATAGATGTTATGAGAGCACAGGCATCGAAGCCAGTCGGACGATCGCAGCGATCGCGAATAGGGCGCTGTTGTTGATGTTCAGGGTCGAAACCAAGGATGAAGCTGTAGACGTGGAGCTGAGGCCAAGCTTGCGTCAGACACAGGCCCAGGCCACGCTTGTAACGCTGGAAGCACGGCACGCCCCCACTTTAGTGACGATGCCCATCAATACAGTACACATCTTACTAAGAAAAGGGAGAGAGACTGCGTACGCAGTAGTAAGTTTGAGGCGCTATTTTACTACAGCCATTTCCGGATTCTCTTCCGCACTGGAGCTTTCATCTCCTGTTCAAAGGAAAACTTAAAGAAGCTGGGGTGAAAACTATAAACTGCATAGAAACGGGTGATATCTGAGTTGCAGTTACAGATTACAGTCCGCATTGACGTAGCCTTTATCCAAGATTGTTGGGGATACAGAGCACACGCACCATAACGCAGTGATATGCAGCAATGTGTGTGCGTGTGCGTGCGCGTTTCACGTTTCAGAAACGTGTCTCTCTCTTTGCTCGGTGCATCTGCTACCGCTCCATGATATCCCGACACCCAAAGTTGCTGTGCCCAGACGCATTCGTATGAAATGGAACGTGAAACAACAGCGCACGTGCTCCTTGGAGCGAATCCTTGATCGTCTGAATCCCCCGCAAAATTGCTGCTTTTACAGGCAGGTACCAATCTGGGAAAGCATCGTTGATCACCACACGCCTCATTGGCTGCCACCGTTACCTGCACGTCTCCAGTCAAAGGCAAACCGCCCGTTCAAATTTCGAGTGATTGCAATGGGGCAATAGTGTAAATCAGAGCCGGTAGATGCTCGCTAGCGCAACACGTTATAGCTCAATAGCCTTCTAAAGCCCCGTTTTCAGACGCTCCAGTCTCGAATTCCAGGCCGGGCGTCCCCTGATGTCACTACAGCAAGTGCACGTACCCGTCGTGGTACATGGAAATTTTCAACACATCAAAGGGTGAAAGCACGTCGATCTCTTGTTTCTCCTGAGCAGAAGCAGCAAGTACGCAGCGACGGGCATGACGTCTCCCGGCCTTGGAACCGCATCTCCAGCCTCTTGAGGATACCAAAATAGGGTCTATACGCGCGTCCAGCCCATGCAATTTGGCCTGCCGCTGCACAATCTAACGCTCCCGAGGGCCGCTTCTAGTCCCCCTTCTCGGCATCGATTTGCCGGCGCGGAAAAAGCACCAGTTCCACTCCGGGTTGCATTTATTGATCAGTGAGAAGGCTACTTGGGCTCTATAGAGCTGCCAGTAGCCGGTCGAGAACAACAAAAGGGATTCTGGAGGAGACAAGAGACGCCGGCCTCTACTGACGATTATCAAATTTTGGAATGATGAAGCCCTGGACGATCAGCCTCAAGCGTGCTGTTTCCACAGCCTCATGGGCAGCCTTAGCATGGCCCGTTAGTGCTGCTCCTTCTGGAGAGCCCAGCAAGGTTACCGTACCCAAATATTTCCGTGAGTGGATTTGATGTGTGCTTACGCGGCGGCCGCTGTGTTCTCAGCATGTGGTGTACATGCTAACAAGAGCCTCTTATAGACGAAGCCTCGTGAGTGTCTTGATCAAGACGTTGCAGCCAGCGCTATTTTTCTATTTCTTCGAGACCAATGCAGGCCTAACACATCTTTGGTAGCTACGATGTCCACTATGATGCTCGGTTCGCCCACGGGCTGCTCGAAGGCCCTGAGCAGAGAGAGGTCATCAAGGTCCTGGTGCAGACGTATCTGGCAACGTTCAGAGACTTGGGTGTTCAGACATGGCTGATGCATGGAACTCTGCTCGGATGGTGGTGGGGGAAGAAGGTAATTTTACTGTTGCTCTGCTCCATGTTTTTCTCTTTTTCTTCACCTCAATCAACAAGCTAATTCCCAATCTCAAGGTTATGCCGTGGGACTATGATGCGGATGTCCAAGTTACAGAGGCAGACATGTACTATCTTGCTGCTTATCACAACATGACTACATACTATTACAAGTACGGCGACATGGAAGAGGGCCGCTACTTTCAGCTTGAGATCAACCCATACTTTAAGCACCGAGAACAAGACGACACTCTTAACGTCATTGATGGCCGATGGATTGATGTGCGGAGTGGACTCTACATCGACATTACTGCCGCGAGATATAACTTGGATCATGAAGAAGGAGAGGGCATTTTATATGACAAATACGGCCATGAGTATCGGGTACGACGCATCGCTACACGCTGGCTGATTTTTTGTGATTCACATATAGCTAATATATCGCAGGATACATACGTCTTTCCTCTACGAGACACGACTTTCGAGGGAGTGCCTTGCAAGATCCCCTATCGTTATCAGGACATGCTACAGGCTGAATACGGGAAGAGTGCTTTGTCAAAAACAGAATTTCACGAGTAAGTCTAGAGTCGAGTTCTTTTTTAAAACGTATTGGCCTAGCTGATGACTGATGTAGCCATCGATTCAATGACGAAGCAATGAAATGGGTCGCCATTGAGAAGCCGCCGGCAGAGGGGGCGGAAGCACAGAAGGATTTGTAGTTGTCATAACGAATTGCATGAGTGTTGGCGTTGATGTTTTCTTTTTATTAGCATGGTATCTTAGGAACAGTTTGACGGTTTGACCTTTAGGAAGTTGTCAACCTGTATAACTCGACGGCATATGGACGGCGGGGTCTGGCATACACCCGGGAAGTTAGAAGGGAATGTCCGGTTTCCAAACGTATGAAACGTATATATATGCATTAACAAGTATGCCTTAATGATCTCAATTCACCGTTGTTCAAGGCGATGAAACAGAATAATTCCATCACCCACCACGGTCTCTTATAAGCGACATGTTGCTGTAACCTCGTACAAAATGGCCCACCCCCACCATACAGACAGCCCATCAACGCGTGTCTCGAAGCAGTCGCGTCAAGCTGCTGCCCTAGTCCGTTTTCGGCGCTTCGACTCGGTACCTCTCAGATTTGCATCGGCGAGTGTCGCAACTTTAAACTTTCCCACGATAATTACAAGCCACTATTATATTGCTTATATTCGCTCAAGAACACATACCATCTTGACCAGCGTTTCTCGGATTCCACATGTAGAAGCAATTTAGTGCAATCGCACTCTTGCCTTTACGATGGCTACAGGTATGTCGCTTGACAAAAATGCTTCTTTGCGCCGCCATGTCGAAACCCCATTCTAACACCACCACAGGACGACAAAACCGAGCGGATCGCCTGAATGAGCGTCTTCGCGGTGCTCAGTAAGCTTCATGCTAAATACAGGTGTGCTGGCAGAGTTGCTGATTTCTTTGCAGGCGCGCAAACGTAGAGAATGAATCTTTCAGCCTCGACATCAACAGCCTCGACATCTCCGGCCTTGCCATTGCTTCATCAGTCGCATCAGCCTCTAGTCCCGCCGCTAATGCCAAATATTCCCCTACTGGCTCGGCTAAAAGAAGAAAGCTGGGCAAAAATGCAATGATCACAACTTCTCCGGAGCAAGCACCGAGCCCTACCCCTACACGACGGAGGGCCCGACCTCAGCCACCGAAAAATCCGTCGAGCCAATTGCCAGATGCGCCAAGTGAACCAGTGCTGGATCACGATGAGATGGACGAAGACGAACCTACGCCTAGAGCTCGCAGAATCCGAATAACACAACCTTCTAGCTCAGCAAGATCAACCATTCCTATGATCATAGAAGAAGACGAGGATGAGCTCGAAAATCTACCGCCACACCCCGGTGCCATATCGGCTGCGCTGTTGCAATCGCCTTCGGCGCGCAGATCCGAGAAGACGGTCGAAGAAGTTGCAGAGTCTCCTGCAGATGCGCCAGGAAGCGGAAAGCGGCGTCGCGTGCCCGTTAGCGAGACTATGAGTTCTAGCATTAAGCTGATGGGAGTGATATCTTCGGATGATGGAATACCCATGCCTTCATCTCCTCTCGTGAATAAGTTGCGCCGTAGCGACGCAGCCTCATCAAGGAGATCGGCTGCGACAGTATATGGCCAAGAAGCGAGCAACCTAGCCGATGAATTGTCTTCTGATAGCTTTCCCCAACAAGCTGAAATAGAAGAAGATGAGTTGATGGAGGCTTCTAATTTGGTCATTGAAGAAAGCGCAATGTTACAAGAGGAGGAGGGGGAGGAGAAGGATGGGGATGATGAACAAGAACAGGAACAAGAGAACGCCGAGGAATCTGATGAGGAAGAAACACTGAAGCCTCTGAGGACAAACCGAACAAGGAGACCGCGGGAACCGTCTCCAGAATTGGGCTCACAGCCATTGGAGGACATACAAGAAGAATCGGAGCCCGAGCCAGAATCGGAATTACAGCAAGAACTGGATCCTGAGCCAGAGTCTGATCCTGAGCCGGAAAGAGGGGAAGAAACCGAGGACGAAGCTGAAGCGGAAGAAGAAACCGTACTACCAACTCCTCCTAAACGGAAGCGTGGGCGCCCCAGCAAAAGCCCGACTCTCCAGAAGCAGCCCACTGTTAAAGCGAAGCCCGTCAAAGCGAAGCCCGTTAAACCAAGGAAGCGAGTCCAAGCACAACCAGAAGATACCAATGATGAGAACGAAGAGCCACGACCCCAGCCCAAGAAAGCAAGAACAAAGAAGAGACATAGCGACCAGAGCGAAAATGATGGTGGAATGATTGAAATCACGGTCCAGCGGTTCGTCAACCTCAAGAAGCGCGGCAACGAGGATGACGATTTAGATCCGCTGCAAAACGAGACGACGTTCATGAACCATGGAGGAGAAAGCGTTATCGACGTATTCGCTCAGGTTTGCGACGAGGTGATCTCTACGACCTTGGAGCAGCTTCAGGAGGTGTCTGCGAGTGCGGAAGATTTGGCGAAAAAGAAGGAGTATCGCATCAAGACGCGAGCTATAGAGGCTTACAGAGAAGAGCTCAAATCTCGGTTCCTTCAGCATGTATGTCTAATGACTATGATTTGTTGAAACAGTTTCAAGCAGTACTGACAAAATGTGCTTTTAGGCCATCCACTTGAATCACTGGCACTCCTTGCGCAAGCGGCTTCGGCATGTGCAAAAGGAGAAGATGACTTTGCGCGAGGAAATCATGCGTATCAAAGCCGAGAGAGAACAGGTTGCTCTCCGGATGGATGCTATCAGAATCAAGCATGAAGCTGATACTAGAGAATCAAAGGTAAGGATAGTCAAAGTCTTGTACAAGGCTAGCATGTATGCTAACAAAAAGACGTATAATAGTATTGTCTCGATGCATCCTCTCTTATGCATGATGTAGAACTTGCTGTAGAGCAGGGCAGGGAAGCGCCGGAGCTCTCGCGCGCAGCACAAAAGGAGGCCGAGCTGGCTAATCTCGAGTTGCTTGTGTCTCGCGTGTCGGAGCAGGCTAGCTCGTCCAGCTTCACAGGCGGGATTCTCAGACAGGTCAGAGACTTTAACTCATTTTTAGAGCGGGCTGCCATGGCACTTGAATCACGATGATACCCCCTTTACTTTTATGCAATCATTTATTCATTATTGTTTCATCTTTTCCCCCCTTTTCATACAATACCCTCCCTTCATGTTTATTTTAATTTTTTATTGGATCTTGGCCTTGCTGAAGTCCATCTCCGGGTGCTGCTCCTGGAACTTCTTGAGGATGTCCATCTTCTTCTGCTCGTCTGATGTGGGCAGGCCTGCCTCCTTCTGTCGCTGGTCGAACATCATCTTCTCAACCATGCCCCTGGTCTCGCCGTCTAGGTCAGAGAGCTTTGAGTTTTCGGGCTGGATCTTGGTGACATCGATGGTGGGCGCGCTGGTGACGACGTGCGGCCACCATTCCATCTTGTTGATCTTGTCAAGGTGGATCTCGACAATCTTGGTGCCGTCGGAGTTGGTGGACAGGGTCCAAGTCGAATCGTCAACGCGGATCGCGTGGGGGAGGTCGCCCTATTAGTACGTTCGATATGAGTAAACGTATATACATGTATAGATAACGTGGCCAAGTCTTGCTGAAGATATAAAAAGGGAGCAGAGAAAAAAGTAGGATGTGGAAAAGCGTGTTATGAAGGCTAGAAACAATGGCGCATATCAGGATTATAGACAAAGGAAATGCTGTGTACCTTGATGATGGGCTCTTGTCCCTTGACACCCGCAGTGATGGACAGCTTCTTGATGTCGACGACGAGATCTCTTGATTTATAGTTTCCGGGCACGTTGAAGGAGAGGTCCAGCTCGCCGATGGTCTGGCTCCATTTGTAAGGCAGCGCAGCCTGCTCCTCGGCCTCCTTCTTGCGCAAGGCAGCGTCTTCGGCGGGGGAGGGATCTGGAGTATTGAGACAGCTGGATTAGCTATTCGCCGTCGCAAGAGGGAGGGGGTTCAGAAAAAGGTGCAGCGCAGCTCATGATAATAGCAGAAGGGGCACCATAGTATCTTTACCTTTGTCAGCCATGGCTAAAAACCGCTTGTTGTGTAACTTGCAAGTTTTCTTGGTGTTGAAGCTCTTCTCTTTGATGGGCCTAACGCATGGTAGACCGTGGACGCGGGTGGAAGTTCAGCTAAGCGTGGAGGGGCAAATGCGCTAAAACAGAGAGGTTCAAAGGTCCGTTAGGCGGGCTGAAGACAAGCAGCCAATGGCGTGCCGGGCTTCTGACGGTTAGCAGCGCGCCCTGAGCTTTTGGCGGCGATGCAAGGGCGGAAAGCTATCCGCTGGCTTTGGTCAGCTAGGATGAATAAGTCAGCCGCCTAGATGGAATCACAGTCTGTGTTTCTTACATATCACGAGTCATTCCCGAATTGAGCTGTTATTCATTCGTTTTTAACTGCTTCAGAGCATAACCGCAGCAGATATAGAACAAAACGTCATTCGACTGGTAGCGCTTGACGACCGCCATCGCCGCTGGGGTCGAACCGACTCCAGAGCCCGCTCTCACCTCCAAATCTCCAGATCAACCTCTCTCTCATTCATCGACAACCTCATAGCCCCAATCCACCAACAATCTTCACAATGTCTCGCCCAGGCGGCACAAGCACCGTCTCGATGCGCCACGCCTCCACCAACTCCTCCGCCGCCTTCACCTCCGCGCCCCTACCGCCCGTCGATAACGATGAAGCTTGCCCCGTGTGCAAAACCACCCGCTACTTCAACAAGGACATGGAGTTCCGCATCAACACCGAGTGCTACCACCGCATGTGCAAGACGTGCGTCGAGCGCATCTTCAAGGACGGCCCCAACCAGTGCCCCTATGCGGGATGCCACAAGACGCTGCGGCTGAGGGGCTTCAAGAGTGCATTCTTCGGCGACTTGGGCGTCGAGCGGGAGGTGGATATCAGGAGGAGGGTGGCGGCGGTATTTAACAAGGCTGAGGACGACTTTGAAAGCCTGGATGCGTACAACGACTATCTCTACATGGTAGAGTGCCTCACAGACGACCTCGTCAACGGAAGCGACGAGGCGAGGAAAAAAGCAGAGGTCCAGCTCGCCGAGTGGGAGGCCCAGCACAAGGCCGAAATCGAACGCAACCGCAAACTCGCCCGCGAATCCGACGAGTCACGGCAGAAGCGCCTCGCCGCGGAGCAAGAAGCCGCTCGCCAGCGCCGCATACAAGAACTGCAAGAAGACGCCGAGGAGAAGGCCAATGCCGCTCGGTTCCGCGAGGAGATGCTCAATTCCCTGCAAAACGCAGAGCTCGGCCATGCCGCCGAGGCCGTCGACAAGGTGCTACTCAAGAAGCGCGGACAGCAGAAGCGCGACGCCACGCTAGATGCCGTTGCGGCGCTGGGCGGCAGCGGCTTGTCGATTCGTGGTCTGAGAGACAAGCGAGCGCCCGTGGCGGATGACAAGCCGTACGATCCGTTTGGCGGCCTGGACCTGGCGCCGCAGAGGGTTGATTTGGCCAGCGAGAACTTGTCGCAGTACAAAAGCGAGTGGCTTGATATTACGCGCACAAAGGAAGATTACATTGTGGGCGGATACAGTTCCGAGGAGTACCTCACGAGAGCGCTGTTTGAAGCCTTTTCTGGCTTAGGAGTCTTCATTGAGGATGATAAAGATACCCGAGAAGATGCTACGGTGGCGGCGTCTTTAGAGGCTGCTGCGGCGGTGCCGGTTGGTGGGAAGATGGACGTGGACGACATATTTTGAGGAGACTCTCAGTGACGACATTTCTCGAAGTTTTCTGATATTTTCTTAGGGTATATCCACCCTTCATCCACCCTTTTCAATTGCATTTTCCAGGCGTCAATAGGGAGCAAAACATATCAGGATAATAGCCATAATATCTTATCTTGATGGGAATCTTTTCAGGGAGGCCGGCGTCTGAAGACTGGCGTCTTTCACAACTTTTAATTTCAACTTCATAATGAATACCAGACATGTTGATATTAGGCTAGAGAATACATAAAGAGCTTAATTAAAGGCAAGAATGTTCGTGAACAATACCCTTTGCATCTGTATCGCCAAAGAAAAACCCTGCCCGCCCATCTCGCTCGTCCAAAGTTGCCCAGGCTTTCCCATATCATCTTCGCCTTCAATAAAGTTCATTCTCTAAGTGCCAGCCGCCACGTCCGTTCCTCCTAATAAGCTGTCTGAATTTGCATACTAAAGAAACATAATAATTTCTCAAGAATTCTGACTAATAAGAATAATAATAATAATCCACAGGCCTGCCCCCTCTCCTTGTTAAATATAAAGAAAGAAAACCAATAAACGCCTCGCTGGATAATGCGATGTTTGGAGTAAAAAAAGTTGCAAAACCCTAGCAAACAGTGACCCGTGATGAGGAAAAGCGATGAAAAAGAATGACGAAATCCAGACTCCCAGATCGCAAGAGCTTACATGATTCAAGAAAAAAGAGCACTATGAAAAGTACGAGTATATCCCAGTCCTAGTTCATTGCTGCCAGGGCGTCTGCTGCGCAGGGCGAGGGAACACTGGCACGGTTTGGATATGGTCAATACCACCACCAATGGGAGTCGCATTATGCTGCCAGCCCATGCCAGTGGCGTGGTTCACAAAAGCGCCCTGGCGGAACGGATTGGTAACGCCAGTTGCCTGTGGAGCAAGCGATGGATTCTGTTGCTGCTGGTCGGGAAACTGCTGCTGCTGCTGCTGCACCGGCGTGTCGGCGGGAACATTGCGAGCAAAGGGGTTGGTGCTCGTGGGCTGGGGCTGCACGGGCTGAGCCTGGAAAGGACTTGTGTTTTGGCCTGGAGAGTTCGTCGACCGAGCAAAGGGGTTCGTAGACTGGCGGTTGAGTGTTGGCGTGCTCGACGTTGGAGTTGACAGCTGAGATGAAGACGTCGGCTGCGCTACCAGCATAGACTGACGGAAAGGGTTGGTCATCTGCGGAGCAGCGAGTGATGGCTGAAGACCAGTAGGCTGAAGACCGACAGGTTGCTGTTGTTGAACCGGAACCTGGAAATTGGGGGCTGCTTGTTGAGGAATGGGTCCCAGAGCACCGGGCTGGAAATCTTGTCCAAAGCCACTGAAGCCGGTGATAGTCGGCTGCAGCTGTGCAGGAGGCTGCATAAACCCATTATCCTGTTGCGGGAAAGCATTCCCCTGAGCAAATCCTGTAGGCTGCTGCACAAAACTGTTTTGTTGAAATCCTAAGCCAACAGGCTGCCCCTGGAAGCCTAATTCTGGTCCCTGGGTTTGTATAGGTATTTGTAGAGGAGGCTGCTGGGCGGCGGCGGTGACTTGCATCGGGATCTGGTTCTGCTCAATCGAGTCAAAGAAGTCGATGAGATCAGGGTCCGGTCCCTTATTTGCTTGAGGCTTCGACTCGGCCTTGGCGTTGCCGGGCGCTGGGAAAGGATTGTTGGCCGCAGGAGAAGGCGCCTTGGGGAAGTCGACTCCGTTCTTCGTAGGCTTGGACTTTAGTGTTTTACCTCCCTTCTTCGCCTCCTGTTCCGCCAAGTACTGTCTCCGGTGAATCTCAAAATCAGGATCGTTGAGATATTCCTCGAGCTGGCGGCCCAAGTTGACGGGCGCATGCTTTAGCTTGGGGACTTCCACTCGAGTGTGGTGTTGCCATTGCTTGGCGGTGCTGAGATATTGGACGACATAATCGGTATGCTTGGTGAAGGTCCGGTAGATTTCCATAGCTCTATCGGCATCCGGCTTAGACATCTCAAAGAAGTGACCTGTGGTGCTGTTAGAACAGGCGCGGTAGATGATATTATGGGAGCATCGTATGGCTAACCAAGAATGTTGATAAGGCCCTGGTTCAAGACTTGGAACAGAGGCAAGAGGTCAAGGACCAGTAATCGAAACACGGCAATCGTAATCTCGGTCTCTGGTTCCTGGTCAAGCAGCTATAGGAGGGGTAAGCTTGGCATTCATCTTCAAGAAAAGAGAGGGCTTGGAAATATCACGCACATCGCATTTCAACAGCGCTGTTATCTGGTGTTGAACAACCTCTGTTTCGCGCAGCAAGCCCTTGTCCACCGTGAGTCTTTCCAGCCGCGACTCCGGGGCCCGAACCCAGTCAGTCTTGGTATCGCGATACGCACGCACTCGCTCGATGAGGTAATTCGCATAATGACGGATGTTCCGGCCTTGGGTCTGGGCTATGTAGAGTGTCAGTCCGCCATTGCATCTGTAACTCCTCATCGCTTTTGTAGGGACGGACCATCTGCAAAGTTGCTAATGGCCAGCATGTTTCGATGCCGAGCCAGGTAAGCAAGCGTAGCCTCTGGAGACCCCTCGCGGATCATGAGGTGGACCGTCATCAAGCTCTTGAAGACGACGGTCCATGTTGAGTCGTGCAGTCGGTTCTGGAGCGCGCGGAGGACCTCGGCGATGCCAGCCTCGCCAGAGTGAGTGCCGACCAGGATGTGCTCGATATACTTCGTTTTGGGGGGAGCATTCTACATAGACACGAGCAGCGGTTAGCGATCTGGTTGGCCTGGCGTGCCAGTCTGCAGCTCGAGATGGCCAGATGCCCCATATAGCCTCAGATGACATCTCCATCGTCATCGCCGTTGCTGCCCAACGCTGGAATCGTCCTCACCTTGATCTTGGTCGCCCCCTTGACGGACTTCTCGAAAGAGCTCATGGCTGCGAACTGCGTCTGGGGCTGGTACTCGAGATTCTTCGGGCTTGCAGGCCTGCGCGACAATCGTCAGGTCGATAGATAAGAAAGTTGGGCGACAGCGACAGGACGGAGTTCAGCCGAACCGGGCGCCGGGCGGAGCTGGCGCGGGTTTGTTTCGTTTGGTGGGAGGATGATGGCGGTTGCTGGGCACTAGCAGGTGAGGCGCTGGGGGTTGAAGTTATGGCGATACCGCGGGTGAGGCTGCACGTGGGCGGCGGAAGCTGCGGAATGGCGGTGGCTGGGCGAGGAGCGCAAGTCACTCGCTAACGGCAGATGCAATTGACTTTTTGATGGATAAGACAAGTTGGGGGAAGGGAATTTAACGCTTGGCGCGAAGTGCATTAATTGGCGGCATGCCGGGAGCTTTTATTGGAGTAGGTACAGCTAGGGCGCGACAGTTATCTAAGCATGCAATGCCGCGGCGCAGACGATTCATTTATATTGCTTCCCGTCTATTGCCAAGCAAGAGGTAATCTTATGTAGAGCACAGACATTTGTGATTTTCAATAGCAAATTAAGGAACCGAGTCCCGCGGTCTTTTATTATACGAACTCCGTACTAATTATATAATACACTATCGTACACCAGCCGCGAAATGCATACATGTAGGTAGGAGGAGCTGCAGGATCAATGAGGGAAGAAGAGAAGAACAAGGGATATATAAATTCTAATAAAGGGAAATGAATTTGGTCAAAGAAAAACCTTCCATTCGTTATAAGTCAGAGTTTTTTATCATCGCGTTCGATGCAAAACAAGGTCCGGTGTGTCGAACGCCTATTTCATGGAACCAGCCCCCCGTCGCCCCCAAACCCTGAAGCCCCGAAGGAAGAGTGTTGAGAGGTCAGGAAAGCGGCTCAGCATCATTTTTGGCACGGAGTCTCATCACCTGCAAATTTCATGTTAGCTATGGTTCAGATCGAGGACTGCTGTGAATTTGGGGGAGCGTACGTTTATTTGAATGGAAGGATAGAGAAGAAAAGAAGAAGAAAAAAGTTTAGCTCCAGCGTCGGCAGAAATTTAAAGGTTCGGCGCTGAACGTGGGGCACGCGGAAATTTATCGGGTGATTGAGCACCTCTCGACAAAGGCCCATCTTCATCCTTTATCTTATCAGCCATGCCATATTTCCTTGCGCAGCTTATTGTTTGTAATTGAATGATAATTCGAGTCTGATATCGATATTAGGCAATGGGGCCTCTTGTTGGTTCCCGCAGCCTGGCATTGCGTCGTTGCGCTTGTGCCAGCAGCTTTGCTTCGGGCGCTCCTCGACAGGCGATTTACAGAAACAGCCGACTTTACTCACAGGCCAAAGATGAGGCGGGAATCCCAGCACAGAGGGCCAATTTATTAGATCTGTGGAACAAATGTATGCTGTTCTCAACGATGATCCTTTTCTTTTGCAAAGAATATCTAACATCGAATAGACCAGGCTAATGATGATTTACTTGGCCTTCACTCAGAGGACATCTACGTGGGGCTGTTAGGCAAGAGCCGTAACGTCTCAAAGCATCTTTCATTCGCAGATCTTACCACGCCGTCGGGTAAAGTCATTCAGATCTGCTCCAGTGCAGAGAGAGATGACAAGGCTCATGATGATTTCCGCCAAGTTCCTGCTTTCAGCCCCGTTCTCATTCGCATAAAGCAACATGAAGCCGCAGGTGTGGCCGAGTCAAATACCACCGACGGCTCATCAAAAAAAACCGTCTATCTCGACAGCATACGTGCGTTGAATAGCGTCCCAAAGAATCTTATAGTGACACCCGAAGTCCAGTTCCCTCCGACAAAGAGGCATCTCCAGATTCGATTTCACCCAGAATTGCAAGCCAGACTCCAATTCAGATCGTGGCTGAAAGGAATGCTCAACCAAAGCCTGCTGGAAAAGGGCTTTACAGATATAGAGACTCCAACCTTGTTTAAATCCACACCAGAAGGAGCCAGAGAATTCCTTGTCCCTACACGACAGACAGGCACCGCCTATGCTCTAAGCCAAAGCCCGCAGCAGTATAAACAGGTCCTTATGGCCAGTGGCATCATGCGCTATATGCAGTGGGCACGATGCTATCGTGATGAAGATTCTCGGGCTGATCGACAACCAGAATTCTCACAGGTAAGACGAATACCAATACAATATGAGACCTGATGCTGACTGCTTTTCTCAGCTTGACATGGAATGGGCTTTCGCCGGTGCCGAGACGGTGCAAAAGGATATCAATGATATTGTCCTGGCAGCTCTGACTGCTCTGCAACCGGCACATAGCTACAAGGAGATTCGAGGAGAAGTGGTCCCTGTTGTTGCCGCTATACCTGCCACTCCTCCACCTGCAGACCAGCCCGTTGCCCACCAGTTTACAAACATTACCTTTGCAGACAGCATTGCTGCCTACGGCTCTGACAAGCCAGACCTTCGTATCCCTCTAAGGGTAAGGATACCAGGCGATATCGTGTAACCATAAAGCTAACGCCATACAGATACATGCCCTTCCCAATCTTGAGCCTTTCCAACATTTCGTTAGCATGATAACCCACATGTCTAATCCTCTTATAGAAGCCTTTGCACTCCCGCTGAATGATTGCTCTCCTTCGGAAGCGCAAAAGTTTATGATTAAATTTATGGACGAGCTCCCCGCTTCTCTGGGGAAAAATCCCGACGGCAAACCCCAGATTCTCGTCTATGATTCCAGCAAGCCGCTGTGTGGATTTTCTTCACTAGGCTTTGACTACGAAAGCGTTCTAGATCTGCTTTCTGAGCAGAAGGGCCTTAATGACGGAGATCTTGTTGTTTTCCAGGCCCGTGAGAAGCCCGCCGGACAATACTACTCTGGCTCAACAAAGATTGGAGATATCCGAAATTTGCTATGGAAAGCACTTGTCGAGGCGGGTTATATGGAGACACCACGGCTCGGAGAGCCAGGGTCGCTCCAGTTTGCTTGGGTGACAGAGTTTCCCATGTTCAAGCCGGTTGAGGAGGGCGAGCCAGGCCAAGAAGGCGCGGCGGGAATCGCTGCTGCTCACCACCCCTTCACAGCACCTCTCTCTCAGAAAGATCTAGAGTTACTTTTCGCCGATCCCCTAGAAGCAAAGAGCGCTGCATATGACTTGGTCCTCAATGGTGTCGAAATTGGCGGAGGCAGCGTTCGTAACCACATTGCCGATGTCCAAGACTTTATCATGCGAGACGTTTTGAAGATGACCGATAAGAGGATCAAGGATTTTGCTCACCTGTTTGAGGCTCTCCGGTCAGGATGCCCGCCTCATGCCGGGTTTGCGCTCGGATTCGATCGTTTTGCTGCTCTGATGACTGGCACACCAACTGTTCGAGATGTCATTGCGTTTCCCAAGACGATGAAGGGAGAAGACCCCTTTGTGCGGTCACCTAGCAAGCTCAGCAATGAGCAACTTGCTCCTTATGGCTTACAATTGCGCTCAAAGTCCTCATAGAACGATAGAAGGCCAATTTATTATCAAGAGCCTGAGGACCATTTTGAAGGGTGCGCTTTGATGGCTGATTTAGACAGCTAATGAGCCGATCCATCGTGTAAGTGGGCTGTACGATAGTAGCTGCACAAAGTTTTGTATAATAGTTGCCCAATTACACTCCAAGATAGACAACAAATATTTACACTCAACATTACGAATTGACGAAGGAAAAAATTGAAATTTTTGAAACTTATAGAACGTACATTTTTTTTTTTTTTAACTTGTATTGGATTCTTCTCATTTACAATTGTCGCTGATTCACAAAGCACTCATTAGCGCCGAGTGCGATAAAGCGCTAGCGCTCTCACCGCCAAAAATCCCAAAAATTCTGCCGCTCTTCCACCTCCAAGAACCAACTTTCTTTGATACTGCAGCGACGCCTTCACAACCAGATTACCTAGGAGCTCTTTTCGTTCCCTCAATATCAGCACAAAGCTACCGTAACAATGTCGTCTTTGCGAAATTCAATTCAGCGGCGCAACCACAAGGAGCGTGCGCAGCCCCTCGAGCGCAAGCGCCTCGGTCTTCTCGAGAAACACAAGGTACGAGACGGTTGTTCGGGGCTCTCCGATCCTAAAATTATCTTCTACAGTCCTTGTGCATGGAACTTCTACTAACGAGATCATATCATAGGACTACTCTCTACGTGCCAAAGACTACAACCAGAAGAAGAAGCAGCTCAAGGCTCTCCGAGAAAGGGCTGCCGACCGCAACGAAGATGAATTCTACTTTGGCATGATGTCGCGCAAGGGCCCCGGCTCAAAAATCAAGACTGGCAGGACCTGGAACGGTCGCGTCGAGGGTGATCGCGGAAACAAGGACCTGGACATGGACACGGTGCGGCTGTTGAAGACACAGGACTTGGGATACGTAAGGACGATGAAGCAGGTTGCCGTCAAGGAACTAGCGAGATTGGAAGAGCAGTTTGTTTTGATGAAAGGGCTGGATCAGTTGGCTGAGGAGGAGGACGACGACGATGATGATGATGACTTTGACGACTACGATTCAGGCGCTTCAAAAAGACGGCGGACAAGCGTACCCCGAAAAATCGTCTTCGCAGACGACGAGGCCGAGCGGGAGCAAATCATAGAACTCGACGAGGACAAGAAGCCCGAGAAGAGGGAGGACCAGAACGATGCATTCGACAGGGCAGAAAACCTGCGAGAGCTAAAGCGCAAGCTGGAGCACTCGCGCAAAAAAGTGAAAGCACTCATGACGGCCGAGAGCAAGCTCGAAGTGCAGCAGGCCAAGATGGCCAAGACGGCAACGTCGGGCGGCACGACGAGGAGGGGGAAGAAGATTATGGTGAGGCAGAGGAAGAGGTAGAAGGAAGAAAAAAAAATACATGGTGAGGGTTTGTGGGAGTGAAGATGGAGGTGAAGAGTGCTTTCTGATCATGAGCGCTGTTAATATATTGGGCTGGGATATTTGAATCTGTTCATGGAGGTGGCGCGACTATTGGAGCCTATAGAGCATGGGTTGAAAAAGGAATTTTGTCTGTTTTCGCGTTTCATTTCCACGAGGCTGAATTGTGGCCTCGTATCATTTACTTACACAATGAAATAAATTTCTGGGTGCACCTGGATACTAGAACCATTTGTACACTCTCGAATAGTAAATTTGTACTATCTGCAGGTGATCACAAATAAATCGGTTGATAGCTCATTGTCATCATCAAATCATCATATGCCGTCGTATTAATATTTAGATCCCACACATTTATAAAAAACCTTGAATACTCCTTTAACGCATGCAAACCCAAGTGTAAGAATCCATATAAAACAGTTAAACAGCCCCTTTCCTAGTTTAACAATCACTCGTATTAGGAAGGGCAGTTTATCTTCAGCTTCAGCCTTTTTGCTCCCCTTGCCCAAACTATCGTCCTGGCTTTCGATATCAATCTCGAACTGCTCCATTCTCTGGCGCTTCTTGTCTTTCTTGTCTTTTTTGCTCTTTTTGCTGCCGTCATCGTCGCGGTGTCGGCTCAATGCACTGCTCAGACTCCTTGATTGTCTCGGAGGTTCCGGTACCGGTGGTGCCTCGAATGCCTCAATGACAGTTCTTGGAGAGTTCCTATCTTCCATGGCAGCTACAAGAAGCAGGGCGGTAACGGCCACATCCACAACGTAGAATGACCCGATTTTGGACGCTACACCAGTGTCAATCTCTAACCACCCGGTGCCGGTGCCATCTCGTGTGAGCTTGGCGAGGTGTTGTGGCGATTCGTGGTGTTCCAGCGTATATTCGATACGAGACCAGGCAGCGCAGTTTTCAATGGTAACACAGAATGGCGTTGCCAGGGCAGGATGTACTAGATAGTGGCTTGCACTATCGTCATCCCATACAAGCCTGCCGCACTCCCTCTCTGCAGCTGCAACTGTGACAGGGTCGTCTGCCCTATCCAAGACTATTTTTGTCGCGGCGCAGGGCATAAGAAGGGCAGCAAGACCATCATTTGGAGAATGCTTACGAGATTCCTCTTCAAGTGTTGTGGTTAACGCTTCTTGCCAATGTTTGTTGTCTGAGGCTCGGTTGTTGCCACTTAGAACACCGTTGAAAATGCTCCCGGGAGAGCCTGACGATGACTTGGGAGCCTTGTAAATCTTGCTGGGGTCGTGTCTACTCAGTGACACGTAAGCCGAGGCAGATGTAGGGTCCAAGCGGAGACTATAAAAAGGCTGGGAGGCGGAGGAAAGAGTGTAGACGGGAGCATCTTTTTGCTGTGTCAACTTTAGGCAGTAAACACGCCCTTCAGAACCTGATGCTTGCCAGCCGTTTGTGACTTTCCAAAGGTCTTGCAGCTGTTCGGTAGTGCTTATATCAGGGATGATTGGAGGATTTTGAGGGCGGGTAGGAACTCTGAATGGCGGGCTGCGGACAGGTGGGCGCTCAGATACAGTCTCGGGGTCTTCGAAGTAGCTCTGGCGACTGACAACAGCCCTAGGCATGCCTGATGGCTGCATCTGGATTGGACCGTAGGTTTGTTGATCAAGGGGTAATTCAGGATTGTATGTTGGAAACATGGATCGCATTGCTGGCGGCGCTGTTGGCGGCGGTGCAAACGATGGTGGCTGGTCAAACAATAGAAGAGGTTTGGCGATATAATTCCGCGGCGGATTACTATTGCCGCCTGCCAATATCTGAGGTGGCAAGATTGGAGCATTTGCTTGCCGAGGAATTTCGATGGTCAGTCGGGGGGGACTGGAGTCCGCGCCAGGCGTATCAAACGGTTGCTCTTCTATGTTGGCAGTCGATGGAGGGTTATGATGATCCAGAGCCGCCTCCGACACTGCTTCCAGGGGATGATTGATGTCCAATGGGGTATGAGCCCTCTGCTGCGGCGTCTGCCGGCCGTTTTGAGGCGATGATACAGGAGCAAGCACCGGTGAAGACGAAGCACCCGGCGTCGGAGCACGGCTGTCTTGGAGTTGCGACTGTGGTGTAACTGCTCGACGTTCACGAGACTCTGAGCGACGAGTTCGAGATGTTTGGCGGGGACGCGGCATAGGCTTGGAGAAGTTGGGATTGGGGAAGAGTGAGAAGCTGGCACCGCCAGAGGCTGATGATTGCGAAGCCATGTTTCAGACCCGGAGTGGCGTAGGTATCTTTACAACTCGCAGAACTCAAGAACTGCCTTCTTCACGGAAGAGGCGATGGGTATCGAACTGAGATGGAGCAAAAGACACGAAAAAGGGACAAAAAAAAGAAACGCCGGGGGTATCTAAAGGGCGAGGCCAACGTTGAGAAGAGGCTACCGCTTCATTGTCTGTTGGTTGAGCGTCGCATCGTGATACCAGCAGAGCAGACACAACAAGAAGAGCACAGACGGCAGAAGAAGCACTATGCAAGGGCACGAGCAACAAAACCGGCACTACGAGACCAGATATAATAAACATGAACCGTCCATCCGCTGCTCTCGGTAGATCCGCCTGCGGGGGGACATCGGCGAGCAGCCCAGCCAGCAGAAGGACGCCGTCGAATCAGTCGACTAAGCGCCTGTCGCCAGACATCTTGGCCGAGTCGGCGGGAGAAGAGCAGCCGGCGCAGACAGGCAGAGGCACGCCAGAGGCACGCCAGAGGCACACCAAGGAACACAGGCGGTGGAGCTGCCATCCAACAGGCCGGGCCAAAAGAGCTAGTCGTGATCTTGCGCCCGAAAATAGCACCTTGATCTTGACGGGACAAGGCCGTTGCGTTCGGCACGGGCCAATGGGAGGCCGCATCACACTGCATTGGCTCGATTTAAGCGCTGGAAACGCAGGGGTGGGCTAGGCTCGACGGCCACTGGAGGAGCGCCATAGGCCAGTTGCAGAGGCCCAGAGCATCGCGCTTGGTCGCATCGGAGTGGGTTCTTGATAGGCTGGAGCTCGTTGGTCGCGGCAGCAAAGGCGCTTAATTTTCTCGAGGAGGTGGAGTTTTGAAAAGCTAGTCTGGTGCTAATGCGAGTGTGTGTGTGCCACCATCAAGATGAGGTGGGCGCCCTGGTGCGAGACGAGGAATCAAGATTGAAGGAGACAAAATTTGAAGCATCAGATGTGGGCAGGGCTTTGGTATGAATCTGCCTCTTCTGTCCTCTTCTCTTCTATCTTCCATCGTGTATCGACATATAGAGTTTACACTTCGCAAAGTATGATACGCGGCATGCCCCGCTATGAGCTGCGGGTGATGGCCCAGGACAAAGGCCCAGCGCCTGAACTGGCATCCGACGACAGACTCCGAGAAGCTGCATCTCTCGCTCCCGGACCCCTGCAAAACGTCTTACATGTCACTGGCCGATCATTTGGAGAGTCGCAGCTGGAGTTGAACATGCGACAAGAACGAGTGTAAGACTGAGAAATTACAAGGTTAGACTGCAGTCTCCTAGAACGGGCACATACTTGCGTGCTCAACGTCCTGAGCGGGCACCGATTGGCCCTCTGAGTCCCTCTCTAGCAGTCTCTGTATCGCTCAAAACTCCGACGAGGCCTGTTTCCGTGCTGATATGCGTCAACGACATTGAATCCCAGCGTCTTTAAAAAATGCAAATAAGATGAATGCCTGAATGTGATGCCGCTTTGGTGTCACGCGGTACGCGGACCTTGACGCATCCTTGATTGCCACAAACATCTACCAACATTCTGACGCATATTTCTTGACCAGCTAGCAGCTGCTATTCTCTCTTGCCAGGAACTATAGGTACTGCATCCGGAACCTCGGTTACCAGTCAAGCCAGCTGAGCTCCATCGCCGTCCCATCATCTACTTGGTGCTTATTCTCAAGTCATGCCTTGGCTTCGCTGTTCTGATGAGCTGAACAAGCATCTCGAGTGGCTATGGGATACTCAACCCCGGACACTTCAGAAAATTTACCAGTCCTTCCCGCGACCGTATCCCGACCCACAACTAGAATGTCATCTCCAGATATACCAGCAGTGTAGCATACTGCAGTACAGATTAGACAGACTAAAACATACTCCGCTATTATCCGACGCGCTTCTGCAAACACTCAACGTAATCCGCGGTGCCACTTTCGATATTGACGATTGTCACTCGCTTGATATCGAAAAGAGATTCTTCACTGCCACTCGAGATAGATTGGCAAGCCAGTATGCCCAAGACTTTCTCAACCGAGGAGGAAAGTGGCCAGAAGTTGAGACAAGGTATCCGGTTTTCAAAAATGGGAAACCCATTCTAGACCTAAGCTACATGCATAATTATGCACCGGTGCTCTGGGAGATGACAGCGCGGGAGGCGGGGCACGAGAGCAACTCATGGTGGTTTCGCAATGGGTATATATATATATCCCTATCAGGTTGCCTCTTGTGCCATATAATAGACGCTAATTTTTACTGATTTGCTTTGGAAGCCTTACCAGCATCGACCCTAGGCTACTTACGACGTTGGAAGGATTGTCCGGGGGTCAAGGAATCCATTTCACGACTTTCAGGCAACCTACACGCTCCTTTACAAAGGTGAACACAGCCGGGACCCCAATCCAGCTTTTCCTCACACAATTGTCATCACTTGCGACACCCTTGTCCCTGATGACCGTATCCTGAGAAGTGAACTGCTACTGGCAGTGAGTATCTTACGCAGGACTCATGCGACCAATCCGTGTCTGGAGCATCACACGGTTCCGGTAAGTGTTGAACATGTCGTCGATAGCACACTTGGTCATAGCTTATGACATATCAAGATTCTAGTGCTAAGCTTCCACGAAACGGGTGGCCGAATATTGCAGCTACATACCGAGAACGACCATTTTGTAGTTCGCGTCTCTCGTCGGCTAAAGTTCCCTACGGATGATGGCAGTATACTGGCCGACGCGCTGACCATGCTGAGATGGATGCTGGCAGCACCGATGGGCGATACGCGCTTGCCCTTCAAAACAATTGTTACCTCACCCAAAGCTAACAAGGTTTCTCGGAATGAAGAAGATCCAAGATTGGCTTCGACGTTGAGAAAGCCGGCTGCTGCGGAGCCAGATCTGCTGATATCAAGTAGTCGATGCCCAGTTGAGTGCTGAAAAGGTTGCAGTCCTATATGATCGGCCATGTAGTCTATGTGCTGCATTTCTAACATTGGTGAGGAGCATATGAAGATGATACCAAGACAATATAGCGCCCACTTGATAACAAGGCCTTCCGTTGGAATACTCGACATATACAGGATTAACAGACCGATGGGTGCCTGTGCTGTCAACCCAAGTGGGCAACAGCTTTGGATGGAATACCAAGTATTTGTGAACTAAAATGAACTACTAATTACGGATGAAATAATGTGTAATAAACAAATCTTCAGAAGCAGGGGGGCGTTTATGTTCCGTATGATAACAACACAGATACGTAGGTAGCTAGATAACTCGATTAAGAATTTACTTCTCATTACATAAGTAATATCTGCTATCATTAACTTATTCAAATTGCAACGAAACAATAGAAACAATATAATATCTAGCTAGTACCAGATTTATATTTCGGCGGATTTCAAGATATTTCTAAGCTAGCAAGCTTTCTACATTCAAAATATCATGTAAGATATTGCTTGCTGCAGGGTAAACGTACTAAATGTCGGTCCAGGCAAAGGCTTGTTGCTCTCCTGTACAATAATAATACATACATTATATGAAGGCGTGCTTCATGATATTGAGAGACCTATGTCAACTTCCTCGAAACAGTCAACATTCCACGCTTATGGCACCCCCCGAATTCTCGTCTCGACAGATATTCTCACAAGACAACCCCAAAGTCTTTCTCCATGCATCACCGAAATCGCTATCCACAAAATCTCCATTATTCCTCCACCGCTTCTCCCATTGGCGCGGTTATTATCACCGGCTAAATTGCCATTGGACCTCTTATAATTGTGGGTAGCAGAGCAAATAGTGCCTTGAAAGCTTTCGGGGTCACCAGGCAAAGCTCCAAGGAACATGGAGTCGCTGCCAAAGTACTAGGGAGAGCAGAGTAGCTCGGCGCGGGGTTCCCTTTGGGCTTTGGAGTAAAAACACGCTTCACGTTTGGCTCAATTGTCCTCTCCAATGAGCCATCGTGGGGCATCGATTGGGAAGAAATTCGTTCGCGCCGTGGGAAATGTCATATGGCTGATTCGCAATGCGGGGATGGGAAGGATTTTTTCTTGCTATATATAAGAAGATGATGATCAGCTGGCTTGGAGTGAAATTTTCTCTCATTCTCTACTCTTCAATGTCATTGTGATTTTGCTTGAGTCGAAAGTTCCTACCCCGCCAAGCGTTCCGTTTCGCTCGTAGACTTGCAGCACCAGAGTATCGAAATGGCGACTCAAACCATTAACAAGGATGCAATCAGCGTAAGAGGAATTCACCAAAGGAGAGGCAAAGGGCGTTAAGAATCGAGCGGGCTAACAATTGGAATTGGCGAATTCGAACAGAACCTTTCGTTTGTCCTGAACAAGCCCGGCGACGTCACCTTCGAGGAGCGGCCCAAGCCCACCATCGCCGACCCCAACGATGTCCTTGTCGCCGTAAACTACACCGGAATCTGTGGCTCAGATGTCCACTACTGGGTGCACGGCGCCATCGGCGACTTCGTTGTCAAAGACCCAATGGTTCTCGGCCACGAGTCTGCTGGCACCATCGTCGAGGTCGGCTCTGCCGTCAAGCACCTCAAGGCCGGCGACCGCGTTGCTCTCGAGCCCGGCTACCCATGCCGACGATGTACATTCTGCCGCGCCGGCAAATACAACCTCTGCCCGGACATGGTCTTCGCCGCGACGCCGCCATACCACGGCACCTTGACCGGGCTGTGGGCTGCTCCCGCCGACTTCTGCTACAAGCTGCCAGACAACGTGTCGCTGCAGGAGGGCGCGCTGATCGAGCCGCTCGCCGTGGCCGTCCACATTGTCAAGCAGGCGCAGATCCTGCCCGGCCAGTCGGTCGTCGTGTTGGGAGCCGGCCCTGTAGGCCTCCTCTGCGCTGCCGTGGCGAAGTCATACGGCGCATCAAAGGTTGTCAGCGTCGACATCGTCCAGTCCAAGCTGGATTTTGCCAAGAGCTTCTGCTCCACGCACACCTATGTATCACAGCGAATCTCGCCCGAGGAGAACGCCAAAGCCATCAAGGAGCTTGCGGATCTGCCCATCGGTGCCGACGCCGTCATCGATGCCAGCGGCGCAGAGCCGTCTATCCAGGCGGGCGTCAACGTTGTCCGTGTGGGAGGCACTTATGTGCAGGGCGGCATGGGCAAGCCCGACATCACATTCCCCATCCTGGCCATGTGCATCAAGGAGGTTACGGTCCGAGGATCGTTCCGTTATGGAGCTGGAGATTACGAGTTGGCCGTTGAGCTTGTCAGGAGTGGCCGCGTTGATGTTAAGAAGTTGATTTCGAGCGTTGTTGGCTTCAAGCAGGCAGAGGAGGCGTTCGAAAAGGTCAAGACTGGGCAGGTGATTAAGATTTTGATTGCCGGACCCAACGAGAAGGTGTAAAAAGTAAGGAGACTAAAACATAATGTAAAAAGTGATACCAAAAACTAGATAAAACAGTAAATGCTACTACATGATGAGCAACAGCTAAGGCTGCATCCCAACCCTGATCTTGTGAGACACGCATATGCCTACCCACGAACCTAGTGGTAGCCTATTTGTTAGGAGATCAATTCTAAACTGGCGTCCATATTGATCCTTGCAACGACAGCGAGTGGCGGTCACCGTAGACCCCAAGAATTGAGGCTCTAACTTGCTGTGGATGCTGCAGGCTGAAGGGCGCCAGTCACACAGAAGCAATCTCCCTGGCACTGTAACTGACGCACAAGCAGCGATAGCACATGCATACCGATGTACATGGACTGTATAGCATGGGGAGTGCGGCTGGGCCATGGTTACACCAAACAAAGAGAGTGTTTATCAAGCCTTCAACGAGAGTAACATGCCTCCAAATAAGATGCCAGGCTAGGGTTAGTCAGCGAAAATCGCCTGATGCAGTCACGTGGATGCTCGTTACGCTGTGTCGGCGACTTGTTAACGCGTCCCTAAAAAAGAACGTTAATCCCTCACAGTGAGCCTCACCTGAGATACTATCGCGTATCAAGCCGAACCTATTTGCAGCACATCTTTACACGTCGACGGCCCCAGTCATGGAGTCGTTATATAATCTTACATTTCAGACCATCGAAGAGGCCAGGGCTGCCGTTGATGCCGTTGCTCTGCCTCTGGGTTGCAGCCTGGTCAAGAACCGGACGCGGCCCAACCTCCTTGAACTACGATGCTGCAAGGGAAGGAAGTTCAGATCACAACATAATCCGAACCTTCCGCCTTCCAAGCGCCGTGAGACGAGCTCCCAGATGACGGGCTGCCCTTATAGGCTCGTTATCTACCGCCATAGTTTCATAAGTTTATGGAGAATCCGTCGCAGTCGAAACGACACGGCGAATGAGCACAATCACGAAGTTCTTCCTCCAACAGCGCTCTCTCGGTTCCGAAACATCGTCATTGAGCAGAGAAAGCCACAGATTATGTCCTTGTACAAGCTTGGGCTCAAGCCAATTCAAATTCTCAAGCATTTGCAAGAGATTGACAGTGACCCGGGTATCCAAGCATTGACCCGTCACGACATTTACAACATGGTACGAAAGCATAATCAACAACAACAACAACAGGAGCAGCAGCAGCAGCAGCAGCAGCAGCAGCAACAAGAGCAAAACGATCAACAAGAAGAACAACCAGAAGAACAGACCGCTTAGTTTAGCGAATGGCCTGAGCCTGACGGTGTCACAGTGTCACAGGTCACAGATGGCGCAGAAACTATAAGGATCGAGCCTAGCTTGGGCAAATCCTGGAATATCCAGACGCAGCTAAGGCAAATCCTGGAATATCCAGACGCAGCTAACGACGCTGGCGCGAATTGCTAGTTTGGTGAGGCTGAGTTGGGACGGGCTCGCGATAGGGCCTTGCGCAACGGGAGCTGGGTCTCACGGCTGGGCTGCATTCCGCGGCGGATCCTCTTCTGTCTGACGGCCCAATGTCTTAATCTAAAAAAAAAAGAAGCTCTTTTACGAGTGGTGCCCAAAAAGCTGGCGCTTCCACGTGCCTAGGAAGGGAAAGATGAGCTTTTGATACAAGTAAGACGGCGGAACCAATCCCGCGTCCTGCCGATCGTTGCGATTTTAGCACCAGGCCAGCACCTTAATTAGACCCCTTGTTCTCACGAGCTGCCAACTCTGAACAAATCAGCGTGGAGCATCTGCTACTGCAAGCAGACTTATCGTGTATCTACTTATTACAAACATACCAGGTATAGCTACGATGAATACGTACTGACCTAGGCGCTGAGCTGTCCATCTCACACGCAAGGGATGAAGCTCGCCTCCAGGCTATGCAGATGGACGTGTCTAGCGCACCTTTATTCTTGCTAAAATTGCTTTGCTTCTTGCTAAAATTGCTTTGCTTCTTTCACCCTCCCCAGCATTCGATAGTTTCATACCCTGCCTGCCAGTGCACCTTCAAAAAGCAGGGAATGGTGCAAAAGGATCCGCCCATCGGAACTGGCAAATCGGCGCCAAGCATCCCATGTTGGGATCCGTGCGGCACCAATAGCTGATCCGGAGCTTGGCTCACAACCTCATTAAACGTCCAGCTTCTCATGCAAGCCACATGTTCCAACGCAACCCACCCTGACCGCATCTGCTCATTCTTTTTTGTTTTTTCCCTTTCAGTCTCGCCTATTCTCTGCGGTGCCCCAAGCCCACCCACACCTCTTCTTCGCAGCAGTTTCACGCCTTGCAAGGTCTTCGGAGCTGCGCTACGACATTCTGCATCCCACGGACCGTGACTTACACGCTATAGTCTGGCGGGTCCAGAACACCATCACCGCCATGGCTTGCCACAGCCGCACACGGCTAGCAGTGATTCTTGGCAAAAGTTGATTGCGACAGCCCCGAGGTCCCTTGATTTTGAGCCCGGCCCAAGCTCACAGCGGCTTAATGGCAGAACCTAAACACCAGACCCTGGACTGCGGCTGAACCCGAGAGGGGACACCAGCGCTGTTAGTGCGATAGTTGGCGCGCGAGGGATGGCACGCGAGACCGCAAAGCTTGATGGGCGATGGAGACAACGAGCCGGCAGTCTGCCTCACCGATTGCTCCTAGGCTGATAGAGCTGCCGGTGGCGGAGACCAAAGGGCGTGCCGTCTTTGTTGCTCGGCTGTAGGAAATAAGAATGCCGTGCTGTCCCGCGGTTCTTGGGGTGCCTGTTTTTGCTTTCTTCAGGTTGTATATAACGAGCTGAGAAGCCTCTTTCTGTCCTATAACAACCTTCTGGGACTACTACTTTCAACAGATCAAGAAGAGTAATTGGTTGCTATCCAAGCACTCATCTTCACCATGCAGCAACCTGAAGGCGAAAAGGCCCATGTCCTGGTCACACCCCTCTGGGTGTTCGTCACCCGCATCTTCCAGATTCTCATTTCTGTAGCCATCCTCGGCTTGGCTGCTGATTTGGCGCACGATGCCTATCTTGATGAGGAAGGCCTTGCCCTGGCTGTTGTAAGTCGATTCACTCCTCAGTGCCCTCACTGTTCAGACGGCCAATTTCAAAAGAAACATGCAATGCTAACAATCAATTCAATTAGTCTCTCATCACTTGGATCGTCGTCTTGTATGCCATCCTTACCGAGCGACTCCCAACGCTGTACCATATCTATCATGTAGTCGCCATCATCGTCCTCGACGGCGTGTTGATGATTCTTTGGCTCGCAACCTTTGCTGCTGTCGCTGCCAGGCGCGCGCAGTTCGTCTTCCACGTCTCTGTGCAGGGATGCTTCAACGACGGCAGCGTCTTCAACAGCGAGACATGCTACAGGAAGCGCGACATTGGCAAGCGCGATGTCATCTTGTTTAAGAGAGGTGGTGACATGCTTTCTGCCATTGCTGGCCTTGGTGCTTTGGTCTGGTAAGTTTAACCGAACTATGTGACTTGATTGTTTCACTGCTGACCTAGCACATAGGCTTCTCTTTATTGCAACCTTTGCCTGGACTCTTCACAACTTCCTCAAGGGCCGCAAGGAAGGCAGATTCTTGTTTGACAACGAGACTGCCACTCCTCAGACCATTGCCATGGAGACCAAGCACGATACTCAGGCTCAGCAGCAGGCTCCCCTCCAGCCCCAGCCTGCTGCCCAGCCTGCTGCCCATCAAACCGCCCAGTATCCTCCTCAGGAGCAATACCCACAGGGCCAATATCCTCCTCAGACTACCAGCCCTTATCCTCCCGCCCAGTCTCCTTACCAGCCCCAGCCTGCCTACTCCCCTCCTCCCCAGGAACATCAGCAGGCAGCGTACGGCCAGTATCCTCCTCAGCACTACCCGCCACAGGGTTACCATGAAGCGCCCTCTGAGGTTTCATCTACGCATCCCCACCAGCAGCCTCCCTATGAGACTTCATAGTTGATAAAAGATGAATCTGGTTTAAGAAAATGGGAATGAAGAGATGGGATTGGAGAAGTGAGTCATTGGGCGCATTTTTATTTATGGATATCCCACGGGTTTTATGGTTGACTTGGGTTAAAGTAATGAATTGGATGAAACACAGTATATACCTCTATTACAAATCACAGATGGCTGTAAAAACAGCTAATTCTAATTGTTTTCATATACCTTATTAAAGCGTCTAAGCACGCATTTCGTATATACCCATCTGTCACTTCTGTTGCTAATTGCAAATAACGAAAAGACGCTGTCCATGGTGCTTTTGCTTTCGCTTTGGCTTTCGCTTTTGCTGCCACGCACTCTTCTACACCTCATCTTCATCAATCGAGACCTCAAGTTGACACCCTCGAACCTCGGCTACTGCCTTCCTCCAGAGCTCAACCACGTCCTCGGCCGGTGTATATCCCGGCAAGCTCCCCCAATGCGCGGTGGCAACACCTTTAGCAGCATCGTATCGGTACAAGAAGCCTTGGTATTTGTGCCCCCACTGGATCGCCACGTCATACGTACCAAGAAACAGATACCGCAGTGCCGGCATCCGCCGCGCTGCTCGGGCTGCGCTTCGGTGGATTCGATCCATCTCCGTCGCGACAGGTAGGGTCCGAAAGTCGTTCTCGTACAGGTCCTCAGGCACCGGCCACTCTATGGTCTCATCGTCCTCTGGATCGTAGGTCTCGAGTTCCACCACTGGGGAACCGCGCGACCGCGGCGAGTCTTCCGGATTGCGCTCCAGCAGCCACGTCCCGTGCGGTGTCATCGCTGCGTAGGCGACCTCAAGGCGCTCGAGGTGCTGCCATTCACTTGCCGCCTCCTCGTCGTCGTCATTGTCAGAAGCCGCCGCATAGAACATCTCTGGCGCGATCACGGTGTCTGAGAGGTTCAGTCGCTTGAGCTGCCGCGTCCAGGTGCGCAGGCCGCGTGCGAAGGCGTCGTCGGCCCCGCGCTCGTCAATGAGTATCGGTGGGATGCTGGAGTGGTCTTTCGGTACCTCGTAGCCGCATGAGAGCGTCACCTCGGCGTTTGGGCAGCGCATTCGGGCGAGGGCATCGCCAATCTCTATTGGATGGAAATATGAGCGGGCGCACTACCATGAATTTTTTCTTCTTCTTCTTCTTTTTTTTTTTTTTGGCTCAACTGGTTTGGACTGAGCGAACTTACCGTGGCGCAGCCGTTTGCGCAGCTCCAGATCCCTCTTCTCGTTCTCCCAGAAGTTGATGTCGATCTTCTTGGCATTAGGCAGGCTGTTGATGATGAGCGTCCACGCGGGCGCAGAGATGTGCCGCTCCTTGCCCGAGATCAGCTCACAGACGCCCTCGACGACTGGCAGCTCGGTGGCGGCCGGGAGCAGCTGGAGGATACTAGTAGACTGCATGTATCGGTTATGCTGGATGTAGCTGCTTGGGACGTCAGAGTCTCGCTCGCGGTTGTGGCCTATGTCGCTGGGCGAGAAGGCCTTGATGCGGAGCGATATGCCCGCCCCATTGCTTCCGCTGCTTCTATCGAGAGGCGCCCACCGGCTGAAGGCGTCGAAGAACAGCCGCACCGTCTCGCTGAAGATGGCGCTGTTGCGCGCATTCTCCTCGGCCGTCTCAAAGGTGCGGTACAAGTCGCGGCCGTACGGCTCCAGCTCCACGTCCAGGTCCACCGTGCGGACGTACGCCTGGCGCCGCGGGCACACGATGCGGGCGACGTCGGCCAGGCGGGCCCGGTCCAGGCGCAGGTCGCGGAACGTCAGGCGCTCCACCAGGTCCCGCCAGTCGCTGCAGACGCCGGCATATGCGGCGATGCCGGGGAGGTTAGCGCAAATGCCCAGGCGGGTGTTGTAGCGCCGGCGGGGCTGGTCTTTGAGTCTGCCTTCGGGCTCGTGCCAGCAGGCCAGCTCGACGATGCGTTTTGTCATCTCTGGCGGCAGGGGCCAATTGTTCCGGGCCATTGCGCGCTGCTGTGGGCTGGAGGCAGAGCAAAGTTGCGAACAAGGTTGCGCGGGACATCTCAATATTAAGGTTAATGGTGAGTGGGCGCGGGGCGTCTTTATACTTGTTGGAACTTGAATACGCTACTAGTACTATAGATCTCAAGGTGCAGATGCCCCGCCATATTGCATACAGGTACATGTACATCGCAGGCTGCAGCTCAAATTGCAGAAGCCCCCCTCCTTTTCAAGTATTCAAGTGATGCTGCAAATAGGTATTGATGTTAGCGGATTCTTTAAGGAATAAGAATTCCGCATTAGAACTACTTGTAGAGCGTTCACCAAGATTTAGTAGATGAGTTGCAGCAGCATTACGTTCACATCAAGATGAAACAAGTATACATGTGTAATTCATCCTTATCTCGCGGTATATAGAAATAATAATAATTGAAGCTATGAAGCTAGGACTCAAGCCATCCCGTCATCAGGCGCCGACGCACACATCATAATTCAGCCATAAATTGTTGCACGTGTCAGTAATCTCGGTGTTCCACTTGCGGAACTGCGCATCGGTTATGCCGTATTGCTTCTCGATGGTGACGCAAGAGTCGCTCGACGTGATCAAGTGGAATTTCTTGCAGGTAGAGATGGTCCCGGGCTCCGTCCCATAGCCTGGGAGGCTGCTGGTCGTCGACGTCGGCTTCTTGGACGTGGTGGTGGTGCCGCGTACTGCCACGCACTCGTAGTCACCGGCAATGAGGTTGGAGCAGTCGGCCTGTTAGGCGGCGTGTTAAGACGAGGCAATTGAAATAATAGGGGAATTCAACCATGCAGTGTACAATCACTCACTTTGATGTTATTCCACGCGAGAAAGTCTGAAAGAGCCACTCCGTTGGCAGCCGCAATGTCGGCGCAGTAGTTGTCGCCCGATTGCTGAACCCACTTTGTGCCTGCAATGTATTAGATTCTGTGTGCCATCAAGCACCATGATTAAGAGGCAAATACTTACAATTCGAAGTCGCCCCAGGCTGAGTCGGCGACGGGAACTTGCTAGAGCTTGTGGTGGTGGAGGCACCACCGCTGACGGCGACACACTCGTAGTCACCGCCAATCAAGTTGGAACAGTCGGCCTGTTAGGTGTGTTAAGATGAGGCGATTCAAAAAAAGATATTTCATCAGTTGCAATACTCACTTTGATATTATTCCACGCGAGAAAGTCAGAAAGAGATACGCCGTTGGCAGCGGCTATGTCGGCACAATATTGGTTCCCCGTCTGCTGCACCCACTTTGTGCCTACAAGGACAAGCAAGTTAGCTAAAATGGCGATGACTATGTACATAAACCACCCTCATGACGGATGATATGCTCAGAAGCAACTTACACTTGGACGTCGCCCCAGGCTGGGTTGGAAATGGAACGTTATTGGACGTGGTGCTCGCCGCCTTTGAGGTGGTCGTCGAGCTCACCCGCGTTGTTGTTGAGGACTGGCCCGGCAGAGGGCCCGTCCACTCAACGCAGTATAACGAGCCGGACTTGAGGGCGGAACAGTCCTTGACATTGGGGTTGTAGCTCTTGAACTGGGCTTCGGTGATGCCCCAAGCAGCTGCCAGAGAGGCGCAGGTATCTCCGTCATCTGCATAGGCTGAAAAGGCACAGTCCCGTTCCACAAGTGGGGAGGCAAGGCCACAGGCCACGAGGAGGGCAAGGAGGGGCAAGGAGCTACGGCTGAGCATCATGTTTCGCTACTATTCTTGATGGGAAGCAGAATGGGCTGTACTGCAGGAATAGTCAAGAACGTTGACGATCCCTTCAGAGCCCTTTAATAGGAATATCTGGCCGCTGAGAGTGAGTATGTGAGCAATGGCCCGTATGGCCGGCCGGCTTCGGCGAGTGTAACGTAAGAGCGTGTTGGTTTAGAAAATGTCTCGTACGAGTCATATTCAATAATCCATATCCATTGCATGTGTAGCCTACCAACTATTTCGGCTTTCGTGTATAGTTTGGGCGAAGGTCCTCGCTGAAACAAAGGAACAACCGCATACTATTGCACAGTGCAAAGGATCAATCAACGACATACCGCAATCAAGCCGTGCTATTGCCGATAGCTTCTGGGTAAGTATCTAGGATTCGCAGGATTGGCTACCTAAGGTAGTTCCCACTATCCCACTATGCCGGTTGTTTATGTGGTTTCCTCATCGGGCAATCGCCGCAAACCACATAGTTTAAGCATAAGTGGAGTGTTTATGTAGCTTAATATAGCTGCGATGACTATACACTGTCCTATCTGGCACACGGCACACGGCACACGGACTCTGTTATCATATACTTTCCCCAATGCCTTATATTCTTTCAAAACTGGTATATGTTATATCATTTAGTTTATGTTATACTCATCCATTATTGATTTATAAGCAAATATTCATTTTCATAAGCTATTGAAAACATCTTTTTCTACAGGGATACTGCAGGGTGGTCGCAGGCTTTTATTCCCAAATACCTGTACTTGCCTAGGTAGGTAGTTTACCCCGCTGAGACCCATGAACCCCACAGCTTCACAAAGAGGCTATTGCACATGAATCTTTATCAGTCGAGATGTGGCAACCTACGCATGGGAATGCGTGTTGGACGAACGCTTTCACTGTATATGTGGGGGTACTTTTGGACGACAGGTTCACGTGTCAACAGAATGGGTAGGACCAGGAATCAATGCTACTGTTCTGACTCCGCAAAGTACCAACAACTAATACAACTATGATGTGTTACTCACGCCGCGTTATGTGAATATAGTGATAATGAAGCTAGCCATAATTGGAAAAAAGAAGCTGCAGTTTCATTGATAGAGACCGCAATGAGATGGCTGGCATAAGAGGTTTTTTGGGTCATGTGGAGCGACTAATGGCAAAAGGCTATGATTGTCTCATAAAACTTATTGGGACGTTGATAGATATGAGCAGCTAGTAAAATCATAGGGCGATTCACTAGCATTAACATTTGGAATGTAAAACGGCAAATTGAAGTATTTGCTGGCTCTCATAATGCGTAAGAATCTACCTTATCTATATATCACCTATAGTGGGTAGGTAGTGGCGGAAGAAGTCACATGGCTTCTTTCTACCTCCCGCCCTTAACAAAACTACATGATTTTGTGACAAGGCTACAAGCATGTAATGGGAAGACTGGACCAGAATGTCATCCAGAAACCCCAATGCAATAGGCCGCCCCTGGCGTGAAGCTGCATCCGATGGTTAGTCATCTCACAAGTACGGCCGAAAGGTGAGTGACTTGACTTACTGCGCACAAGTCCCGCTCAATACAGTGTTCCAAGCATCTGTTGCATTCATTTGTTAGCTGTGAATATAACAAGCACTTTGGGACTCTTCTTACAGAGATTCGCAGTTGTGATGCCGTTCGCCGCGGCGAACAAGTCACAAGTCTGGCCCGACTTGGCGAGGGCATACTTGTTGCAATTCTTTGCGATTCCAGGTTGCGTGGGCCCTGGCGGCGTTACCCTGGTTGTTGTCGTTGTCGTCGTTTTGCTGGTCGATGTTGCCGACGGCGGAGGCACCGACGTCAGGGTGTCGTTGCTGGGGCTTAGGACGCAATACTGTGTCAAGTGTTAGAACTTGGAAGATCAAGGGGCCCAATGACCACAGGGGAAGGAGTTTTGCTCTGTCACATACGGCTGCTTGAGACCACATGCTCCGGCATTGTGGTCCTATAGGTACAGCTGATGTTAGCAACAAATGATGAAACGGGGGATCATGCTGATCATGCTCGACTGATGAGTACCTATCTGGGGATTCCAGGCATAGAATTGAGCGATTGTGATGCCCCAATCAGAGACAACCGAAGAACAGGTATCGCCTGAGGCAGGGTGGATGCCAAGGTCAGCAATGCTTCTTCTCGTGGTGGGCCATGCCTCAAAACTATCTCACCATCCACTGTTGTGTACCACACAAGACATCGAGTCGTGGCTCCCGGAGTAGAACCCTCAGGGGGCGGAACGAAGTCGTAGGCGGGATCTGTCCAGCCGGTCACCGTCGAGTCTATAATTCCAGTTAGCCACCATATGGAATCCTTTGCCTGATCATTAAAACATCGCCTGCTCCTATACTTACTCGCTGGATCGTACAAGAGGCTGCAATACGACGTATTCTGCTGTAGCACGCAGTCCCACATTGAGTAGTTTCCGCCATTCAACACGCTCGGATTCCACTCGACCCAGGAATCCACATCGGCACCGTGCACACCCGCGGCGGCATCGCACAACATGCCATAGTAGGGATTGTCCCACATCTTGAAGCAACCGGCAATCGAGCCATTAGCAAGCGGGTACTTGGTGGCATTGCTCGTCGGCAGCGGGGGCATGGTCCAAGTGGTAGTGACAGTCGGAAGATCGGAAAAGGCCTGCGACGACCCGGAGGGCGGCGAAACCACGGCCGTGCTCACGGTGGTGGCGGGCGGCAGCGATACGGAGGGCGTCGTGTAGCCGGATGGGTTGCTGATGCAGAGGATTCGGCCGACCATGCGAGCCAGATCTCGGCACTGGGGGTCGAGCATCGGATTCCACAGGCGCACTTGCAGCGGCCAGAGGCCGAACTGGGCGGCGATGCTCTCGCACGTATCATTGGCCGCCACCTTGTAAGTCTGGCACGAACCTTGGATGCACAGCGACGTCTTGTTGCCCGGGAAATTGACGCAGCCCGACTGTAGATGATTGATGGCCAGGAGCTGCTCTGTGCCAATGCCATGGCTCTTGGCGAAGTCATCGCAGTTGGCGTTTGTGGCCACGGGCACGCTGATTCCCGAGCAGGACGTGGGCCTCGGGTTGTAGCCCGAGACGATGGTGCTGGTCACATCACGCTGGCGTCAGCTCGCGCGTGCTGCTGCTTGATTTAACAAATATTTACTCACTTGTTGTCCGCAAGGATGACAGAGTACTTGGGCGTAGAGAGTGGCGCCGCCGTGGTCTTGCACGCAGTTGTAATGTGCGATGACCACGCACTGGCTTGCTCGGGCGCATACTCGTCAAAGCCCTCAACTCTCGCTCTGATTGCACCCAGGCTACAGGTGTCGCAGCTTGAATTGGTGGAGAAGAAATTCTCCTCCCCAGCCTTCAGATAACACCACTGAGCTGGATCCGAACTGTGTATAAGCTGATTTAGCCATTGGCCTATTCACGCTGACGGGGATACATGATGAAAACACACTCGTCTTGCAGGCAATTGATCTTGTAGTTGAGCAGGAAATAGTCGGCCAAGTGTACTGGTCTTACAGAGCCCCCCTGGATGTTGTAGATGTCATCGTAGAGCCCCGTTCCAGGGATGGCCACAGAGCCGTTGGAGGGCGTGCTGGAGCTGACGTCGTTGGCGCAAGCGCCCAAGACATTCTCGCGGTAGCTGGCGATGGACTTTGTGCATTCGGGGATACAAAGAGTTGTGAGGTTTGCCTCCGTCAGGGTGTTGAGGGTATACAGCGCGAGCGGGCTGATCAAGAGGCCGGAGCAGGACAGAGGGCTGGTCATGGCGCTGGCGCAGCCGCTGGACAGCGATGCGACCTGCGAGGCCGAGAAGAGCTGGACAGAGGAGCCATCGCTTGCGAGAGCATTGCTGTTGGGCACTGCCTTGGCTGCGCATATCGACGCTGTGCCAGACGACACGGCCAAGAGGAAGGGCGTCCAAGACGGCGACATGATTGTTCAATGTTTGTTCTTGCTCGCTTCCAGCCAGCCCGGAGGAGTCGCAGTGTCAGGGCACCGGATGAAGTAGCTGGGCGAGGCCTCCTCGGACATGGAGTCGGAGATGTGAAGAGCAGCTTGACAACGATGACGCCTCGGGAGATGGATTGGTTGGTCCTTTCATGTTGTCGCATTGCCCGGATGTGGTTGCAGCCGGGAATATCCATATACGAGTATCCATGTACGAAGGCCCATATGGGTACGAATAAACAAATAGTGATATACAGATATTCATATAAAGATATTCATGCCAATATTCACGGACCAACAGCACCTACTGTCGATATCATGGCCACGGGTGCCACGCCACACTGTGCGATATGGATTCCATATCCTTCCAATAGGCTATTAGGCTCAAGTTCAATGTTGTAATCTAAAAGCCAAGCCCCTGCAAGGCGATCGTCAATCTCGGCGGGGGGTGGAGACGAAGGAACACGCTAGCGAGAACAGGCTGCCGGGCCGATCCTTCCAGTGGACGGGAATCTAGTATTCTATCCACAGTAGCCAACATTGAATATTACTGTAGGCACCAATCGGGGCATTTGCAACAAGCATCCCCAAAGAGCCGTCAAAGATAGGTATATTTTCGTATGCAAGCAGAAAAGCATTCAATGTTTGTCTTATACGGATATCCCCGATATTCCCGTATTGGAACCGGATCATGCCTTTCCCGACGGCCCTGTTCCATTCCAGAAGGAGCAAAATCCTTCAACAGCTACCAACGCAGCGTTACACGGGCACACCGCAGTCCTCTTGATGGCTCACAACACTCATCGTATTCAGCATCTAGAACTCGAATCTTTTGTTGTAAACAAATACCCTCTACTGTCAGGCTTCTCGCGGCAATACCCTATGCAGCAGTACCTTGAACAAAAACCTGCCTAGTATAGATACACACGCCGAAAAGGCTCCGCACTTTGATGTTGCAACAGGCCAGTATCTGCATTACACGGCCGCTGGGTGATGCGTGATGCTCGCTTTCAGTCATTAGGGGGCCACAAGATGGCCGATAATACCGCAAATCTGGTAAAGAGGTTTCCTGCTGTAGGATCCAGGGAGGGGTCGCGATGGGCTCAGCCGGAAGATGTGAGTACAGCGTTATACGCCCAGCAAGCCTGGACTCCCTGGATAAGAGAACTTCGCACGCATCCTCTCACCTACTTCAGCTACTTCTTCAGTGGCCTTGAAGCTCTCGATTTCATTTGCTCTCCAAAGCACCTATAATGGGCAAATTCTCTCATTGGAGCTCTCATAGGAGCCTTCATAGGAGCCTCCTGTGCAGGCCCATGATGCTATCGACTCTCGCTTTCTTTCTTACCCTCCTCAACCTGTCTTTCTTTGCTCTCGCAGAGTTTGTACCGGCATCAGAGGCCCTTTCAGACTACACCAATATCACTTTAGCCCCCGGCATCTTCAGGAGGCAGCTTGGCACTTCCGACGACCATAGCTGCACCAAGGACAGGGCGTGCCTCAACGGCGCTTGCTGTGGTGCGAGCGGGTGGTGCGGTTACGGTGACGTGTATTGCGGTGATGGTTGTACGTCCAATTGCGATGCTACAGCTGAGTGCGGCAAAGACTCGGCCAGCGGCGCGGCTACCTGCCCCTTGAACGTCTGCTGCAGCGAGTTTGGCTTCTGCGGAACAACCCCTGTGAGTAGGAACCAGTCTTGCGCTCTCGAAGCGCAGCTCGACAACACTCACTGACAGGCACGGCTGGACAGGATTTCTGCGACAATAGGTGTCAGTCCAACTGCGGCACCCCGAAAGACCCAGGGGGCGGCGGAGACGCTCGTGACCGTGTCGTTGGTTACTATGAATCATGGCGAGCTCACCTCGACAGCTGCGGTGTCATGACGCCAGCTCAGATTCCGGTTGACCAGTTGGATATTCTCAACTTTGCCTTTGCCTACATCGACACCGATGTAAGTTCAACTGTTTGCCTAGTGCTGCTTTGCCCATCTTGTTAATCTCTAAACATCTCCCGTCTTCCTCAGCTCAACATTGTGCCAATGGCCAATGACGCCTCGTTGGACGATCCATGGGAAATATTCCATGAAGTCACCAATGTCAAGTTTCGGAACCCAAAGTTGCAGGTCTGGCTGTCAATTGGCGGCTGGGACTTTTTTGATGATGGAAGTCAGTACATGATTAGCCCTATATCCCGTGATGCCCTCGGAGCTGCTGACCATCGAGAACAAAAGCCGACACTCAGCCAATCTTTGGCAATATTGCTGGGAGTGCCGACTTGCGTTCCGAGTTTGCAAATCGTCTCGTGCGATTCATGTCCCAGTACGGCTTCGACGGTGTCGACATAGACTGGTACGTACATGTATTACCACTCCATGCACGCTGTAGCGAAATGCTAATCCACACACCTTAGGGAGTATCCCGGCGCACCTGACCGAGGAGGTCATTCAGCTGACGTTAGAAACTTTCCTTTGATGCTTCAGGCTATTCGTGAAGAGTTCGACAGCTCCGGTCACGGCACCTGGGGTATCTCTTTCACGGCACCCAGCTCGTACTGGTATCTCCGCTGGTTCGACCTGCCCGGACTAGTCCAATACTCCAACTTCATCAACCTCATGTCTTACGACTTGCACGGCACGTGGGACCAGAACAATGAGATCGGCAATAAAATGTACGCGCACACCAACCTGACCGAGGTCGAGCTGGCTCTGCAACTGTTCTGGCGCGCCGGCATTGACCCGGTCCTCATTAACCTCGGAATTGGCTTCTATGGTCGCTCTTACACCGTCGCAGATCCAATCTGTAACATCATCGGCTGCGCCTTTAAGACGGGTGACCTCCTGTCGAGCGGCGGCGCTGCTGGGCCATGCACCAAGACGCAGGGCATTCTTTCGTACAAGGAGATCAACGACATAATTGCGGACAACAAGGACTCGGCCTTGGTCCGCTATGACGAGACTGCCGCCGTCAAGATGCTGATTTATGACCAGGGCTTGAGCTGTGAGTGCGGGCAACTGTCGCGCTCGCCCGCGATCTAGGACTAACAAACTGCTTCTAGGGGTCTCGTACGATGATAAGACAACATACCAGCAAAAAGTAGAATTTGCCAACGCGCGCGGCCTAGGCGGTCTCATGATCTGGGCAATTGACCAGGATGATGAGCGCTACACGGCCTTGGAGTCGTTACTCGGCAAGGATATCGATCCAGGGGTTGATCTGAGCCCTACCGTGGATTCGGATCAGTTCGAATTGAGCTCGTGCATGTACACCAACTGCGGAGATGTCTGTCCGGACGGGACGAAGCAAATGGTGAGTGGGCGCCAAGTTTACACTCAAAACTACCGAGACGTCTTTGGCTGACATAGGATGTCCGTCCACTAGACCTGGATTGACCAGGACGGCGACGGAAACTCTTGCAGAGGGATAGAGCGCTGGTTCGGCTTCTATCAGCCACAACGACGGTTCTGTCAGTCAATCTGCGCTCCGCTATATAAGTATTGATTGTCTAACCCATGCACTGCAGGCTGTCCGCCATGGGGCGCTCCGGACCCGGCTACTTGCCATTGGAGTGATGGCTGTTTTAGTCAATGTGACGTTGGTGAGGTAAATTCAAAAGTCCAAGCTCGCCAGCCAAGGTCCTCGGGCGTAGCTCATTTGTTTCATGCAGATCACCATGGCCCTCGACGACGAGGGCGATCAGAACGGCAATATATGCCTACTTGGAAAGCGTGCCTATTGCTGCCCTTCAGACTCGGCCCCTACTGCTCCCCAGTGCAAGCAGATAAGTTCTTGGAGCGGGAAGTGCACCAGTGACCTGCCACAGAAGGTGGGCGCAATCTCAGGCGTGTTAGTTGACATCCCTGTGTGCTGTTCTGCGGACGTCAAGTACAGCAACTGCAAGTGGTACGGCAAAGGGATCCTTGGGACCTGTGCGAACTCACAATGCCCTGTAGTGAGTGGTCCCGGAACCCCCTCTATTGGGTCACAGATTCACTTAACACAAACGTGATAGGGAAAAGTTGAGGTCTACACCAGCAGAATGGACGACAAGGCCGACTTTTGCTTCTTCAGCACCACTCATTCGCTCTGCTGCGACCCAGGAGAGGGGTACGAACCCGACCGGTCTGCTGCCATACCAAGCCTTTCTTGACTAACAGTGGATAATAGGTATGGGTCGGGCATCTTAACCGTTGAACTAGATCGCCTTTTCCCAGAGTCAGATGAGTTCACTGCCGATGATGTCCCCAATTTCTCCGAGGCATTCTACCAGAATAAGGCTGTTCTCCCTCAGCCACTCTATTCGGGTGATACCAATAATCCCAACACTTCGCCCTTTGGTAAGCTTTGTCTATAGACCTATATAGACCTAAACGAGGAGAGGGATATTCGCTGACCGTTGTCTTCCTCCCTACAGCTTGGGTCATCATGGTGGGGTGCCCAGATGATGTGCAATCCCTGGACAAGCGTGATGGCTCACATCTTGACGTTTTTGACTGTCCTGACACCCATCCTGATGACTTTAGCGTACAGTCTCTGCGCGCTGTGTGCACAGAGGAGTCTCCAGACAACAACTGCCAAGACATTCTTCTTGGCGGCGCTGAGAACACGGTCCTGCGCCTTCCGCCCGATTGTGGTCCTGATGTTTATGTCAGGGTCGTGTCGTTTTCTCGACTGGAGAACGCAACAGCACCCGCCCACCTTACCAGACGTCTTGTAAATAATCCCAAGGTCTATGAGATCAGGTATGACTATGACTTTGGTAAGGTTAGGGAGAAGAAAGAGAGACAGAAGCGGGGCCTGAAGACTCGTGCTGACGGCTGCGGCGACATCTACTTCCGCGTTGACTCTTCCGACCAACAGAATTACTGGCACGGTAAGTCTATTAATCCTGGTGCATTTTACTGGCAAAAAGACATGGAGCACTAATTGCGTATCAACCTTGCAGAGATCGTCCAGTCGAGCCCCCAGGGCAAGGTCAGGAAGCGGTCGCCGCAAGATTGGCGCCAATTCCACCTGGACTGGTTTGAACAGCATGGCTTCATGAACAACACGGTCCATGAGGACAGAGTGGGCAAGCGAGGATACGGCGACGACAGTTGGTGGAAGAACCTGTTCAACAAGCTCGCCAATCAACAACTAAACCAACCATACGAGGGCAGCACCAGATACGGTATATACAGGTACTACCCCTTTTCCCAGATGCTGTACAATGCCCGTCGATCCTGTCCTCCCAACGTCGATGCCAGTATTGAAGCCAAGGTCGAGGGCAGTTTCGAGGCCAACCTAGGCTTCGGGTTGTCACTTGTCGGTACCCTGACCAACTTCAACCTCGATGATGCCTACGCCTACTTCGTCTTGGACAACGCCAACGCCTTCACAAAGGTCTCCATCACTGGACAGGCCGCTTTCACCATATCTTCGGGCGAAATACCCTTGCGTGCGTGTTTCAAGTCCCACAGTATACATTTACTTTTGAGCTAGAATTGACCTGTATACAGTCGAGAACTTTGCCCCTTGGGGCGGCAGTTTCAACATTAAAGGGTTTGTCCCATCATCAACCTCCCTGCACCCTCAGATGGTCATTACTGACTGCATCAAGAATTGCTACCGTTGGCCCCTTTTTGGATATCACGGCCCAGTTGCAGTCGCTAGCGACGCTCTCCGGCAGCCTAGTCGGCGAAGTGCTCATCGCGACCGACGAACCGCAGGTCTTCATGTACCCAACATCCCTCGGGGTAGAGCCGGATCCCAAGTATTTCAGCATATACAACATCAAGGAGGCGACAAAAGCGAGTGCCGGCGTCGAGGCTAACGTGGCGGCCGAGGGCCACGTCGTAGTCAAGCTCGACCAGAGCGCCGCTTTCAAGATCCAGGTGCATTTCCTCTCCAGCGACCTCGTAAATACTGACATCCGCGCAACGTACTCCAACTCGATGAATCTGGGCATCGGAGCAGGCGCGTCCTCGGGAAGCGATAAGTGCTCCGGCATTTGGTACTGGATGAACTGGGCGAGCAGCGTGACTCTCAAGATGTTATCGCCGCTGCCTAACTGGGCCGGGGGCAACGTCAACAACAAGCTCTTCGACACCCAGGTCGAGATCATCTCAAAGACGTGCTACAGCTGGTCCGAGTCCAAGGACAGAAGGGAACTGTCGCAGCTCACCTCCGACTACAGCGACAAGGCCATCTCCAACGCCATCTTCAATGCCACCGTGATCGACGCGATGCTGGTTCGACGCGCCGACGTGGACGACCAGAACCCGCTATTCCCAGACCCTGGCGGCTCATGCCTCCGATGCGCCACGGACACGAACACGCCGCTGGGCGAGTGTGACACGAGCTTGTATGGTGACGACGGCAGCGAGCCCCTTGATTGCCCCGACCCGAGCACATCCGCCAAGAGGACGTTGGAAGGCGTCATGGAACGGGGCCTGATCCAGAAGCGTGGGAAAAAGGGCCAGTTCGGCATCTGCAAAGGGGTTTTCAGCATCGGTGTGAATGGAATCTCTTTCCCGGACTCCAAAGCCTTGGTCGCCGATGGTGCTAAGGAGCATCCCGTGTTTGGATCTTGGACCACGTGGGCGCCCGATGACCGGCCAGACTGCGACAACATGGGTAAGCTACCCAGAGGAATACCTAACGGAACCGTCTCAAATAGGTATTGACTGACACGTTTCTCAGGGTTCAACCAGCAAAGCAACCCAGCCCCAGGAGATGTCGACACATCCAAATATGGCACGGAACATATTCTTGTAAGTCAGAAAATAGTTGAGCTAGTGCCATAAACACTTGCTAACCACAATTCACTCCCCCAATTTAGGAATGGCAAATTGTAAGATCTCATCCGTTTTGCCAGCTAGTATGGCCCGACACACTGTTCTCCGGCTAACATAACCCGTCCCCTTTTCATCTCACAGCTCCAAAGGTTCCTTCAGAGCCTCGGCAGCAACGACCCGGCCGTGACCTACGACAACTGCGCATCCGACGATTTTAAGAAGGCGTTCCCGAATAAGTCCTGGAATTATGTACGTGACAGACAGACGTGGACTAACTGCGAGCACCTCAGATTCTGGTGGGGCAGCAAGGCTATCCCCGTCCCCTGGTACACCAGCGCGGATGTACAGTTTACGCCCATGAGTATCATGGGGCAGGCTATTCCCAACAGCGAGAACTCCTTCGACGAGTTCCAGCTACTAGACTCAATAATCAATAGCGCGAAACAAGCGTACGTGGATCTTATATTCTGCTTAGTGCTGTCGAATCAATACAAGACCATTGCTGACCGTGATCCTCTTTCGTTTAGGGCTTGGTCTTTTACGTACCAGGAATATATCCAAGATTATTCAAAATGTATCAAGGCAAAGAACTGGGCCGCGGCCATGAACAAGGTCCGGTTCACCATCTGGACACTGAAATATGTGAGTATCCTATACAGCTGCAGCTTCATGCAGAGGTTTCCATCGTGCTCTTCTTCTTAGTATTGCACAGTGAGATTGACGGAAAATCACCGATAGACCAAGGCTACAGAAGCCATCTTCAAGGCACAGGCAACAAGAGTAGGGGACTGGCTGTGAGTCGACGCCATATATATAACCGTGTCCACGCATCAAACTCCAAGCTGACATTCGCATAAAGTGACAAATCAGAAAACGCACTTGCCGCTGTTGTACGTTGCTTCTTTGGTGGCCCATCCATCAGTTGTGAAGTACCTAGGCTGACCAGATACATAGAAAGACACGTCATGGAATAAGTGCCAGTACAAGAAGCTAGACCTCGGGGACAAGTGGCGCAGGTTCATCTACAGCCACACGAATACAGTCATCGACAGGTTCACCGGTAAGTGCCCCCGGCTCACTGCCCTTGGGACGGCCACCATTGTCGAGACCAGGTCCGTGGTATACTAACACAACCTTTGCACCAAACAGATAACATCAAGGACGGCATTAAGGCTATCGAAAAGGCGCTCAATATCGACGACGACGGCGATACAGATATGGGGGGGACCACGACGGGGGCGTCAGAACAGAATAAGGATCTGTTGGACCGGCTTGATAAAATCAAGGATTTGTGGAACGAAGTAGGGGCGTGGACCAATCCTTTACCAGCCGAATGGGTGTAGTATAGCCCAATAGGTTTCTAAATATAGCTTTATATAGTATTATCTATACCTTTTTTTTTCTTCAATATAAAGTAGGTAGTTTCAAGCTTAAGGTAAGGCGGAAGAGCACTTTAGTCTCCACATTGATGCTACTAAAGGATTTTGGTGAGGTTGGACTAGGTAGGCGGTGAAGATTCTGCCGCATTATCGGCCCAGCTCCAACCCCATCTGACGATTATTCAGAGGGTCCGATCCAGCTCCAGTATCAAACCAGCTTCCATCGACATCAAATTCCCGAAAATCAGGCAATCAAGGCGCCGCCTAGGTGTTTTAACTATCAAAGCCGACACATTTCAACGCTGCTGAACATTGCGCACCTCAATGGCCACGATGGCGACGCAAAATCCCAATCTCCCTCAACCGCGGCTCGGTGTCCCGTCTCGGAATCCGCTGCCCTTGTCCGCTTCGCAGGAGTCGCAAGTTCGAGATATCTACTACGCTAGAGTGCGGAAACTGTGCGCTGATGAAATTAAAGGTATGTTGGCATTTGAATGGTATATTCTGTTTTCTTGATTCTGCATGGTTTTTAAGCTTGTCGTGAAAGTGGCATGATCCCCCCTCAATTTTTTCCCTCTCTCCTCGACCAATTGCTCCCGCATTTTCTCTATTGCAACCATGATGCAAGGCTGTAGCTAATAATGCTCTCAAATAGCATTCGCCGACTGCGCCCTCGGCCGAACATTTAGCGTTTCATTCGCCTGCAAAGCGGAAAACCACGCCATGAATGCCTGCATGGTGCAGCACGCCACTCAAGACGAACAAGACAAAGCCCGAGAGGACTGGTTCGCGCTGCGAATGGAGCGACAGAAGCAGCGCGAGAGGAAAGCCAAGATGGCGGCTGCTCAAGAGGAGTTTATGCGAGAGTGGTGGGGGCTTCCAGAGGAGGTGAGGCTGTCGAGGCAGAAGGAGATGGAGAAGAGAGGGGAGAAGATACCACCTGCGAGACAAGCGGCCGGCTCTAAATAAAGGTTGGGCTGATGATTATTGCTTTTCTTTCTTTAAAATCGTTGGCGTTTAATATTGGGCGCAGGCAAAATGGCTTTTGCATCACTTTGAGACATCAGTTGATGAGAGGGTGCTTGTACAAATAGATAGACATACGGGAGGAGGAGACCAAGGCTTGTATGATTACGAAGATTTGGATACAAAAAGTGCCTGGGCTGCGTTCTGAATGGACGCAATGGCACACTTATAGACGACTAGAAACTCGCTGCTTGACAAGCTCCAGAACTTCCTCTGCCACTCCCCACGAAAGCTCGTATCCCCTTCCACCAAGGCCGTACGCATGAACAATCGACCTCGCAGCATCGTCCTGCAAGCCCTTGATTTCACCAGCCGGAATATCCTCCCTCTCCAGCCTGATGCCCCCACGGCGAGTCGGTCTCCGGCCAACAATGTCGCCCAGTGGCTGCAATGGCCCGTCTGCCACGAGGGCGGGATAGTTGGCGGCGGCGTTGGAGAGCAGGCGGGCGCGAGTCTCGGCACTGGGTTCCGGGTCCCAGTTGTCGGGCTCTTTGGTGCCGCCGATGATGGTGCCGCCGTGGAAGTTTCGGGGGATGCAGAAGCTCCAGGTGCCGTCTGCGTATTGGCGGGTGTAGGTGATGGCGGAGGGGTTGGAGACGAGGCATGTTTGGCCTAGATGTGAGAATGAGTAAGTCAAAGATGTCGATATATAATATATGGGGCCAGAAAGAAGAGGGAGCAAAGTGAATGTGTATACAAAAGTATATCAAAGGGCTCATTTCGAATGACTCACCTCGTGTAGGAAACATGGCCGCGTCGTTGAATCCTATGCCAGAACAGTTGACGACAACTTGGACGCCCGGCAAAGACTTGACAAGAAACGCTTCGTTGACGTCACGGAGTTCCGTCGACATGATTTTGCCTCCCAGGATATGGAACTGGCGGAGCAGAAAAGAGCAGTAGATCATGGGATTAAGACACCACGTCTTGTACTCATAGCCATAAGTCACCTTGTCATCGGGAAAGTCCTGCTTGCCCAACCGCTTGAACTCCTCAAGACCAAGCTCAAGGGCCTTTTCCTCGTTCAAGTCGCCATGCACGGGGGGCGCAACATCAAAGTACTCGATGCCCTTCATAAAAGTGATGCCGGCTTCGGCAAACTTGGCCATGGTGGCCTCCATGTGACGATACGTCGTAAGGGAGAAGCCGTGCTCGCGTTGCTCGGCAGGATTGGTGGGCAGGACCCAGCGGTTGTGAGCGCCGGCCCATTGCGAGCTGTAGTTGATGAGGGCGCGCTTGTTGGCGGATTCGTAGGGCGTGGGGAAGTCCTTGGCGATGATGGTGACGCTGTGGCCGGCTTGTTGCAGGCGAAGGGCGGCGCTGAGGCCGATGACGCCGGCTCTTTTGATATGGTATGTTAGTCGATGATGCTGGTTATGTTGAGGAGGATGATGGGAGAGTGAAATTACCCGATTACTACAATGTCAGACATGGTGTTGTAAATTGTTACTGCGGTGTAAGTGATGAATGAGCTTCTGCGGCTACAGCTTGCAATGCATTGATATCAAGTTGACGTTTGGAGAGAAGGGGAGCTGTATATATGTTTTCATGATGGTTTTAACGAAACCTAACAAGAATCATTCCATTAATTCCTCCAAAAATACGCCGCGTGACGCATTTGCCGACAATTCCTTCTCATTGAGTTGAAAAGTGTCATACGGCGGTTTATTGCAACGATGTCGAGTCTGCCTTTTGGCGCCGGCCCTCCGACTCTCGGCGCTGGCACGCGGGGTGTGGAGTTGGACAGACCGGGGGCCAATCATGAGCCATGCGGGGAGGATATGCCCAAGGCGAGAGGGTGTCGTCGATAGGCATTTGCAGCACAAAGAGGTCTTTTAGTTGGAGAGCTATTCAATCATATTTAAAGTGAGGCTGGACTGCAGGCAGAGATGGGCTGATTTTGGGGGCTTGCAAGTCTGCCTGTGTGTTCAGCTGCGATGCCAAGGATGGAATGGAGCCTGGACTGTGGGCTGTGATGTAAGGCGGTTGACTGCATCTGTAAAGCGAAGTCTTAGATGGCATGTGAAAAAATGAATAGGGAAGTTAATTGATGGTTTTGTTGGAAGTAGGTGGGAGTGCGGCTGTGTTGTATGTAATTGATGCTCTCTCGTCTCATGAGACAGTACGTACTAGACAATATACAAGGGCACAGATGGAAGCCGGCAACGCAACGCACTGAATGCATACTAGTACTCTGTCCGACTAAATATAACAGAAAAAAAGGGGAGCCAGTAAGAAGAAACAGCGGTTAGCATTCGTTACCGGCAATTATACTCATATGCACAAGTAGCGATATGTTATTGGCGGCTTGGCTCAACAAAGGCGTGTATAGGTAGACTTAGACGCGGACTGCGCATATACATACCTACAACTATTAGATTTATATCTCAAATTTAGCAGCAAAAGCGCAATCCATTGATGCCTGTAGATGTAATATCATAGTTTCTCTTAAACTCTTAGAGAATATATATATGTAAATACACTCTTGAGATATGTAGTACCTTTCTAAAGCGACTGCCCACCAACAATTAAGAGCAAGTACAATTTGTCATCTCGTCATTGGCCAGAAGAGGAAAGAGTTTGCAAATTGAGAAGCTCTCCCCAATGGTGGATCGCCAACCAGCCAATCGGCCCCCAGTCCCGGAAGTCGGTTGCCCATGGAGAAGAGAAACAAACGCATCTTGTCCATGTGGCTTCTGGATATGAAACTGTGGACATGTTTTCGCCACAGTTATTTCCATATCTGGCGCTGTTTCCCACGCTATATGTCGCTAGCTGTTTTTTTCTACCCTTAGACATACAAGTAAATGGGGGGGGTTTGGATTTAGCTTATACGCAGCATTCGTCAAAGCGAGTTAGAAAAGGCGGCGCTATATACGGTCTCACCATGGCTTTGCCACGCATCTTACGCAACCCCGCCAATAGCTTTCTCTGCTGCTCTCAGATATCGCATGCTCTTCAAATTTGAAGGAACTGGAGTGCAGGGCATCTGTGGAGAATTTGACGTCTCTTCGCTGGTTGCGTGGCAGAGCGAATAAATACTACCTACCTGGCAGCATTATCCCAATCCGGACTGTGTAGGCATATGCCCATCTTGGTAACAACAGCCTGCTGGTCAACGCATCCAACTCTCCCCTCCAAATTGACATATGCCTTCTTCTGTCTTTCTCAATGCGACTAATCACCCTGAGAGACCAGCAGTAGTAGAAAGCTAGAGATCCTACGTCGTACGTGAGCCGCTAATGTGGTGGTGGACTAACAGGGATAGAGCTAAACAGCCCACATGGGCATCTTACAAGCCCGACTCGATCCGTTTTTGGGCTGTGCTGATTCAACAAGCTTGCTCTGATACTTTATAAAGACCACGTCTCTTTCTTACTCTTATCCTAAACTCAATCTCATCTTTGCCATCTTTGCATCTTACAGAGCGTTCATCTTGTTATACACTCACTCACACACAATGGTCGTCCTAAAACCACAGTCCGACTTTGGCAATGCGCCACCCCCTCAGACGCCGTATAGCATCATCTCCAACCTGCCGGGATGGGATTTGCTTCGCAACTTTCGCGACGGAGACATGTCTCCCATGGCGAGGGTGGTCAACATCTATCCGCGCTTTGGCCCGACTCAGTTTGCTGGCAAGGTGAGTTGGATAGAACGAATCAAACTGTCCAAAAGTGTCAATAACTGACCAAGTACGCATATATAGCTCGGCCAAGAAGTAGCAAAGAAACTGGGCTATGAGGGCAAAGGCTGCATGGTATACCTCAACCCCATCATGTTCCCGTATACTGCCGGCCATGTCAAAAACTCTCACCGGAATGAAGCTGCCATTGATCCATCAAACCTCACCTTCAAATGCGTCGACGTGGCCGGCCATCGTGTCTACGCCGTCATCTTTGAACCCCAGCACACCAAAGCCCTCATGCTTAGCTGGGGCAATCCCGGCCTCGGACTCTCCATCCGTATTGCTGAGCATCTGCTGAGCAACATTGACACACTGGTCGAAGTCCCATTTGACGATTACAGGAACGCTCCCAAGCCAACTTTCACGCCCGCTGGCCCAGCTCACCAATTGCTCCGTGAACGCGTCAACAAGTTCATCCACCGCGCCTCTATTAACCCAGAGCTGGTGAAGAGCAAACCCGACGACGTCTATCTCTACCCCAGCGGCATGGCTGGCATCTACCATACCACGAATCTCATCCAGCAGTACCGCCCTGGAACCAACATCATCCTCGGCATCGTCTTCCACAATACCCAGCACCATTTGCTCGAGGAGAGCCCCAACGGATTCAAGCATTTCGGCAAAGTCGACAAGAAGGGCCTTGACGATATGGAAACTTGGCTCGAAGGAGAAACCAAGGAGGGCCGAAAGGTGAGCTTCGTCATTGTCGAGTTCCCAGGCAACCCGACCCTGGAAAGCACAGACTTGCCTCGCCTCAAGAAGTTGTCCGAAAAGCACGGCTTCGTGTTGATTGTGGACGACACCATTGCTGGCTTCGCAAACGTCGACGTGCTGGCACACTCGGACATTGTCCTCACTTCCCTCACCAAGAGCTTCAACGGCAGGGCCGACGTCCTCGGCGGCTCCGTCGTCCTCAACCCGCTGTCTCCCCACTACAGCGAGCTGTCTTCCCGATTTGCAGAGACTCACAACAACGAGCTCTTTGCCGGCGACGCGGAGATGCTTCTCGCCAACTCGCACGACTTCCTCCAGCGTACACGCCGCCTTAACCGCAACGCAGAGGCCATGGCGACTTTTCTGCATAACACAATTGGCCGCGACGACTCCCCCGTTGTCCGAGTCCAGTATCCCAGCCTGCTGGCCGACAAATCCAACTACGACCGCTTCTTGCGACGCAGCACGGTCGAACTGCCCAACCCCGGTTACGGCTGTCTCTTGAACGTCGAGTTTGAGAGCGTAGCAACTGCCAGAGCCTTTTACGACCGTTGCGGATTCTACTCCAGCCCGCACCTGGGCGGCCACGTCACCATCATGCTGGCGTATAACATGATGATGTTTGGCAAGAAACCCGAAGAAAAGGAGGAGTTTAGAGGGTACAATGCCCTCGAGGAGAGCATACGGATCTCTGCTGGTTTGGAGGACGTCGAGGATTTGGTTGATACGCTCAAGGACGCACTTGATGCGGCCATTGAGGTCAAGCGGAAAGCCACGCCGAATGGCACCAGCTAAAGTGGAAATGTACATGTATCATCTGCAGATAGCAAGCGAGAGATGAAGATGGTAGCAAATATATAAAAAAGCTTAATTTGAAGATGTTGCTGTTGAGCCGGTGAAGATGATTAGTAAATAATAACAATAACATTACTTCATATTTTGACACAGGATGCACCTGTGATCTAAATTATGTATTTAGCTAGATCACTAGCACGCTCACATATCTCTAGATGAGAAAGAAGATAGCCAAATAAATGGTTCTTATAACAATCTGACACTTGTCACAAACAGCATCTCTCCCGCATACTCCACGTCTCTTCAGATGCCTTCTAAAAGCTTCAACCAAAAGCAGTACTCTTTATCTTGGAGCATGAAACTTCAGGGTTAGTCTCTTCTCCAAATGGAAATAGTAAAGCATCGGCCAAAGATCTCTCTTCCACCCCATCTCCCTGATTGTCACCGCCCCAACCTTCTCCACCCCCATCTAGCGGAGTCTCCTCACATCGCCCATTCTAACCCCATCAGGCAACTAACCGGAGAAGCTCGCCGATGCGCCCTCCCAGCAATACTGCTTCTCACGAGGAGGGGGAGGGGATCGAGGAATCATGAATGCCTTCTCTCTTTTAAAGTTTCTCTCAAGGTGTGGTCAGTTTCGGTTAAAACATAGAGAGAGACCCTTGCAGTGACATGTCATTCTCGATATAGTTGCTTGGATTGGCAAAGCGGCTCGCAGATGATGCCGTTGTCGGCGTTGCAGTCCTCTTTTTCTCTTGCTATTTCCCAAAGACGGCTTCAAGATCGAAGAATAAGCTGTTGGCTCTTGATGATATGGTTGCTGCTGAATGGACATATAAGGGGCGATGAGCTACGCTCGCGAAACCACTTCATGTTGTATTGGTCTATTACCTTCTATCCAAGATATCCTTCATAATCTGCTCGTAAAACTCATATGCTCGTAAACCCTCTTTTCAAAATGACCTATCCTCAGCATTACGCTACAGAGGAATTCCCCCCCGACGCCGGAAAGGAAATTTCCACTGTCTATGCAAACGACCCAGCAACAACCGCCGAACTCTTAGAGTCTCTCATCGAGAGAGACGGCGCTGTCATCGTCAAAAACCTCGTTCCCCAATCTCTCTGTGCGCAGATCAAGAAAGATCTGAGACCTATATTTGACTCTGATAAACCAGATCCTGCTGGCTTCTTCCCTAGAACCACAAAGCGTGCTTCTGGCATTCTTGCAAATTCACCGGCCAGCGCCAAGCTGGTGGTGAACCCCCTCTTTCAGTCTGTCGCAGAAAGGATGTTGACCAGCAGATATACCTACTGGGAGGGCCAAGAGCAAAAGAGCGTGGCAGCGAAGCCACAAGTTGCAAGCATAGTAGGTTTCCGTGTTGAGCCTGGCGGCAAGCAGCAGCCTCTCCACAGAGATGACTCGGATTACCACACTCGAAACTGCGATATGCCGGTGATGTTGGGTTGCGTCACGGTACGATTCCGTACTTCATCTTCTATACCGCTAGAACGAATATTCCGCTGACAATAGTCTGCCATCTCTAGGCATTATCCAAGACGACAAAGGAAAATGGCGCAACTGTCATCATTCCAAGGAGCCACTTATGGGGGCCGGACAGATGCCCTCTTGATGAGGAAACCATCTCAGCAGAACTAGAAGTCGGAGATGCTGCTATATTCGTTGGCAACGTATATCATGCAGGAGGCGCAAACGTCACCAAGTATTCTCCCCCATCCAGCCTTGCATTGTGACCGCGACACTAATAGGTATTCGATTGCCCAGAGACGATGCCCGTGAGACGATTGGCGTATTTATGTGCAAAGGTACCCTGAGACAAGAAGAGAATCAATATTTGGAATTGCCCCCAGAGGTAGCTAAAGCCAAAGAATTCTCACCACAGCTGTTGCGTCTGCTGGGATACGGGCTATGTCCGCCAGCCTTGGGTCTATACAAGTATAAAGATCCAATGGAGGAGATATTTAACGTCTTAGACGCAGAAACTATCCGCAGATAATATAGGTATGCAATTCGAGTACGTTTTAACGTTTCATACGACCAGAATTCGAAGTCCATTCGCTTGCAGCTGCTGTGCAACCGGGAGCCAGTTGGGCTCCGGGCCGTTCCAAAATTCTGTAAGAAAGCTCCGGATAGTTTCATACTGGTTGAAGCCCGTCATGTTGATGACAGTATCAAGAATTGTAGCAACTTTGTGTTGCCTTTCTGCATCGCCATGACATTCTGTGCCTGCGATGAAAATCGGCCACGGTAAGTTTTGGACGCAGATGGAGATGTTCTCAATCTGGTCAAACTGATCAAACAGCTTCATAACTGAAGCCAGCCAATCGAAGTTACCCGGTGTTGCATATCCCAGACATCTGTATGCATAGACAACCGCTGCATGGTGGTATAAGTCCACTAATCTGATAAAGTCGCGGCGGACAATCGGTGGACTCATTTGTAGCTTGCCCGCAATCATCAGAGTCTGGCCTCTTGCCTGCTCAAAACGAGACTGGATTTCAATCGCGGTAAAGCTTTCGGGCCACTGTGACACGTCGATGGCTTCATTAACGGCCATGGACCGCCGTGATGCCAAAGTGATCTGATGCAGAAACGAAAGGTATTCGGAGAACAAAACATGGCTTCCAGAGTTTGGCGTAGGAAGAACCGTCTCCGCCACATCTATCAAGTCGAACGACGTTGCTGAACCTAGAACTTCATGGATGGCGAGCTGATTCCTTAGAAACGCAAACAGGCCCTTGTTACATGCTTCGTTCTGCCCAAAGACATTGACAATCCTCCTTGCAGCAAGTCGATGGCCTTCGGCGGCCTCTGAATGATTCTTGGCCATCTCATAGTTGGCAATGACGAGGATACAGGCCAGCATCCACTCTGCGTTGGCAACATCCGCACGGGTGTTCAGCTCCGCCCCGCTGATGAGCCGACTGTTCATTTCTCGGACCTGTCTTTGCAAAACCTCTAAGCATGCGTCTCGCGCCTCTTCGTGATATCGACCCAACTCAGTCGGGAAATTCGTGGGCCCGTGATAGCCATGATACAAAGAAAACGCGGCAATGGCGAACCGAAGACCCGGAGCGTTGGCCGCCATGGGCAGCATCCGTCGTCGATAGTCATTCTCTTCCGAATCGATCCAAACCATTCGTCCCGCCAGATTCTTGTCATAGTATTCGATTATATCCGGCGAAGACGCCCAGAGTGTGAAATTCAAGAGACTCGGTGTCGCAGAGGCGGTCTCTATCGCCTTATTAATACTAAGAGCCGCCGGTTCTATCGCTTGGAGGGCCTGTGAAGTCGCAACGGAAACCGAATCTTCGTTTGTTGGTGCCGGCAACTCCATAGGCACCGAGCCCGCCACAGGCAGCCTCTGGCCTTTCAGCTTGCCGCGGACGGCCACGCCATCAGCCCATCTCAAATGCCTCCCATATCCTGGACAGTTGAAACCCTTCTTGATGCATTTTGAACAAGCCGGACGACCGAGGTCACATCGAATGCGTCGCCGCATACAGGTGCGGCAGCCTATACAGAAAATAACGGAATTTATTAGTGACTGTAAACGGAAACAGAAAAAATAGGCAGTACGGTGCGAACAGCGCTTCTTTGGTTGTACCTTTTGATGCTTCAGCCGAGCCCTTTGAGCTCATTGCAATCGTAACTTATAACCATAAACAAATTCATCAATCCTGAGACCTGGAAAGCACTGGCGGGGGATGGCGCCCTGCAGATGGCGGTTTGCACGTTGTTTTGCCAAAGTGGGCGTGGAGATGCTGAAGCAAGAAGTGAAAAGGCGGCGGCTTCGGAGAAATAAATATTACCTGATTAGTTCGTTTACGTACGAGCAACGCAGCGCATCGCCTTATCGTCATCCACCAGCCAGTGCTAGTAGTACTACTTCTAGGCTAATAATCTGTTCCGCACCAGCTTTAGCCGCGGGCGCTTCTCATCGAGTGCCGGACAATGTCCGCTTGCCATGGCTGCAGCTGACCCTCGTGAGACCCGGGGAGAAGTGACAGAAAGAATGGATATCGAGATAGAAGCATCTGGATTTTCGCCTAGCTTACTAAATCCAAGATAGTTGGGTAGCATTCGATTTTCTAGATCAGCTAGTCTCAAGCTAATGATATTCTTTTCCCCATTTACAATAAACTAGAACTGAATTTATCTTCAAAGAAAAGCAAACCTCCTTTGCGACACAGAAAATTCTTCATTTTTGTCTGTGTTATCTAGTATTTGCTTTCAATAAAATTCGTCTCTAATGGTATCCCACCAATTGATTATACGTTTTTGTGTCAATAAAATAAAACTGGTTGAACGTTACACAAGCGGTGACACCGTCACACAGCGACAATTAGCAAGCTTCAGCGCCGCCCGTCATAGAGTAGAAAGAAAAGATGATGAAGAAGTGAAATGACAATGAGGCACCTGAGACCACGCCTAATTCACAATGAAGTGAATGAGCCATCTGTTCAGCCTTAGACCACCTACAGCGCATCAGCTGCTACTCCTCTTCTCCCATCTTAACCTCTCGACTGAATTCGAGCCTCGATGCCTCAAATCATGCTCTTCCATTAATTTCACGCTCTAGATATCAACACACAAGCTACTATTCAATCTCATCCACTTTCATCGTCCACATCATTCAATCTTATCTTGCATCTTGATTCATCATGGCCGCCAACCCAAGAGGGCCGCGAGACTTTATAAGCGATCTCGAGGACCTGGAGGACCTCCTCTGTCATCACATCACCAACTCTCAGCAATCTCCAGAGCTATTCACCAAACAAGTAGTGGATATTCTCAAGAATGTTCTTAGCAGCGATCGAACAACTCACTGGAGCACAAAGTCATTCATGCGCGCTCTTCGAGAAGAGTACGCTCTTCAAAGTACGTTATACCCCCCTTCCTGTTGGCAACCTCCACATACAAAATTCATACTCAATACATTCTTTGCAGATCTCACGGACAAGGAACCACTCTGTGACCGCGCCAGCCACGAAAGCTGGCCTCGCATCAATCGCACCGCCATCGAGCCCCTCAGCAACATGCCCATGACTCACGATCAAGGCACCGACCCCTGGTCCTTTGCCGTCCGCCTCGCCGATCAGCTTTACAACGTCATTCGCCTCCAAGCCAAGATGCCGTATAAGCCCTTCATCGAAGTCCTCGCTGAAAACGGTTTCGACCTGCCAGAGCATGATGACTCGGCCATGTATGGTAATGCAGCTGACAGCAACGACGACGGCGACCATATCCAGGATCGCCAAGGATATGAGGTCAGTCTCCACGCGAGACTATCTTTTCTGGATGATCGAGTTAAGATTCTTGAAAAGAGAGAGGAACTCTTAGAAGGCCAACTTGATCGTGCTACTCAGGCCATGGCAGCTCTGCGATGCACAAACTTGGAACTCGCCAAGAAGGTCTCTGAAGTTCAGCAACGAAACCATGAATTAACTAGATCGTATGTCGTGTAGATCGAATTCTGCAGCAAAAGGGGTGGGCAATTTGATACACACAGAGACATCGCATTCAGCCAGGAGATAGTCGCTCCATAAAAATTCATTTCATTATATTTCCTTGTCTCAGCAACATGTGCAAACAATCCCATCATCCTACAAAGACCAATTTGTTCTCCGGTACAGATCATCTGATAGCGTGATCAATAAATTCTCTCGCGCATATATAAAAAAAAACTTGTAGCTGGTTGAAAGATAGTCCATATCAGCAACAGATCCAAAGCAAGTTTGGTAATTAATGTAGTCCATAGTTGTCTTTTAAGCTTTTATACATCGTCATAATCATAATCGTCGTAAAAGAAAAGAAAGAAAGAAAAAGAGAAGGCAGTAAAGAGATTCAGCAGACAGCTCCTCCTGTTACGGTTAGTTGCTTTAAAAAGAGATCCGTTGCGACAGCTCAAGCTTATTGTTGAGAGAAAATCGTAGCATCATAAATGGGTTTGATATAAACAGAAGCAAAGAAGAGGCCAACGAGTTTATCAGTGCAGCCTCTCCTTCACATAGACCATGGCAGCATAGCCAGCACAGCATTTGGTGCTCATCTCGTGGGAGCACCACGGGCACTTTACAGTCATAGATACTGCGCCAGCGAAGCCAACATTGCCTCTTGGCCGAATGATGGCCTCTGGATTAGCCATGGCTTCGTAGAGATTGCTGGGCATATCGTGAAAGAATTTGCACCCGCAGCACTCGACAAACATCTTGGCAATTGGTTCACCTCCAACAACAGGTGACCCAGGTACGTGCCGTGGCGCCTTTGCCAGTGCTAGGTCAGATGTGGATGAAGGCTGGCTCCGAATGGAGGATGGCGGTGTGACTTTTGGACCAAGGCGAGGCGATCCTAGCAGTGGAGGAGGCGGGGCTAAGGGGGTTGCTTTTCGAGCCTCTTCAAGGTATGAGGCTGGTCCAGGGACTAGCACCGTAGACTGAAGCTGTTGCTTTGGTATTGCTACATGTTCCACCAGCTTCAGAGGCAGAGGCTGATGCTTCAGCTTCGGTAAGAAGTCGGCTCCAGGTATTCCATCCGCCTCCAATTGAACCCGGTGGTGAATGGCTTGTCCATTGACAACAGTAGTGGTCGATTTGGCCACAGGTCGTGGATTCTTCAACCCCAAACTGTTCTGGCTCGAGCCAGCCCCTGGCTGAAGAAGAAGCGGTTGTCTAGCTGGGCTTTGAGAGCTATTTCTCATGCGACTCTCCGTAACTAATCGCTTACTCTCAGCATCTTTCATGGGGGCAACATCCTTTTCAGATTGAGGTCGGGAGGTGTCAGGCGTACCAGGCATCGATATTGAGTGGAAATCGTCAGATGAAGAGTCATCTCCTGAGGCCGTGGGGGTTAGGCCGTCTGTAAGTCGACGAACAGTGAAGTCGCTATCATCCCGCAGCGAGTTGTGAGATTTGCGGATCGGAGACAGCGATACCTTTGTGTCGATGACTTGCAAAACAGAAGACTCGATGTCATCCCATAGTGGTATGTCTATTGGATCTGGCTTGTGGTCCCTAGTAATTCGACTGGCCTCTCGTGGTGTAGACGTACGCAGAGATGCACCGCCGCCTTGTGTGTCTACGCCTTTTTGTTCGATAGCGCCCGTTGCTAGATTGGGAGGGTTGTGAGCCCGTTCGTGCAGCTTCGTGGCGGTTGTATGAGACTCGGAAATCGCTTTTGATTTGGCTGCAGTTGGATCGTGATTGCTGTTAGACGAGTCAGAGCTGCTAGGCCGATGTGCTGGCGAGTGTGGCGAAGACACAGATGATACTGAATTCAAGCTCAGGAGTGAATTCCGCTTTGAACTTCGACGAGGTGGTGCAGGTGGCAAAGACAGCTGCGAAGAGGCTACGTTTTGAGTGAGTCCATTGTCCGTAATTTCACCGCTCTTCATACCATCCATAGAGGACGCAAGGCTGGGTTGGGCTGTGTTTTCTTTGGCTTGTGCCCGCTGAACAGCAGCAGAACTATTTGACAAGGGAATGGCTGTAGACACAGTGAGCTTGGGCTTTGAACTCTGCTCCAAAGCCTTGCTGCCGCTGTTTGGGAGATATGGCTGAGCGACGCTAGGGCCTCTGCTTTTCTGAGAAGGGGCAACGACGGCCGGCTTATCCCTCGCGTCAGTTTGAGAGTGTGGCAATGCAGGTGCAGACTTGGTTGCCTCGTTGGTTATGACGGGCTGCTTTGAAGCTTGCTGCTCCGTGGCGGCCTTTGATGACTCCCCGGGCTCCTTGGGCTTCAAACCAACAAAGGCTCTCCATCTGTCCATTGTCCCCACATCGGAAGCATCCATTTCTGCCGAAGAGATGAGAGACCTTGTCTTGGCCGCTGCCGCTGGATGTCTAGTAATGGGAGGGTAAGCCCGTCGCTGAGACTCTAGAATTGCGCGAGCAGGAGGGGCAGACCACTTTTGGTTGTGCGCATTGTTCGTCCGAAGCGCTGGATGGATTTTGGACTCATCCATATTCTCAGGTTCTTCCACGGTCTTCTGATGGGCAGCATGACGTTGAATTTCAAGCTTGATGCCTCCAATAAAGCCTGTTTCGCTGGGGCGCGATGTTTCAAGGGAAGCCCGCCGAGACTCAAAGGGAGCCCTGATCATAGAGGTGAAAGAGCCCGATCGTCCATGATGAGGGCGATTAGGCACATCATCTCTGGAGGGAGTTGTAAATTCTAGCGCGCTCGAAGGTCTTTGTTTGTCTCTCGAAGCCGCCGCTGTAGACGTCATACGATTTGCTTGGTCTAGGGCATGCGGCGAAGAAGCGGGAGGTTGCTTGCTCAAGCGCTTCTTCTTAATCAAAGCATTTTTGAGTATGGATTCCTCCTTTTCACGCTTCGACGACTTCTGCTGCTGCTCCTTTTTGCGCTGTTCTTTTTCCAACTGCTCCTTTTTTTGGTGCTCTTTCTTCAGCTGCTCCTTCTTCAATTGCTCCTTTCTCAGCTGCTCCTTTTTCAGTTGGTCCTTTCTCTCCTGCTCCTTCCTCTCTTCCTCCCTCTTCTGCTGCTCTTTCTTCAACTGCTCCTTCTTCTGCTCCTTTTTCATATCCTTCTTTTCGGTCTTTTTGCGCCGGCCGTATGCCTCCCAACTTGGAGACTGACAAATGGATCTCCGTTCATCTTCATCATTACTCAGAGGAACGTCAAAAGATACAGCTTTGAGTACGGGTTTGCTCCCGGGTTGATTTTGAGGTAGAATTACCGTCTTGGTTCGCGCGTCGGTAATTGTCTCGGATGTCGCATCCAGCCCAAGATCAGTGGAGCTGATATTGATGGTGAGCGGAACTATTTGAGTGATGGCCATTTTCTCTCTGGTTGTGTTGGCACCCTTTCGAGCATCCTTTTTGGCAGAGGTTTCAATGCGATAAGCCTGATTTACAGGGCGATGTGATATGGTAGGCGGTGGTCTAGAGACGGTGTCGATTCTTGCGTCAGGATTGGAATTGGGCGTAGATTGAAGTCGTTCGAGCTAGATGTGGTTGAAAGAGAGTGCGCATTAGCATGTTTAAGACCATCATTTAAAGCCTTGAAACCTGGAGACGTAACATCCTGGTCTCCGCTTACCATGTAACGACGCTCGAGCTCAAGCATGCGCTGTAAGCTATTCGACCGAGCGGGTCGAGTCCTTTGGCTGGACATTTTGCTGGGGTCGCTTGATGCTGCCTAGCAAGTCGATTGGCAAGAGGCGTAAAAATAGATGGCCAGATGGCGGCGAGATGGTTTTGACACAAGGGAGAGGAGCTCGTCAGTGGCTACGATGTGGCTGGTACGAGGTAATAAGCCGGTGCCGCTGCTGGGAACATGCGCCTCGCTCCTGAGGTACGAGGGCAGCCACAAAGGACAATGGAGCGTGAAAGCTCGTCGCTTTGGAGATGAATGACAATGAAGAAGGACAAAGCGAGGATGAAAAAGCCACCCAACCACAAAGGCCTGTCCTCGGCAGAAAAGCGGCTGGGTGTTGGGCCTGTGCAGGAAGCATTCAGTGAACGCACGTGGGGGGCAGGGAAATGCGACGACGGACGACGTTACAATATGGCCCCTTCGTACTTGGTACGGCACTTCGTAACCCTCGAGTGGTAGCTGCGGGAGCGAGCGGGTAAAGGAGGCGCCAAAAACCAGGCCAGTGGCCTTGGTGCCCGCAATACGAGCTTGGGAGGAGCAAGGTTTGGGCGATCTGGTGGTGTGGTGTGCAGACTGAGACAGCGGCGATGAGGTGGTCCAATGAGCCGAGCAGACGGGCGACGCCAGCTGAAGCCGCGCAGAAACAGCTACGCGCGAGGGGCCAGTGGCCTGATCGATTCACCACCCTGCTTTGAAAGAAGCAACGAGATGGATAGCGGAATAGCCCGAGGAATAGAATTATTCCCACAAAAAGGAAAAGCCATCAGTGCTGCTGCTCGTGCTCTCTGGTGCATCTTTGCCTCACCGTCAGCGGTGCTACCTTACAGGCAGTGCTAACGGCTTATGGCGTAGGCAGAATCCACATCCAGCAATGTCTGGGCTGGGCGATGCTTTTGGGCAGGTGGAAAAGCACGCAGCGCTTCTGCCGGCCAGGGGAATAGGATGGATGGAGTGCTAAAGTAGCGGCAGAGAGAAACTCGGAATTAGTGGCAGAGGGACGAGGTGGATGAAGGGTTCAATGTTTGGAAGATGCTCCAGCGGTGCCTGTCTGCAGCAGCAGGCACCAACCATGGCGTTACTTCGTGCCATGTATGCTCCGTATAGGCGCATGGAGTCTGCATGATACGGAACGGTGGGAGATGCCAACTGACGCTGCTCCACTGCTTCCTATTTCCAGCGACTTCCATGTATCCATTTCCATGCTGTACTTGTACATCACAGCCTCCAGCTCCATGCTCTTGCAGCTTCAAGGCACCAATAAGTCCAAACTTAGTCCCTGGCTGGCTGATCCGCTCAACATGCACACATGATACTCCATCTGGGCACCGCAGCTGTCAATGGAACATGCCCTCTCGGCTCTTTGCCAATACGAACCGCTAAAGGACGCCCAAACTTCAAAGTAGCCTCAAATACTCTCCCCACTTGCTAGCCTTGGTGGCTTTTGCTGGGACCAGCGCTGGATCCGGGGCCGATCACCGACATGGATTGTTCGCGACTCTTTAACCCCCGGCCGCTAGCTGCTAGCGCGCCAGCAGCACGTTTGGGCTTCGTCAATAAAGAAGCGCCGCCCAAGTCTGCGTAAAAATAGGAACAAGTCTGGGGACGTAGGCGCTCTATTTAGCTCCCTCGATCGCGGCCCCAATTTTCTCAACACGAACTTTGCTGCAGGGTGGAACGATGGAAGTGATCCAATGGCCGTGGCAGCGCGACATGCCAGCAATTCTGATTCTGCTTTTACTACTAGGTAGTCATACTGGTGCTTCATCTGTTTCAGCTCAGAAAGTTTAAAAGGAGAGTTGATGAGGGTGAGAGGGAAGAGTACGTATGGGTGAGAGCATGTATTAGAGGTATGAGTAAGATTTACTTGTGGCGATTTACACTTGCCGTAGATCTGTTTCGTTGCCGCAACTGCTACTACTAACTCTATGCTTGACAGATGAGACCCGTTACGCCTCTACGCCTTCACTTACGCCAACTTGATTCTAAATTATCAAGATTGAAAACAAAGTTTCATTAGCCTCTTCAAAGATAAGCCTGAATTGTAGCGTGGAAATCGCAAGTAATCACGTAGTAGATTCGTGATAATCCAAGAAGCTGGACTCATTTCTTTGGGAGTGGCGTGTAAGAAGACGTAGAGCAATGTGACTCGGTTGATGTTTAACCACGTAGTAGCAAGCAGTATACGGAGTACTATTACTATGTTCCACCTCGTATGCGTCCAGGATCGCCGCTGCATCATGCACATCATATGTACGTGCCTCATGGCGCATCTCGCAGTCTCGAAGGCATCCATCCACAAAACTTGGTTTGTCCAATGGAGCTTGGAATTATATGCCAATCCACGCTCGCCGGAGATTTCAACCAGATCAAGTATCCACCCTTCGGATATCGTATATCTAGAAGGGGGTGGAGAATCGGAGCTAGCCATGTAAGAAGCTGTACAGATTTTCTCAGCAGCTAGTAGCCTCCAACCGGGCATATCTCGATCCCTCCGATCAGAAGAGGTCGTTATGATCGATCTTATTAGCAACTAGAAGTGACAAAGTGACGTTGTCTCGTGACGCTTCTCCATATCTGGCAGAGTATCTTGGTCAATAACGAGGGGCTTTTCCCATCTAGGAATCTCACTGGCTACACGGTAATTTTTATATTGTCTTACAGTTTGCCTTTGATCTCGCTTCATCGACTGAAACTCTTTAAGCTTGATTCTAGGCTCACTTGCTCTCTTCGCGCATGATGTCACAGCTCCTCAAGTCAAAGCTAACGCTTAGCGGCGTATATGCAGCGTGATAGGCGACGAGGCGTGGACATCTACATGTGTCTAGCATAAGTACCTATGAACTTGATAGGCCTTCTTTATTCGTTTTTAAACAGTTAGATTATATACACCGTCCTAGGCCACATCATGTAGAAAGAGGTCAATAGATACATTGTTCCCTACCAGGTAGGCTAGCAGCCCAGTCAAGTCTGCGAGGTTCTTGTTAACAGCTTAGGAGGTACATAATCATGCAAAGAAACTGTATTATAAAGACATTATGAAATGAAAGTCGTGCCCTCGTCTTCAAAAGTATACAGTAATATTATGCAAGCTCTTTGCTCATATATACGCTAAACTAATATTGATACACTAATCATTCCATCGTTCATCGTTCGTAAATAAATGTTTCATAGCCATAGTCGTACAATACCGTCAACGCCGTAATTGGAAACCCGGAAACCTGCTGCCACAGCTTTATCGATATTGTTTCACATGTTCTTCCACTGCCTCGTGAGTGGGACACATGTGAGTCCAAATCTCGTCTTTCAGCCCATAGTCATGAAGCCCACCATTGAGATCAGCGACTTCTCGCCCAGCACAAATAAGAAACCGCCAAGTTCGTCGAATCCACACCCGCAATCGTACTGCAAATTCGTTTGGTATCTTCAATCGTACAGCCACCCATTTGTGATCGGGAGCGTGGTCAGTTCGAAGACTCTCCTCGGGCTCTGAAGGAGGTTCTGCAGATTGTAGCAGCTTCTCATCTGCCCACATGCTATACTTGGTTTGTTCTGGAGGTAAGATGATCTTCAAGAACTCCAGCGATGCTGTTGTAGTGAGGGAAACTGCTCGTAGCGGATCAACCATAGACTTCATCAGTATCGACATCCATTGTGGGTAGAGCACGGCAAGATCAGTCATTGCTAGATGAGTCGATCCAACTAGTGTGAGCATCCAACACAGAGTCCCCGAGTCACGGGCTTCGTTACTAAACTCGACAACTTTCTCGAAATTTTCTTTCCAGTGCATAAAAACTTCGGATGAAATCGATATGATGGGCTTGGTGATTCTTTCTTTCAAGGTCTCTCCGCCTGAGGGCGTTGCTTGGCCCCATGCATCAAGAACAATGCCTTGGCCCAGCCATGTAAGAGAGTCATCTCGACAAATCTGAACAGTCGTTGCGCCTCCGAATGAGTGCCCCATCATGGTGACTTTGCTGAGGAACATCCTATTCTTCCAGTCGTCCCAATCGACGCCGTTAAGTCCCATAGAACTAGAGCCTATGTTTCCTTTCTTTCTGAGGTTCACGGACGCAATGTCGCTACCGTGCCCAGAGTTTAATAATTCGAGAATATAAAAGGCTTCTTTGACTTCTTCTTGTCGTAGTTCAATCTGGGCTGACCTCAAGATACGATCGACACCTCTGCGGTTGTGTGGAGAAGTGTCCTGTGCATTATCTTTGGGCAGTATATAATCCATCACATAATATGGATTCAATCCCTTTTTCCTCTGACGTTGCACTTTTTTATCCCCGGCATGTTCATTTCCATCGTTATTGGTGTGTAATTCGGCAGTTGATGATTCGATAGCGGCGGCCTCAACATTGCTCGGAAGACTGACGTATGTCCTGGCACCACTGCCATCCCGATGCTCTATCGCTACAACGACAAATCCGTAGCTCGCCAGCTCTCCACATATTGAACTATAGCAAAGCCGTGAGCCGCCAAGTCCATGGCTAAATATTATAACGGGGAATCTCGGCCGACTTGTCGGATCCTCTTCTTCTTCTCGGGCTTTCTGTCCGGTCGGACCATTGTCTTTACGCGTGTCTTCCGGCCAGTGGGCAGCCATTTTAGCGTTTCGAAATGCAGGCAGTTTCGTGAATAAAGAGGTGCAGGCAAGGTAAGCAGTGACTGGAAGTGCTGGAATATGCAAATACTTGGCGTAGCCTTTGGCAGTTGCGGCTCGTGGTCGTGGCATCCAGTCGACACGGTGGGGCTTTTCGGCGCCATTGTGAGATTGTAAGTCGCATGGATAGTATATTCCCATGAGGACGGTATCTAGTCGAAGTACTGGCTTTCCATTTCTTTTGAGATTGGATACGGGCCGTGGTTCGCGAACTGGGACTTCGATATCCATATATCCAACATTGTACGGCCCATTATAGTGAGGAAGGCGATGCAAAAATAATTCTCTGAGTGTCTTCCGTGGTTTAACAGCTGCCCTCCGAGGAGACTCCGTGCTGGTGTCTGGAGGTGCTGTCATTGTTTAAGCCCAGTTGCTTTGGAGCACTTAGGGTTGCATAATACTATGATCTTTGTGGTGTGATACCGAAAGAAGAGATGAGGCGCAATGGCTGGGTTCAGCACGAGATATACTGTGGTGAGGCGATTTGCTTTGTTTCGTGACGTCAGAAATACTCTCGAAGCCAGAGCAAGCTTCTTTGCGGGTCTAGAATGATGCACATCGTCTCTGACACCTTCACATGCTAAATAGTGTTAAAAACATCGGAAAGTGTGTCAAAGGCATCGAGATGAACAGAGATCAACGTCAAAGCATTGATCAGATGACAAGAACAAAGAGTTTTTAATCGCATAGTGATTTGATGATGCCTGGTTGAATGAAACGCTTCATGGAAAACCCGGGCTTGAATCATTTTTTCTTTTTGTTAATATTCATCAAGTTCACTCCAATCTACTACAATTACATCGAGCATGCACACATGCTGTTGCGCTATTAGCTCATAAAAAGAGCTTCTATATCTTCAAATATTCTGCAACTACAAACAAAGTATCGAATTTCTCGCGTCCTTGGCTGAAACTAAGAGATTGGCTATCTGCTACCCAATATTCTGGAGATGCATCGGTCGTCGATCTGGAGCATGCGACTCGATGCGAGCAATAAACAAACTATGACGACATAGTGCAGCAACCACTTTAAGTTCCGTAGCGTGGCGTGCTGCAGATAAAATTACCGAGGCCGCAAACCAGTAAGAAGATGTAAACCTAGAGAGAGCAGACGCGATTTTGATTTGTGCTCTCGTATAGTCTGACTCTACTTAATACTTCTAAATGCAAAAGCAAATTAGCATTCATACTTTACAACTAAATCTCATCTCTATTAAAAATAATGTTCCAAGAGATGCCCTTTGAAGTCGCTTCGTTGTTTTTGTCCATTGTTCTGGTAGCGTGGGACCGTTTCAGTTCAAAGGGTGGATCCACAAAGGGCCAATAAGATCTCTTCGGCAAAGAAGCAAGCTCGAAAACACGGGCATCCGCTGACTCATCGCCGAAAGAATCGGATCACGTAATTATCCGGCAGGGCAGTCCCCGCTCACGTGATAGATACCGTCGCCCACAATCATTTGGCGAAATCCCCAAAAATCTCACCGCGCCACCGCAGACTCAGCGTCCACATCATCGCCAAACCAATCTATCACCATGGGTAAAGTTCACGGATCTCTTGCCCGTGCCGGTACGTGAAACCTCTACTAAACCATATCGCCTTTTGTTCTTCATTCGCTGACTTTCTTTTCATCCAGGCAAGGTCAAGTCTCAGACTCCTAAAGTACGACGCATCGACTCCCTTATCCCCGCTGACGAATCCGAAGACTGATGATTTTTCCCCCTACAGGTTGAGCCTCAGGAGAAGGCCAAGACCCCCAAGGGTCGTGCTCTCAAACGCCACAAGTACACCCGACGATTTGTCAACGTCACCCTGACCGGTGGCAAGCGGAAGGTAAAAACATTCAAGATTTACAGCATTATCCAGGACTTCGTTGCTGACGACGGAAATAGATGAACCCTAACCCCGGCTCATAAACAATTTTTCAACATGGCTAGGGAAAGAAGGATTTGAGGATTGACAACGGGGCCGTTCTCCGATGGTTGTTTTATTTCAGCATATAGGGAAATGGATTGAGTCGGGTCGATTGGCTGGCTGAGCATCATCCACAATTTGAGAGATGCGACGAAGCGCGACGACTGTACTCGGCGTCTGGTGTCGTTTGTCAATATAACGAAGATTCGTCCGCGACTACACACGTTCAGTTCATGATATTGCCAGTGATGTCCTTTTTATCCACTGCGACCACAACCGCTCCAACGACAATTGAGTTACGATGCCATTATTCCAATCCAGTTTGTGGAGTATTGGCCAGGATGATATTTCACGACGCTGGCGAAATTTGGCATTACAAGGCTTTGCTTTTCTGGCTGGGATTCGTATCCATCAAGTTGGCACGGAGACCGTATTATCTGCACCCATTGTCGTAGAAGTAAATGAGATGCTGTTCAGTACCAGCATTCCTAGGATAAAAACTCCATTTTAGTTAATCATTTGCAGCCCAAATGCTATGGTTCGTATGTTATGTAGATTCTTGCTGGCGATCTTGATCACGTGATGTGCGCGCTTCGCATCCAAACTTCTCTGCCCCGCGGTCTGTTAGCGGTGCCAGGTACTACCAAAGGTTCACTTCATCCATTCAAATCCCATTCGCCATACACGCGTTATTCCTCACCCAAGATGGCCGACGTAGATATGGAAGTTGATGACGCCGTGCCGTCATCCACGCGGAATGAGTCCGAAATGCAGACACATACCAAAGCAACTGCAGTCCGATCAATCGAGGGCTGGATTATCATCGTCACAAACGTCCACGAAGAGGCCGACGAAGAAGCCTTGCAAGACAAGTTTGGAGACTACGGAGAGATTAAGAACTTGCATCTCAATCTCGATAGACGTAGTGGCTACGTCAAGGTACGAAATCACGATGGCAGAGCAGATTTGGTAAATGGGGCAACTCGCTAATTCCTGTTCCACAGGGCTATGCTCTGATCGAATATGCGACACTGGAAGAAGCCCGAGCGGCGATTGATGGAGCACACGATACAAAACTGTTAGACCAGACGATCCAGGTGGACTTTGCCTTTGTCAGACCTCCTCCTGGTAAAGGCGCCAGGCAGGGTGGCGGCAGGCCTGGAGGCAGAAGAGGCCGCAGCCGAAGCAGGAGTCCGGACGCCAAGAGCAACGACGCATGAAAGATTCGAGAGATAATCAAGACAACAAGTATGCTGCCGATGTGATGACTCACAGTCACGACACGTCGGCATATATAATCTAATCCCGCGAGGTATGATTCTCAGAGGCCTAACGAAGCAGGTCCATAGCTTATTGAGTCTATTTAGGATGCCCGAGTCAAAGCTCGAAGCAAATTGGATCTCATTAACAGCATTATCAATGATCTATGATATTCAGCATCCCGGGCCGCTTGTCGAATTGTGGGCGTGGTAGTTTGCAAATTTGGGCTTCGCCTCCCGAACCGAGATGATACCTCAAGTCGGGAGAGCGCTGATTAGCCTCTAGATTCCCTGAGAAATACCAGGGGTTCTTGGCTCTAGAATAATATGATAATGAGCAGGCCTACGTATTTAGATGTGAGCTTCTTCTTAAGAATCCGAGATAGAAGATTACTTTACTTGCTTCAAGCAAACTGCATTACTTCAAGCATTTACCAAAAGTGCTGTGAACGACCGCTACCTATCTCTGAATCCTTGCGGCTGATATCATTTGCACTAAAGCAGAATGAGAGACAGTGTCCAAACTCCAAATCGAGGCAAAGCTATAGACACCTATGTAGTTGGCCACAAGATCAGCAGTAGTAGGTAGCCATGTGTATAGATATGGGTAAACCATCCGTGTCTTTTCTCGATGCTGCCCAATCTGTAGCTGCTCACAAGTACTCGCAGGTCTTAGTACTTCGAATGCCTCATGCTTCCAGGGCATGGGATTCCCCGCGCTCAGCAGAGCACTGGATTTCCCCACTACAGCAGCTGCCTCAGCACACCATAGGTCACCCACGCTAGATTCCAGGTAGGTTGCTAGCATGGAGGTACAAGCTTGTACCTGGCCTGGGTCGCAACTACAATCCTCGGTGACTTCATATCGTCAGGCACGAGTGCGACCGAGCTGACAATTTCAACGTCAATACCACAGGCCGCATGGCCATTGATTCGGCCGCGCCGCATTTTCCGTACGCAATTGAGCCTTAGAATATCCTCTCTTCCACGCGATGCGCCATTGAACCGACTGGCATGGCTCGCCAGGCGCACTTCGACTCTAGGATCATGCGCAAGCTCCTAGGCAAGGCAGCCCCGGACGCCACCAGCGGCGACCTTGCCAACAGCCAAGCGAACATCCCGACTATATTTCGTCCCTCAAAGTCGCAAAATGCCGTATACCCCGTGGGCAGCCCGATTTCGTGCCTTGATGTGACGCCCGATCACCGAGCCGTGGTGCTGGGCGGCCCTCACGTCCTTAAAACGATAGTGACGGATACATCTGGCGATTCCAACTTCGGCTTCAAGTTCACAGATGGCGTTGATTTGAGAGCGGCTATCACGGCGCAGAAGTCATCGGGCTCGGGCAACAACTTCATTGCAGATCAGCTCAACATTCGTGATGTCAAGTGGCAGGGCGCGTCGACGATATTTACGGCGTGTGCTGCTGGCAGAATCTTCGCCTACGACGTTGCCAGGCTTGGTTCTGGTGGTGTATCCGATGCCCCAGACTACATACAAATCCAGGAAGATACCCGACAGGTGCACAGTTTGGATGTAAATCCCCATCTTAAGAGCTGGCTGCTATCCGGAAGTCATGATGGAATGGTCCGTGTGTTTGATGTATCTGCTCCTTTGCAGACGCGAGCCGGCTTCTTAACTTTTCGCCAACGGTACTCAGGCATGAGGAATAATGAGCCCGTTAGGCAGGTGAAATGGTCGCCCAAGGTTGGTCATGAGCTCGCCTGCTGCACTGAATCTGGAGTCATCTTGAAATGGGACGTTCGGAATTCTTCCCGGCCTTTGCTAAGGATCAACGCTCACGAAAAATCTTGCTCTGCCATTGCGTGGCATTCTGATGGCATACATTTAATGAGTGCTGGCTGGGATGCGAAGCTACATGTGTGGGATTTTGGGGCGACCGCAGACAAGCGGCAGAAACCCAAGTGGAGCGTTACTACACCGGCACCTGTGACTACAATTGCCTGGCGGCCCGGCCTTTGGTCTGCGACTGCTCAGAATCGACGTCTTGCTCAGATCGCCGTGACGTATGACGAGACGAGTAATCGACGGTATGGCAGCTCAGTCGTTCATATCTGGGATCTGGCGAGGCCCGCGATGCCGTACAAGGAGATTGAGCGATTCGACAGTTCGCCGTTGGCACTTACATGGCTAGACCAAGACATGCTCTGGACTGTTGGACGGGACGGCATGTTTAACCAGTGCGATGTTGCATATGCTCCCAAAGTTATTGATCGCCAATCTACCTCTGCTATGGCATTTTCATCTCGAGGAGACGTAGTCATGTTTCTTGATGAACGACCACAACCTCCACGGCCGCATCCGTCTGTCTCTCATGATTCAGACGTGATACCCCGAACTCCGTTTAGCACGAGCCCCAATACCCCGATGCTTAGCGTCAGTCGAAGCGACTCAGAAGAAGACGTTCTAGGCAGCTTTTTGGGGCCTCGCAGGCGAACAATTCGCAAAAGGCGCCTCAGCACAAGGTCTGGTCTACCAATGAGCACTACTCCACCCTCTCTGCCCAACTTACCGGACGATGGGAAGCAAATTCTTGGCCTAGAGCAGTCCATCAACGTTACTGGTATCTTCAAGACCCAGCAGGGGATGGCATCTGGACACGTTCCAGCTGCAAAGTCCGTGAGCGTGTACCACTATCTTTCTAGCAACTACCTTGAAATACTCCAGAAAGAATTACCTCTGGAAGGTGGCGAAAAGTCACTAATTAAACGAGTGGCCGACATCATGGAACAATATGCTATGGCTGCTGAGAATGTCCGACAATACCGATTATCACAAACATGGCGTATTCTCGCTTATGCCATGTCACTCCTGCTAGAGAAACGAGCGGAATACCACTTGCGCCTTAGAACGGAGAAGTTCCGTAAGAGGAGCATTGACGAAGGAAAAGTCAATATTAAGAGGACAACAAGTCATATTCGCGTAAGCCATCTTGCTAATGGCGATGATTCGTCACGCAGGCCATCCGGTCAAGCTGGAAGCGTCGATGGGCGCCTGCCCATGGCGAGATCACTACTCGCAGAGGAAATAGAGAGCACTTCTAACGTGCCGACCCCCCTTGTGAGGCCGGTGGGCGAAGGCACAACTATTGAGTGGGACGAACGACACTTTCCCCATGGCAAGAAACTGACGCCCATCATCGAGCCTGAAAGCCTTAACTTGGGGCCTTCTGCTCATGGATCATATCGTCCAAGCCCTCGACAGCGTCATGATTCTGCGCCGATTTCAGAGATGAGCCATGATAGCGAGGCATCTAAAACTTCAATCACAGAAGGATATGATTTTTATGACACGGAAGCTCTGGCGCGAGCCATTGACGTGCCAATGACCAAGAATCCAGAAAAGACAAGCTGGGAGCATAGTGAAGCTGAAAAGCTTCGGCGAGTCAAGGCTATTCGACATGATTCAAACGATAGTTTTGCTCAAGTGTTTTCTGCCTCTGATAGCAGCGACCACACTTCACCGAGGGGAGATTCATTCAACGTCTCGAGCTCTTTGAGGCCCGAGTCGTTGAAAATCTCGGCAGTTGGCAACGAAATTGGTGTCAAATTTGCAAGTCAGGCTCATGAAGATGGCGAACAAAAGCCTCCGAGACAAACTCCGAAATCATCCAAAGACTCCACAGCAATGCCTCGGGCGGATTCGCCAGAAGAAATGTTCATGATCTCACAGACAACTGCCACAACCGATGATACTTATCCCTCTCAAACATCATTTGCCTCTCAAACAGAAGACTCAGAAGTTCATGAGGGCTTTGCTGGTCACCGTCCGACCCCATCAAATGAGATTACGATGGCGCGGCCTATCAGTCCTGTTCCAGTGGCTACCGCTCCCGAATATGACCCAAGTCCTCATATAGTCATAACTGATTACTTCCCTTGGCCAGAAGACGGCGCCTACCCCTTCCCTACTGATTCACCAGACTCGAAAACATTCAAAACGCCTAGTATGCCTGCTTGTCCGCTTGACCCCTATTCTCTCTTAAAACGCGCCTTGGAATTTGAGTCACGGACTTCTGCCCTCAACGCTTCTGCAATGGTACTTTTACTTAAACCGCTGATGCCTGAATATGTCGTCGACATCTATCAAGCAACCGCCATCTTACGACAGCACCACTCGCGCCTCATGGGAATGAGCCTTTTCGTCGAGGCTGCACTCTTGCGGAATCTAGCGATCAAAGGCTGGCCTGCTGGTCTGCCCGACTGGGGCGAAAACTATACCCCCTTGTTCCACCCAGCCCAACAGGGCGTCAAGGCAGGTTTCATGTGTTCAAACTGCCGCAAGCCCCGCGAAATCAACCGCAGCAATGGCGATTCTGCATTCTGGACGTGCGAGAAGTGCCGTCAGGTAGTCACCCCCTGCGCAGTCTGTGGTCACCGTGATGCCGAAATCGCCAGCTCGCTGCCTACCGAAGTCACCGATATCCCCAGCAAGGAGTCGTGGATGACGGCGTGGTGGTACTGTCCCAGCTGCTGCCACGGCGGCCACGCTTCGTGCATGCAAACTTGGCACGCCGCCCTCAACCCTTCCGAGGTAGCGTCCTCCTCGTCCTCGTCTTCTTCGCCAAACGTCTACAGCGATGGATGCTGCCCCGTCGACGGCTGCGGACATGCCTGTCTTCCCGGCAAATACAGGGGAGAGACAGCAACAGCCCGGTCAGAGGAGCTTATTACTCGCATGCGCGATGAGTTTGGGAAGACTAGCACTAGCAGGAGATCCAGTCCCGGGCGCTCAGGCCCCAGCAGTATGACCATGGATCGCAGCATCAGGAGCGATGCTAATGACGTGCCGCAGAGCAAGGCCGTCGGCATGGCGAGGGAAGCTTTGAACAAGGGCAGCGGCGGAGGGATTTTGAGTTCTAGCCCTGGACGGACCATGACTGGCGAGAGAGAGAGGAGGAAGAGTGTCAAGTTTGCAAGGACGGATCGCTAAGCTGAGCTCTTGAGATGGTAGAGTCAAGTCAAATTTCTTTTTAGCTCTAAGGATTTTCACGATAACATTCCTTATATCTGTGTCTTGAATGTTTCAGCAGGGTGTTGGGGAATTGTTACTAGGATGGGGTGAATGATAGGGGGCGCTCGCAGTTGGCAAAAGGCGAGATGTTGGGAGGTTTGGCGTGTTGATGATTGTTGCATGCACAAGCGAATATACATACTGTCGTTTAATGAGTGAACAGATATTTTTCGGATGAGCCGGGAGCTACGCCCCCTGATTCTCTATCAATTCATTCGCTTTTATATTTACGCTGATTCTTAAGTGAGATAGCTAATTGGTAGACCAGCAAAACGCCTAGGACATATTAAATTCTACTTTTTTCAACGTCGAGAGTACACGAATAGATCAATCCAGCGGTTCCAGAAGCGAAGCTCCAGCTGTTGATTCGTTAAGCATATACTTTCACCCTGCAATGTTCTCTCGGAGCCCCTTTGTCCTCAGAGAGAACTTAGCATCGCCAGTCGCAAACGGCAAGCCCAAGTCTCCATCAGGACTCCGCAGCATGTCAGCTGCATCGCCCCCGTTGCCATTACCATTACCATTACCATTGCCATTGCCATGCCCATTACTCTTAGCAATGGCATTCCTCAGCGCATCGGCATGCTGGCTCGTCGTAAGGTCGCTATCCGAGCTCCCTCGCCTGCTACCCGCAGCACTGCTTCCTTCTCCATCCAGCAGGGACGGCACAGCCGAGAGCCTCCCCTTAAGCCTCCCGACCCATAGGCCCCTGACGCCGCCCTTTTTGCGCGCGGGGACTTCTTCCGAGCCGGCGCTGCAGACGTAGAGGAGATACTTGAGGTTCGGCAGCGTGTGCCGGATGTCGACTACTTTGAGGCCCTGAGAAGTACATAGCGTTTCGATGTCCTTGTTGAGGAGGAACCAGGCGTATTCGAAGCGCCATTGCAGGGCGGTGGATCCACCTCGGGGGAGATAGAGCGGAAACTCCCTACGGGAACCGCCCTTTTCTGTAAGAAGGGAGATGTCATCCTTTGCATATGAGCGGGAGCCATGGTGATAAAGCGGATAAAGGAGTGGCTGAGACAGATAGAGTTGTAAGTGGCGCGTTAGCAGTGTGACCAGGCCCAGGCCGGCCGAAAGAACGTCTTCGTTTAGAGTCTTGGCAGTAGCGGCATCATATGTTGAGTTTGGTAGTGGTATGTTGCAGATTTGAAAGGAGAGAGGTGGTGCGTTGGGTACGGGAGTAATGGGAAAGATGTCGGCTAGCTCGGAGCATATGCGACGACGCTGGCCACGGATCTGCTGCTGTGTCTGCTCCAGCAGCTGTTTGGCCGCCATGAGTGTCTCACGATTATTTCTAATATCTTCGTCTACCTTTTCTTGAAGCTCTCTGCCTGTAGCAATTGCAGCCCTCCGCTTGCGCAGCGACTCCCGCAATTCGTCTCTTCTCGCTTGTGTAAGTCTATTGGTACGCTGTTGCATAGTAACATATTTTTGTGCCAAAGCAACCTCTTGCTCAGCCACATCCGGCGCATCAGTTGTAGAGCTATCAAGAATATCGTTTATCTGCTTCATGATTCGTTGTTGAGTTCGCATGGCGTCTTCGATCGAGCTCTCGAGGTTCGCCAGTTTCATCAATGCGTAATAAGACGAAGTCGCTATAGGAGGAGCGTTTCTCGGCCCTGATTCTCTGGTTGGAAAGTCAAAAGAGTAGACGCCATCCTCGAGGTGGAAAATGAGCGCATTCTGGGGATATTGGCGGTTCAGCAGCGTGCCAATGAACTTGAGCTCTCGGAGATCAACCAGCTCTTCAAGCAGGAATGTCCAGGTTGTCTGCTTCTGCCGCCTGGCCCACACTCGGATCACGAATTGGCACGATCTAGAGACAGGCGATCCTTGGGACGCCAATTCGAAGAATTGGAAGTTGAAGTTCTAGAGAAGACAATTAGAAAAAAGAAAGTCAGCGTCGGAGCCTCAGCGATCGGTAAAAAGTCCGTAGAGTCCGTGGCTCATACCGCCGATCTCTCGCGTGTTTCGCTAACGTAGACAGGCTCGTCGATGCCGTTGACGTGCAGCGAGAAGAAGGCGTCTCCCAAGGTATCGTCCAGGAGCTCTTTCAGCCGCTTATGCTTCAGAGCGGGACTCGTGCTGGCGGCGATCAAGCTCGTCCTACGCGGCGGCTGCGACCTCGATCTCTCGGGCCGCAGGGCATCCTGTCGCAAGTTGTCCGACGATCGTGATCCATGCAGCTGACCGGCCTCCTTCAGCGCGCCGAGCTTGTTAGTGCTCCTGTTGAGAGCGACATCGTCGGCGGTGCGCAGCTGCACGGGCTCAAACGACAGATTCCGCAGCGAGAGGCCCTTGAGGTGACGAAGCTTGCGGTTCTGCGGTAACAGACGCGGCCGGCGGGGTTCGGAAAGCGAGGGCATGAGTGCGAGGCGGAGATGATGCGGCTGGAAGCATGTCGTCAAGAAAGCATTGAACGAGGCTGGGGGCCAGCTCTTGCGACTGCGTTGCGCGCACTATGGGAGCATGTCAGGGCACAGCAGCTCTATTCGAGTGAAGTCGTCATTGGGTTGCGTCTTAGCTGGAATGGAGCGGGTGGGAAGCTCCGAGGCCCGCCTATATGCATAGATCGAACCAGCATTTTGGCGGGCGCTCAGAGATACCTAGCAGATACAAAGGTGTAGACCAAAGGCTACCATATTGAGCGAGGTACTTTTAGGTTCACTATGTACGGATATCTGCATAAGGGCAGGTGAGCTTGGAGTAACCAGCAGAAGATACAGGCAAAGTGACAATGGAAAGGAAAGATGACGAGGTGCATAGAGAATCACGCCGCTAAGAACAGATACTCGCAGCCTTGCATTTCTGTGCTGCGCAAGAAGTGAGACGCGTGTGTCACTATGCATACGTGCATGTGCATGCTGCAGCCTGAAGCTTGATCTCGCTACGACGACAGAATCAAAAGTAGACAAGGAATGATGAGACGAGGAAAGATTATATGGAGAGGACACTCAAAGTGTATAAAATCAACTAAATAAACAATAATAATCTGCTATGTAATATTTACCTTTTCATGTAATAGACAAGTAACTCAAAGCTGTCATTCTCATGAGGAGCACACACCCTAGTTATCTAGGAACTGTTTCCAATCCTCACATATTGGCAAAACAAAAATGCACCAACAATTATACAAAATAAGATAAACGCAAAGCTAGTCACAATACCTACAGAAATTAATTGGTACACATGGAAGCATTTTACTTCCAGGACTTCGTACTCGGTTTCTACGCAATTCTAATCCTACACAATATATTGCAGAGTACCACAAAAATAGACACTCGTTACATCGCGAAGAAGGGTGCTTATGTACAATGCAGAGAACCTTCAGTCGTGAGCGAATAAGACGTCCACTTTACATGTAAATTGCCACTTGCAGAGGCTAGCAGATAGCTCCTCGGGCATTTTCAGGTTATATTCTTCGCAGCTCCAACATTGACGCAGGTTTCATCCCCCAAACTTGTCCTCCGGAAACGCCCAAGCCTCCGGAACCACGCGGCCCCACAGACGGCCCCCGGATGGCACCCTCCACCAAGCACTCGGAGCCACAGATACAAACGCTGTAACAGACCAATCCAAAACCCAGGCCGGGGAATGCAGAGACTACTTATTACTCAGCTAGCCGGCCCATGTAGAAATCTCCAACGCTGATTCTAGGTGCTGGGCCCTCCTTTCATCACAAGTCCTGCGACCAAAGGAACGGGCCTAGCCGCAGGGTTCGAGATTCGTAATATCTTTACTTATTTTTTTTTTCCTGCAAAAATAAGTTCACTTACATGTGAAAACAGTCAAATCAGCTGCAAGCATAGAAAAGAGCACAGGCCAAGCTAGATTCTGCACCTATTGAAAGCAGAACTACATACCAATACTGGAGCTACATGGCATCTACCCTAAAACTTGGGCGTATTCTATCTCACTACCAAGGGGCAGAGGAACAAATTCACCACCGGAAGAGATTTGTTTTGAATGATTGAGACAGTTTGAAAGGAAGGTGATTCTCTTTGCTAGTCGCCTCTAGAGATTGTTATTAATCTAAAACCAACAAACAAGCATGCAAAAGTGCTTCTGAAGCTGTACCGTGCGCTCTAAATCTAAGCCCTGTCTAAAAAGCTGCAGTCATTTATCCACCGCATCCCTTTTCCCCTTTTTTGTGTGCCTGTGCCGTGATTTCACCGTAAAAGAAAAGCAAGTAGTACAAGAGCTCAAAGATAAGAGCAAGAAGCAAAAGCAGAACAGAAAAGGAAGAAAACAGAAAAGGAGAGCAAAGGTTATACGTGTTTAAGGCCCTCTGTGGAAACCATAAATCTGGGGAGATCGGATGCCTCCGCATCGACTGTCTGCTTGAACAGATTGGCTAGAGGCAGAAACAGCTCGTCGCCAGCCGGGGGGTCCAGCTCCTCTCCCTTTGCTTTCTTCTCTGCCTTCCTGGCTTCCGCTGCCTTGTCCATCTTCACCAGCTCCTCCGACGACATCCATGCCCACCACTTGCATTTCTTTGTTTCTAAAACCTGTAAGGAAATAGGGAAAAAATTCCTCAGCGTTAGCTCGCCAATTCTAACCTCACATCCTTGCAGCAACAGAAAGGGGGATTTTTGCTTTACCTCTGGCTTGGCATTAGGTTCAACCATGATGCAGATGACCCAGTTTGTGATGTAGTGTTTGAACTCGTCTTTGAACAAATCGTTGGTGACAGTGAGGAATTTTCCAAACTTGACGTCCAGACCCGTCTCTTCCTTTACCTCTCGCGCCGCAACCAGTTTGAGATCTTCTTCGCCAAAATCTATGTGGCCGCCTGGAGTCTGCACCGTGCCTGTATAATTATTGCCATATTCAGTCAGCAAAAGCCCCATAGCTCAACGTTGACTTTTTTGTTCCCCAGAGACAACGCTCTTGTTTCAAGCTCAAGTCTCTGTACTTCTAACAGCCTCAGAGACAGAGAATTCCACAAGAATCAGAAGGGGGGAAAAGAGATCTTACCTGCACCGTGGCTACCCATCCTCTCGCCGACGAGGAATTCGCCCTTTTCATTCTGGATAAGAACTGAGACACCAACTCTGACGTTTGGGCGGGCGTCTGGGATAGCTTTTGCGACGGCGAGTTGGACGTCTCTTGGGTAATTGTTCACGATGGAGGCTGTGAGAGCCTTGACGAGATCATCAGTAACCTTGGGATCCTTGAGAGAAGACATGGTATTTTTTCGTCGTCTTAACCCAAGCTTGATAGAGAGCAGTATCGATGAGAGGAGAGTCTACAGGTTGGTGTCGAACGATTTATCCCACTTTTGCGTTGATTCTTGCCATGAGTGAAATGCAGTGCAGTGCAGATGAGCGCGCCTTTTATAACACTATCGCCGCTCTACAGGTAGCGCTATGCACCGGATGGATCTTTGTTCAAATGCTCTGCATCAAGGCATACTTGGGCGCACAAGCAACATGTTAATGCACTCAACCCTCTGTCCGCTCGGAGTGCAGAACGGGCTGTGCACGCAATCCCGCCGGTGAACAAGGTGCAGACGGTCAACGAAAATGTCGCGCACTCAACAGTCACTGCCTGCTGCTTGGGTAGAGCTAATGGGAAAACGTCAAAAGGACTGGAGACGCGCGTGATGCGATTCCGCTTTGAGGGCCCTAGCCGCTTCTCCACCCGCGTGGCTGAGCGACGGCAAAGGGCCAGGTCCTCTGCTGCCTTCTGTAATACTCGACTTGACCTTGCTGCACAGCCCATTCACTGCATGAATCAAGTCCCTAGTAGCACATATATCATCCATGTGTTGGAAGCTGTTTCGCCGCTTGCCACACTCTATGTTTGCTTCCGTCAAATGCCGACTCAATCCTATCATTTTGAACACAGGCAGCCCAGGCCTACAGCGCATCGCTGGCACCAGACCAACCGCTGGATTCGACTGCCCACCTGAACACCATGGATGATGATCAACTGCCTGGTCCAAGCGAGGCAGCAGCTTCGAATCGACGCAACGGGAGAGATCAGCACCGACAGACGAGGAAAAGAATATGAGTAAACACTGTAGAGAGACGTTTTTGCTGCCCCGAGCCATGCCCTCACCGTTAGGCGTACAGAGGGCAAGTAATGCTAAGCTGTCTCGGCCAAAAACACCCGGTGAGACACGCAAGCCCTCTGGCAGAGGAAGAATTCCTTCGGCCCCAATCCTCCACGGCGAGAGGACGGAGATCATAGCCAGCTATTGCGCTACCCCGCGTCTAGCATTCCATTCTTTTATTATTCCATCTTTTTATATCGTTGTTCGTGTCCGTTGCTGTGCAGATCTTCTGTTTCGAGAAGATGATGCTCCAACCAGCCAAACTTTGCGCTTTCTGAGCATCATATATACATGACTGCAGAAAAGAATTAACACAGTAGTTTGTTGCATTACTTTAAGCATCAACTCGCCAACCGCCGCCCCTTTGCTTCTAGTGAGTGAGTCGTCTGCATGAATTCAGCCAAGATAATTCTAAGAATGGCGGGCAACAGACTGACCCCCTATTATTCGCCCTATCCCATCAGCTATTGGATCAGAATAGAAGCAATCTGATATCAAATAGGAAAATCAAGCATAGTAAACTACCCATGTTACATCCACTAGTATACTACATGGTAATTCGCCTTGTATGTGGGCGCCAATCCCACGTTCCTCAACATGCAGGAACAACGCGGAATCCTCAATCCATCTGAGGCAGCCTATCGATATGCCCTTGTGGTATTCGATAGCTGAGATCGGATACGACAGCTAGGATTGGATATGGACATACAAACAGGGAACCAAATGCCCTTGTACCTTGGACACTGGCCGGTTTCCACGGCAGACCAGCGAGAGCCCGAGACATCCAGGGGAATGTAGGCCCAACCAGTAGAGGGAACTCCCGCTTCCGCAGAGAAGCAAAGGGATGCACAGACGGCCCTGCAACTGCCGATCTGCATGTAAAGGACGGGAAGCAACAGCTTTTGTGGGCCATTTCGGAAAATATTCTGTTTGCCTTTTCGTCTAGCATAAGCAGAGCATCGGTCTAGTCGTGAACCGCACTACTTCCTACTTCTATAGATAAGTTGGTGCTTCCCAAAGAGCATATCAAGCATGGCCTTACCAAATTCAAGCTAGCGAATTGCACGTATTTACCCCTTGATTTGTCACTACAGACTGTCGAGTCGTATATCCTGTGCATATTGCAGACAGAAGTCTCGTAGCTGAGATACAGCTGAGGGGCGGGGCAGGATAGGAGGAAAGCAGAGAGGGAGGAAATGCTAAGAAAGCAAGAGACTCCTCACGAGTTGCACTACACAAAAAGACCTCATTCGATGGCCAACGAGAGCAAATTCTACTGCCAATACACTTACTGCCCATAAGTCGTCAACACGTTTCCAGGGCAAAAGCCTGGTTTGTCCAATAAGAAGGGATTTCGTCCAATAAGAAGGGGCAAGCCTGAAACCCCAAGCCCAATCCTGCTAAATGTCTTACAGTCCTTTGGGAGCAAAAACCCTGAAGCGGAAGCAGCAAAAATGCTTCATTTAAAGCTGGAATGCATCGCCGCTCATGTTGCTGGTTGCAGAGCGCATCAGCGCATCAACCTCTCCATCAGTCTCATTGCAAGAGTGGACTGGAACACAATCGCGGCGTGTTCGCGAGGGTGCTTAAATACACATCCACTTCTCTGCTCTTCAGAGGGTCGGTCAGATTGTGTTCTTTACATCTCACCACTCTTTCAATCTTTCATTCGTTTCTTTCTAGTTTAGTTCGTTCGTTTAAACACCAGAATGGTGCGGTCTCTTCGCCGCGGCCTCCTGACGGCAGCAGCCGTGTGGGCGGCATCGGCGATGGCCGGCAGTGAGCAGGACAGTCACGAGAGCGACAACAAGTGGCTGGCCTCGACTGTCGTCGTCACGAGCACTGCCTACGTCGACCTCAAGGACTATGAGCATAGGTGTACCCAAGGCCATTACGCCTGTGGTGTGCCTACCACTACAGCCTTCCCGGAGCAGAAGAACTGTCAGCAATGCCAGAAGGGCAAGCAAACGGCCTCGGGCAGCTGGAACACAGTAGCGGGTGCGTACAACAAGGACTCTGGCAGCTACAACAAGGATCCTAGCAGCTACAACAAGGATCCCAGCAGCTACAACAAGGATCCCAGCAGCTACAACACGGCGACCGGAGAGTGGAACAAAGAGTCCGGCAGCTACAATAAGGATTCTGGTAGCTACAACAAGGACTCTGGTAGCTACACCAAGAGCCCCGGCAGCTACAACAAGGACTCTGGTAGCTACACCAAGGACCCCGGCAGCTACAGCACGGCGACCGGAGGGTGGAACAAGGAGTCCGGCAGCTACAACAAGGACTCTGGTAGCTACACCAAGAGCCCCGGCGCCTACAACACAGCGACGGGCACGTGGGATAAGGACCCCAGCAGCGAGCACAAAGACTCTGGTAGCTATACTAAGAGCCCCGGCAGCTACAATAAGGACTCTGGTAGCTACACTAAGGACCCCGGCAGCTACAACACGGCGACCGGAGGGTGGAATAAGGAGTCTGGCAGCTACAACAAGGACCCTGCCAGCTACACCACGGCGACCGGAGGTTGGAACAAGGAGTCCGGCAGCTACAACAAGGACCCTGGTAGCTACACCAAGAGCCCCGGCACCTACAACACAGCGACGGGCACGTGGGATAAGGACCCCAGCAGCGAGCACAAAGACTCTGGGGCCTGGAACGAGGTCCCGGAGAACTCGGACAACAAGGGCTCTAAGGACTCGGGAAGCTGGAATAAGGACTCTGGCTCTTGGAACAAGGAGACCGGCACCTGGGAACAGGGCTCCGGCTCTGACCACGGCCCCAGCTCTTGGAATAAGGACACTGGTAACGGCTCCGGTTCTAATCACGACCCCAGCTCTGACCACAGCTCCAGCTCTAACCACGGCTCCAGCTCTGATCATGGCTCCGGCGCTTGGAACAAGGAGACCGGCACCTGGGAACAGGGCTCCGGCTCTGACCACAGCTCCGGCTCTAACCACGGCTCCAGCTCTAACCACGGCTCCAGCTCTGATCATGGCTCTAGCTCTGATCCCGAGGATGTCAAGGATGTCGAGCCCGAGTGCAGCGGGACCAAGCACTGCTTTGGCGATAGGATTTGCAAGGAGGGAAGATGCGCCGAGCGCGAGTGCACCGACAAGATTCGCTGCAGAGGCGACAAGGCTTGCAAGGAGGGAAGATGTGTGGAGCACGAATGCAGCGCGCAGAAACTCTGTAGGGGAGGATCAGAAGAGTGCAGAGACCACATCTGCTACACCAAATGTCCAAACGGGCTGGGCTGCAATGGACAGGAGATTTGTGACGGAGGCATCTGCATCAGGAAGAGATACTGCAACACCCTGAACGAGTGCCCAGGTGAAGACGTTTGCATTGGTGAGTACTGCCAGAAGCCCACGCAATGCAGGGAGGGAGAGCTTTGCAATGGTGAGAAGGTCTGTCGTAATCGCGAGTGCATTACCTGCAGCGCCACACTGTTGGGCAGGACGTGCCCATCTGGCTTTGATTGCCATCTTGACAGGTGCGTCAGGAGGTTTGCTTGCCGCAACGGTGACCTTTGCGATGCCAACCATGTCTGCCTCGGCAACGAGTGTGTAACTTGCGACAACTCAAGGAGGGCCAGGAATTGCCCTGCGGGTTTTGACTGCGTCGCCCAAAAATGCACCCCGATCCGATTCGACACAGGGGGCAATGGAAGATGCGTCAACGGTTTCCAGTGGTCCTACTACAAGTTGAACCGCGCAATCAGGGACACTGTAACCACCGTCGGCACCATCCCCTTCCGTGACATAGTGGCTGGCAACTGGCCCATCCTCAACTTCCAGCCAGACGTTGCTCTCAACGGCCAGAGGGCCAGGTACTCTGGCTTGACCCAGACGCTGGGCATCCAGACGACTTGCCCTCCTGAGCACGCCAGGGTATACGGAACCGATGCTGGAACCGGCATCGACTACAGCATCATCCAACACATTGGTTACTTCCGTCCCAAGGAAGCTGGCACCTACACGTTCCAAGTCGATGCTGGCATCAAGCAGGCCGTCTATGTGTGGCTGGGCCTACATGCTCGAGCGGGTTGGAAGAACATCAATGCCAATCTGATTGTCGACGGCAACACGCCTGCTGGACTCAACACTTGGTTGAGGGTTGTCTCCCCAAGGGAAGTTGGCCGGTACATTCCCATCCGTATCCTGTACGTCAACGCGCAGGACTGCGGTGGGTTTGGATTGACCGTCACTGGACCCAACAACAACATCCTCGTCACCAGGCAAAGGAATTCGGATGACGGAGAGTTCTTGTCCAACTGCATCGCCTCGGCAGACATTCCGGCAATCAGCTTTGACCCCATCTTCAACGTCGATCTAGGTCTCGGTCTGGGCAACGACGGCCTCGATGTCGGCATTGGGGTCAACCTTGGAGGCCTCGGCGTCAACGCTGGACTCAACGTTGGAGACACTGGCAACGTCGGCCAAGACATCGGTGGCAACCTCGGTGGCCTCGGTATCGCCCTTGGTAGTGGCAGTATCGGAGCGAACCAGAATGGAACGCTTCTCAACTTGACCGTCGGAGGCCTTGGAACGCCCCTGAATGGTTCCCTTCTCAATGTGACCGCTGGAGGCAACGGTATTGGCCTCGGGCTTAATGGCAGTGCCCTCGGATTGGGTAACCTTAACCTCACCCTCCCTATCCCCCTTCGAACTTGATTTTAGAGTCTAAGAGGGTCGAGGCGCAAAAAAATGTATTATTAGTTTAGGAGAGCTTTTTCATATTTTCCTTTTGTCTTTGAATTGAAGTAGATTAGTTAAACAGGACTCGCCCATCGTAACAGTGATGTCACCTTTGCTGAAGTGATTATGTTGATGTGCATTTTGATCAAGACCTTTCAAGAATTTTTCTGTGTCACATCATGTCCCAGAGATGTACAAGCTTCAATTGTACCATCAAGTCATCTTCGTAAGGCGATTGCATTGAATTTTCGCCTAACGATGGGGATGCGCATGCTTGACAGAACGCAAGATTGTGAAAATGTTCTTTCCATGTACTTGACGGATTGGCCAGTCAGCTCACAGGTACAATAGGATGGCTAAGCCAGCCGTTAGTGATTAAAGTTCACTATGCTTGGTGTTTGACGAAAGAAAAGAAAGGGGGGTGCGTCCTTTATTACAGTAAGCGAGTACATCTTCTCTTAATATTCTTCTAAGGGGGGGTGGTTTTGGACTTTTTCGTTATCATTTCACGGCATTTTTTAATCTCCCCCTAGGGCCTTATAAAACACACAGTCTCTTCATGGTGTACGCTATAGCCTGCCGCCGAAGTCGCCGTGATGTCTCCTGGAATTAACAGAAAAAGAATAACGTATATCAATTTCTCGCAAAGGTCGCCAAGCATAAGATAGCCAAATGTTTTGCCTCTGTATCTTTTTTTTTTCTCTTCGGTTTTGTGTGAACTTGGTTGAGGGTTCAAGAAGTTTCGACAAGAGAGTGTAAAAGCGCGGCGTATTATCTTGCGGCGGCTTACATGATGAATACCAGCTCCGTTCTTGTATATTCTTCTCTGAAATAGCCATTGTCTTTGTCTTTCTCTTTTTAAAGACTTTCATTCCATCATCTGTTTGATACTACCTCCGTCAATGTTGATAACCATGTTCCTTTATATATGGATGATGAAGACAATACCACTGGTGCATGCTGAAGGTCTGACCAAGAAACCAATTTCACAATTGTAGGCATTCCCCTCTATATTGGCCAGTAACATCCAGTCAATCAGTATATTTAACGGCTTTCTTTCTTTCTTTTTATACTCTCCCGTCATGGCATAGCGTACGAACAAGTCACTCCGGCATCCACCGTCATCGCCGTCCCCGTAATCCATCTCGCCTCATCGCTCGCCAGGAACCTCACCGCAGCGGCACAGTCCCAGGCATTTCCCTCTGTTTTCAACAAGCCTTGCCTGCGACGCTGGTCACGTATCTCGTCTGACATACCGTCGCCCGCAACCATGGGCGTATAGAGGAATCCTATAGTGACGAAAAAAGAAGAGTCAACACTTGAACACTCTCCATGTTAGTGGGTATAAGAGGGATGATGAAACAACAACAGCAGCAGCAGCAGTAATTATTATCTCATATGGGAGCAATTTCTTTCACTCGCTTCCAACGTACCTGGACACACGCAATTGACCCGTATACCTTCATGCCCGTGGTTATACGCCATCGCCCTCGTCATGTTCACAACCGCTCCCTTGCTCGTCGGATACAACAAATGCGGCGTGCCCCCCTGCAAACCCGCAATCGACGCCATGTTGACAATGCTCCCTCGGATGCCCCCATCGCCAGGCTCGTTCTTCAACATGAGCGGAATCGCGTACTTCGCCATGAGCACCATGCTCGTCACATTGATAGTCATTCCCCGATACCACTCGTCAACATCCGCGTCCACGGCCGTCCCCTCTGCACCCATGATCCCAACATTGTTGATCAGAATATCTAATCGCCCAAAATTTCTTTTTGCTGCCGTGACTACAGCCTCGCAGTCGTTCTCTGAGCTCACATCCGCACATATGAAGTCTGCTTTGCCCCCTTCTTGCACAATCATTTCCGCCGTGCGCTGTGCCTCGGTTAGGCCCAAGTCCGCGCAGAGCACTGTGGCGCCAGCTTCGGCGAGAAGGAGGGATGTTGCGCGCCCATTGCCGAGGCCGTCGCCGATACTGCCTGCGCCGGTGACGATGGCGACTTTGCCATCAAGTCGTTGCGAGGGCCGTGGTGGGAACACGGTAGATGGAGTCATGTTGCGACAATATCAGTATTAGGGAGACGCTATTCAAAGGACGATGCAAACAAATGAACACAGAGATCATAAGAGAAATGAGTGAATCTTATTTCTATACAATGTTTTCCCTGATCAAGTATCTCCATGTAAGATGGACGATCTGCTGCATTCATTCATCTAGTACAACCCCTCATCCGAGATGGAGTCAGCTGCAGCATAGTATCTGCATCTAAGTCGACGTGCCCCTCAGCAATGAGACATCCCGCAGTCTTTGCTTTCTAGCTACGAGGCTTCATGCTTCATCACTCCTCGTGAAAGACAAAAGCCTACCAAACCCACAAAAAGAGGCTGCATACACATAATTGATGCTTCATCTATTACACGGAAATGATTACTGCTCGTGAGCAGGAATTGCTCGCAATCCCTTGCAGTGATTAGCCAGCTTCATAATTGAAAATTGCTATGTTCCGGACATGTTCAAAGGCACTTTGGCCGAGTGGTCTAAGGCGCCGTGTTCAGGTATAACTCCAAGCAATTGGAGCATCCTATTCGCGGTCTAGAAATAGGCGAGGGTTCGAATCCCTCAGGTGTCAATTTTTGCTAGTTCGCGCTTGTCAATTTTTTTCCCTCCTGCCTCAGTAGCAGATTATTTGCTTATAGCATCCCCTAATAGACGATAATAATACCATGTATATAAATTGAGACTTGAATGCATTGCGTCCTATAGCAGTCTGTTGTATGATATAGAATTCAGTTCTATCAATGCATCGGAAAATAACCAAACCGCTCATCCCATAAAGAAACTTCCCCTTTCGTAGAGAAGAACCAAGGTGAAAGAAAAGTCAAACCCTTCCAAAACGCCAGTTTCTGCAAATGAAATATATACAGAATGTATCATGAATATGCAATGGTTGTATAATGTTGCGCTCACAGTTCATCTCTATCTAATTTCGGCAACTTGAATGTATAGCGCCTCGGTCGCGGAGGCAGACCGATCCAAGTACGATAGATTCTCGATGTCTCATCCGACAGAATTTCCCAGCTAGTAGCTCTGTTAGTGAGTGGTTTCCTTTTAAACCCGGTTTGTAATATTTTGTAGACTTACATCATTTTGGGGGTTCGAATCCAGCTCTTCAACACAATCTTCACTGCCTTCATGACGCGGGCAAGCTCTACGTCGAATTGGTCACTCACTGAAGCGTCAGGCCCAAGACGGCGCATCTTAATGAATTCATTCATGTCTTCGTCCTCCTCATCAACAAGCTGATAGACTTCTTCAGGTTTAGGTGGTTGCTCGCTAGATCCCTTATCGCGCAAGTCGATCATGGCTCTGAATTTGCCATTGGCCGCGAGTGATGAGCTGAGTCTGGCGTAGGTGTTGAACAATGCCACTAGCTCGGTCCTCTTCAACGACGGGGGTCTCTGATTCTCGTGAAATTCGAAGAGCACCTTCAAGGCCGTTCCATAGCCGCTCGTTTGGATCTTGCCCCAGAGACGGCACTTGTCGCAACCGACGCAGTCCATAACTCGGCTGATGTTGCGGAAACGATTACGGAAGTCTTCTTTGAGGGATGGGCCCTCGCCATTCACGAACATGACGCTTTCGTCAAAGATTTGAGGGACACTGGCCGCGTGCTGAGTAACAGCAGCGACTTTGTCTCGTGTGTCCTGATCCTGCAATAAGTCTCCCGCGCAGAACGTGTAATGCGGCCCAAGGACGTAGGGACCCAGCTTCGCAATGGCGCGAGTAACGAGGGCGTAGTTAAAGTACAAGTTGCTGATTCGGTCGGGGAACTTGTGCAGTCGGCTCTCGTAGCAAGCCAAGTTTGGCTGCCACTGTCCAGTGCTCTGGTTCAAGTAATCCCAGCACAGATGCGTGCTGATACTGGCATGCATGCCCGAGACAACTCGGTAGAATACTCGCTTTTCCAAGCATTCATCCTCGACCTCGTAGCCAGTGTTGGCAACAAAAGGAGTATCCGGGAAGCTCTGTCGCTGCTGCTGAAGCTGGGCTTGGCGCCCAGCAGAGTCCAGGACGTGTTTGAAATCCAAGGCAGCAGGCTCTGCTGGTGCATTCGAAACTCCCAGATCGGCAGATTTGGGGAATGAGCTCTTCTTGAAGCAGTTCTCCAAGTAAATGGCGTCCCAGACTGATTTGGCACTCTGGCCACTGTATCCGGTAAACCGCTCTGGGTTGTGTAGCAGGTTGATGTAGTCTCCATTGGATGTCGTGCCTTCGTCTTCGGGAATGCAGTAGTCTCTGTCGTCGCACTCGTCGTCATATTCCACCACGCAACTCTCCCCAACGTCTTCACCCAGTTTTCCTTGTAGCGGTCGGTCCGGATTCTGTTTCTGCATCTTCTTGCCGGGGTGCTTCGCTCGAGGGCCTTCCAGCTTGCTGAGTTCGCTGGCCCTCCAAATCTCGGGAATGTCCTCTTCGTTATCCAGGGTCTCGACGGCGCATGCGATGTTACCGCACATGCCATCTTCGTCGTTCCAGAACGGACATGTCTTGTGAAAGAGGTTCAGACGATAATGCGAAAAGAAGTCGGTCGTTTGAACGAGGTTGTCGACTGCAGGCTTCACCTTTGAATTGAGTCTATCGAGCGTGGCATACGAAACGCATCCATCGTCAATGATGGCGTTTGGCGAAAACTAGAGGCGACAGATTGTTAGCGCAAAGGCAACCTTGGAAACCGTGGTGAAGTTGGGATGCCATACAGGACAGGTGTCTGCAGAGCCGGAGCATGTTCCCGATGTCGCCAAGAGGGCAAACACGGAGAGATAAAACAGCTTGCTTGCAGACTTCATCTTCGACGCAGGAAGCCAAATTCTGTTGCGGCGGTACTATGTAGTTAATGTGTAGCCTGGAAGGCTGGCATCGCTCCAAGAAGCGAGGGACCGAAATAGCAGCGGAACGAATAGGAGATGTGCCTCTCCGAAATATCAAGGCTTTGAGGACTATTCAATTATAGCCCGATTGGAAGTCTCAACGAATGCGATACAAGCAAGAGTAAGAAAAATCGAAGAGCAAAAGAGGCTGACGTCTAATTGATAAAAAAAGAATGTTGACTTAAGCCTATCGCCAAGCCACAGCCAGTAAGTGCAACTTAGTCGGATCTGCAGCTTTCAAAGTCGTACCGCGGGAGGGGAGAGTAAAGGCCAGCAGCGAAGGGAATATGTAAAAACTTATATAGATTAAGGGAAAACAATGTCCGCAAAAATAGAAACAAGAAGCTGCGCCGGAGACTTTAGACAAGAGGACAAGTCTTCTGCTGACATATCATGAGATGTTCCTGAAACGGGAAAGATGCCACGCTGGCGATCTGGATACTGATTAGAAGCGAACTTTTTTTTTCTTCCTTTTTACTTTGCTACTGTACAGAGCCACGGCGTACCAAGTACCGGCCTAGCGGTGGCGCGGGGAAAGGACCAGAAGGTGGCCAGGGGGGCGTCTCGGGCGCTGAAGTGGACCAATGTGGGCGCTGGAAAACGCAGTTTTTGACGCCACTCACGCCAGACAAGTTCAGGGACCTTGAGGAATGTGCCAGAAAGGCCGCTGATATGGTAGTTGATGCTATTAGTGAAAAAACAGCCTTTCACTTTCATTACGAGCTGCATACGAATGTCCCTCCCAGCTGATCGGTGTCTAGTATGAGACACGCCTTGCATCTCTCCAAGTGAGACCATCCATGGCGCAGAAAAGGCAGAATCAGCCCACCCGACCAGCCGAGCATCGACTCCAGACGCCTTCCGCTTTGGGGGCATATCGGCCATGGCAGCAGCGTCACCTACCAGACTGGTGAGAAGATGCGCATTACTGCTTACATACATACAGCCGGCATCGAGTGTGCCCCGTATTCATCATTGGCATTCAGTGGTAGGTACTCAGTACATATTGGTCCAGTAGACGCAAATCTGCAAGGTTCTCTGGAGGTAGGGAACAGTTGATAACTTCTCTGATATCATCTTCTCTACTCCTGATATCGACATGTATACGCCTGATTCGTGGCGTGATATAGGGCAGTAGAGTTCAGTCCATCGTATATGAAAAGGATGAGTCCATGACCTTGCATAGAGGCCACGTAGACAACAAGACAATTTGACTCTCGAATTATGTCTTCAAACCAAATGGCATTATAATTACGCAGTGTGATCGATCTGCTCTGGACAATTGTCCTGGCTCTTCATAGAATGCTTGTGTTAAGCGCCCTTTTCGTTGTTCTCTCACATAGGAAGAAAGCTTTTAACCCTCGAATTATTCCACTGAGAGCGAGAGTTGTGCATTTATTACTATAGTACAGTGACATTGAACAAGCTTTCCCGCCCCAGTGATCAGGAATCATGTCTCAAAGCAGCCAGCCCTTTGGACACTGTCTGACACGGTGCCTCTCTCGACTCGGCCGTGGTTCGACTGCTAGAATATCTTCCGTATAAGTATATATGTATGTATATATTCCTAGACCATTCTTCAATTTCTTCAGCTACCTCTACACAAGGCTAACCAATCGCCTAATGCGCCCTTCCTGCAGTACCAGCATCTTCCCAAGTATCAACTCATTTGGCCAGCTTGCATTCAACCTGCAGGCATCTGTCTGGGAAGGCATGTAAACCATTGTAAACGACTGCCATCCCACTAAGCAGACGTTTGCACTTTCGGTACAGGCACCTGCGTGCCGTTCACAACCCAGACTCGAGAACAAAGCCATTGTGCAGCTCCGGATTGCCACAACAGACATTGAAGCGAGCGAGGGTGAGTGTTGGTGGTGTCATGAAGCAGCGCTCACCCATCTCGTAGCTTATTAACCCAACATTATTGTAGTATGCAGACCGTAAAAATCGTAATGGGACATTAAACAAAGGGACTCTTCATACATCATGAGTCGACGCGAGAAATTCGAAGTTATCGTATACAATTTGAGCGACGGTCTGTTCGCGCGTGGGCTCACTGCGGAGGTTGGTAGTCGAGAGGTCGCCTTTCAATCCATTAGACAGACATTTATCAGTAAATAGTGATAACACTCACTTGAAAAGAAGGATATGCGGCTCCGGCTCATGAACTTCGTAGTGCTCCCAGCCGAGACTCTAAGAAAGCTAGTGTCAGTTGATGTTGCATTGTTCGGTATCACTCTTCCTTCAGGTCGTGGAGTTTCGCGATGGGAAGGGGAAAAAAAGAATTATGCCCCTCACCTGTGTCATTCCCATGGCCCTCCATTCCTCTTCCCAGAGAAGTTTTAATGTGCCCTTGGCAGAATCGTGGTATTCTTTGGGAATTGCTTTGAGCATCAACTTCGGTAGCTGGACATGGCGATACTCGTATTCGTCGTCGTGATACCTGTTGGCTATTAGCTCTTCAATTCTCATAATCACTGCCTCAATATGCCCATTGACGAAGTTTCCCCTCCAGTCAAAGCCAACATTCGCAGCCATTATTAACCCACCTCTCTGAGTACCGAATAGCATCAATAAACTCTTCTAGTCGAGCCCGCTCCGAATCTGTCAAGGGCCGGGGGCTCTTGTTCCGTCGGCTCATGTCAATATCCATTGACGGCATGGTGTTATAGAGATTTGGGTGCTGCAGAAATCTTCCACCGCGTAGCGCGATCTGTTCGTTGATCGATGGTAAAGTTGGAGTACCGCGCCGGAAAACAGTTCTGCAGTCTATCCAATTGCTATTGGCTTCGTCTTAAGCTGTTTAAGAGACTGAAACACCGAATGGGATTCGGAAAAAAAAAATGGACAAGATAGGTTGTTGGCGGTGAAAATCGAATGCAGAGAAGCGCAGAGTCTCGATCGGTGCGTGCGAAAAAAGCTGCGGTCGAATCGAATCGAATGAATGGCGGGGTCGCGAGGCGCGTGAGTCACGAGGGACGTCGGTTTGCACAGAGGAAGGCGCGACAATAATGAGGAAGCAAGAAGGAATCGCGAACAAGCGGAAAGAAAACGGCACGAGATCTGGGGATGCGCTGGCGGAGGGGTTGAAGAAATAGGAAGAACGGGGGAGGTTTTGCGGTGGATCAAGTAAACAAATCCAGCGGTGCTTGCGACCAGACGATTCTCGAATCGAGCTGCGATATCCACTGGAGGGCCACTAATCGGCGCCACGGCCTGGGGGCCTAGGCTGTTGGCAGCCAGGGCGGCAAGTCGGTTGACCGGGATATAATTGACCGCCGCTTTTGCTATTGTGCACTTTTTGCTTATTCTGGGATTTTCCCTATTGTCTTTGCTCAGTTTTCATTTCATTCAGAATTGTATTGTTCCCATGGAGACGCATCGTGTGCCTCGCTGCATCTTGACTGTGGAGGAGCGGAAGCTGATCCTTGCCCACTGCGACTGGCATATATCAAGGACCTTTTGAACTTCTCAGCGCAAGTAACTGTTTTGCAACTTTCTCTATTGGATAACCTGTCGTACCCAAAGGAAAAACTATATGCTCCTATCCTGCAAGACATTACGCTAAGATGTATAACGGTTCCGATAATGAGGTGACAATAGCTTCTTCTACACCAGTGCGCAGTTGCTCTAAGACATTACATCTAGGCCCACATGCTGTAAGCAACGCTGCTGTCTAATGCTAAATAGTTCTTGATGCCTATAATAACATAAATGCAAAATGTGTAGCTATAAACATTCATAGCCCAAACAGCGAGTTTGACATGCCCTTTGAGGCCGCCGGTGTTGTACCCGTAGACAGTGGCAGATGGCTTACAACGTTACCAATCTTTACCTTGACACCAGGCACCTGAATCTTCCATGATTTGAGTGGCTGAAACTCGGCATCGTCAAACACTTGTACAGCTTTGCTAGATGCTTCATCTAGTTGAAGGTTCAGAGCCCATCCAATGGAAATGTGGAATGCTTCGTCAGCTGCATCTTTCCCTGGGCCCTGATATAGAACAGGCTGGCCGAACGACTCAACTGTGTCGTTGCATGTTTTCAACAAGCGCATAAGCTCCGGATTTGACAATGCCGTAGCGCTCTCTGAGGCCAAAGAGCTTGCTACCTGGAGAACAAGAAACGTGCGGTTTGAATCGGGTGATTTAAACCATATCAGTCTTTTGGGGCTGATTGAAAACTGATGCACACTACTTGTGTTGACGGCAGATGAGATCTGGTCAAGGAACTGGTCCTTATTGGCTGTGGTCAAGGAAATAGGCCTCGACAGGCTTATGTGGAGCGGCAATGGCGTCCCCAAATCGCTTGTGATGAAGCTGTGTAGCTTGATTTGGCAGCCAATGTCCTCATTGACTCTGCTTATCAACTGAGCCAGCTTCTCCTGCTGCTTAGCCAATGGATGCCCTGGAAATGCAAGCAGCATTAGCCTCACAGCCAAACCATGCTAGAGCCGGGCTGGCTTTACTTACACTCGACGTAGAGATGACTGGGCCAGTTGCCAACAATATGAGGAATCAGTCTCGTGCGGCCCTGATGCAGCGCCGGATCATCTACAACGCTGTGACGGACAGTGGACGCATACAGGTCGTGGAATGCCGAAGGCAGGGGTGGCAGGCTGGATTCGGAGCCTGACGGAGCGCTCGGAGGGCTGGGCTGAGACCCGGAGCCATCCCGCCTACGCCGTTTGGCCGGTGGTGCCGGCGCCTCTGGATTTTCGCTATCGGAACCCCCTGACGATGACGACGAGTAGTCGACAAGAGCCATTGACATGGGGCGCAGGTTGGAGAAGGAGAAGAGCTGTGGCAGAAGCCGGGGTGCTCAAGGCGACAGCATATCAAAAGGGGAAAAGAGAGAGAGAATTTGAAGCAGTCATACAGCTTATGCCTCGGTGGTATTGAATACGTGTAGATGGAAAGAAAATGTGAGCTTCCATGTAAACAAGCTGCCCAGGGTCGAAAGTAGGTACCAAATGTCTTGAATGACCGGCTCCCTTGCTCGAAACACAGATCTTCCCTTACATAAGCTACAGCTACTAGCTTTCCCGTTCCGAGCCACCGTATCCAGGCCGTCGGGCTGTCAGTCCCAAAATAGCTGAAGCTGCCTGTCTGCCTGTCTGTCTTGCTTCCCGAAAATGACGAGCGGGAAGGCTGACGCAACTGACGTAGATGAAACGTGATCGCATCTGTTTCTTATCTAGAACAGAGACGGACAAGACGCCTCTGGAGTTATTAAGTCATGTGCGTGTAAAAGTAAGAGCAACAGCTATTTGGGGAAGAGAAGACGATAAAAGCCACACTGGCGTGACGCAGACCCTTGTCAGATAACAAATGTTCCCGTTGCAGTGCGCTCGATTCCTAAATTTTTACGAGTGCAGGGAATATAGAGAGGGCTTGGCATGCTTGCGAAAAGTATGCGAGGAGAAAGTCAAGATGGCAGAAATCAAAAGGATTTCCGGGTAATTGATTAGCTGCTTAGAACGGGATAGACGGCGTGTGACAGAGCTGCATCATTGCATGTATCCATTGGGACATGTCTTGTGTTGAAAAGGTTGTTGGGTGATAAGACATGGGCCGGACATGGTTGAAAGAAGCAATGGCCGCGGGCGTGATCTCCGTACAGTGAGAACGGGCAAGAGCTGATTAGCGAGTATGTCCAATCACAAATATCTCGAAAGAAGTCATATATGTGGGCTGAATGTTAGTGATATACGCTTCAATAGCTGCCCAGGTCAATACATGTAAATAGTATCCTCATACTTGAATAGCATTCTGTGCTGTGATATGGGACCCTCACAAGCTACAACTTTAAAAATAGAGCTTTGGACGATGAAGCATTGATGCCGTTAAACTCTCACTGTGCGGCCTCGCTCACATGGCATGTTCCCCTCTTTCAATAAACGTTGCCCGCCAGGCCCAAAGCCAAAATCAAGCCCAACCACAGCTCCTGCGAATGGAGGCGTCTAGCTCCACGGCTCGCCATGGACTCCAACTCAAGCCAGTTACACCATCATGATACGCTTGATTCAGAATAATTGATGAGAAAATTTCACATGAAAGGCACGAGAAAAATTGCGGCGCCCAGCCATCGCGGCTCAGGAGCAAGTGTTCCAACATTAGTGCATCACGACGAACACGACTTCTTATACGCCAACCAAAAAACTCCCAGGCCCTTGTCTTGGTACTGCGAGACAGCCCCCAATAGGCTTTTCGGAATGGCATGCGGTGGACTCTTAGCACAGGTCAAAAAGCATGGCGTGGTTAGACTTGGTGCTACTGTAGGTCCCCTCAACGTAGGTCCCCTCAACTCAACATATGAGCCAAACATGGCACACACACTTTACCGCAACTAGCAGCGGCATGGCCTCGACCTCGCCACTTTGCCCGACTTGGGTCTCCTTGGTAGTTTTGCATGTCATGCCTAATGTGGTTGTCGTTTTCACCTCTTGGCGCTCTCACCGGAGAATTTTACAAAAGAGGTGCCTGCAGCTGACGCGTGGATGTGACCACAATAGCTTCTCGCACTTTGTAACGGTCTGCGACTCGACTCAGTTTAAATAGCTCCCGCTACCCCATCTACCCTAAGAGGCTTTTCTCCTGTCAATCGCCTTCTCTTGCAAATCCAGTCTTCTCGTTTGACTTGTAACTTGTCTTTGATACTGGCTTGTTGCGACTTGCTGCTTTGTTGGCAGTACACCTTCTCATTCGCTTTTTCTCGTATTGAGAGCCGTGCAGCTACTGCTCACCAATAAGCCAAAGTCGAGTACATATTGGCAACACGGCATCTTTTCGTACAACAATACCAGCAGACTAATCAAGCAGTCTGCTCTTCTCTCGCTTTGAAGCTATAACCACGCTTTTATCAGAAGCGTCCAGGAAAAGACGAGCTCGGGACGAATTGGTGTTGCGTCTCTCGTTTATCCAGTTTTCCCCTCTCGCCGTCACGTCCGGACGTTCCGTCTATTGGTCGAGTCCACATTTAGGAAAACCACACGAGTTCCATCGGCTGCGATATTCTATTTTTCACATTCTCGTCCTCGTCTGCCAAAATGGATGACCATTTAGATAAAGAATGGGTAAGTGCAAGTTTGCTGCAATTTACAGCCCTCTCTTACTGTCCTCCGTCGACACCATCTTCACGATCCTCCTTATCCGCTCCATCACCGATCTGCCGTCCATCATTCGTGCCCTGCCAAGCAAAAGCTGCTCCTCTATCATCGTCGCAAATGCCTTTCGTCACCTGCAGTTGATCCGCGCCGATCGCAAACCAGGGTCATCCCAAGAGCGAACCCTGAACGACGCAGCCAGGCCAGGATCCCGGATCCCGCCCGCCCACCGAGCCTGGAGCGCTGCGTTGCGTCACCAATTCGGCGTCAGCGGGTCGTGGAGAGCGCAAGAAGGGTTCAGGTGGACCTGCGCCGATCGGATGATGCTGCTTGGCTCAGCAGGCTTGACGCTGCTCTCATTGTGCCTTATTTGCTGCTTATTGTTCGAATCGGCAAGGCGATCGAGCCCTTCTCTTTTCGCTGCTCTTCCCTCAAAGCTTCCTGCAGCGTCCCCTGTTAATTAACCCGCAAGCCATTTCGTCATTCCCCACTTCCCACGCCGTATATCAAGACGCTTTGGTCTCCATCGCATGGCAGCTTCCAGTTACATTGCAATCAATTAAATCCAGCACGTCAATTGCGTGTCATCACACGAGGAAACTCTAAATAACTGACACGCTTTCACTCAGGCCCGAAAGTATATTTTGGACCCTCTCACTGCTCCTGAGCCACATCAAGAAACTGGACTTGGATCCTCTCACTTTAACCACTATCGCGCATCTCTGCAAGCTCAATCGTCTTCACAACAACAACAACATCACCAGGATTCAAACCCAAACTATCGCTTCAAAGATAAATCCATGACACTCTCCGGCGACACAATGCAACCAGAAATGAGTGACCAAACCGATAAATATCCCACACCACCCCAATCAGGGAGCCCAAACCGAAAGTTCCACCCGTCAAATCCATTTGCCTCAACAGAAGGATCAGCCGACATGGTCGAAGATAAGACACTCATCTCTCCGCCTGATTCTCCTGACGCAGACCGCGCGACAAGAGCGCATCAACGCCAATCATCAATGAATAGCTCTTCGCCGACTCATCGACGAGGCCCTCGTTCAGATCCCGGTCACGGTCCCAGCCGCAGCCGTTCTCTCCACGAGCGCTTCCCCGGAGACTTGTCCCCAAGGCCCCTTGATGTCATTAGGAACGATGCCCGGGCTGCTGAAAAGCCGCATCGCCATCGGAAACGCATCTCCGATGTCGATCAGATTGATGCCCTCGATACCATCGGCGGCACATATCACCATGGCGGACCGTACGATGCTACGCTCATCAGCCGCAATCTGAACAAGAAGTATTCGCCAGTCGCCGCAGTCCAGGACTCAAACATGGAGACTCTGCGAGCTACACCTCGGGAATACATCATCGACAGCTTGGAACGCCATCTGCCCCTTCAAGGGACTGCGACCGTTCCTTCTGGAAGCAGAGATATCTCTGGCAGAAGGATGAGCTACGAAGAAGGCCCCGACCTTATGCGGGAACCAGATGCCCCTGGTGGCGCGTTCAAGCGCTGGGATCATATGGTATTACCACCCTCCTTTCTTCCTCTGCCAGAAGAGACTCTGAAGAAATGCTTACACAAATTTAGAAATACCACCCCGACGACCTCAAAGGAAAGGGAGAGCCTTCTTATACCTTTGAAAAGGACCTGAAGGAAAAGAAGCGCGCCCAAAGAGGCGAGCCCGATGAGATTGAAATGCAGTCCGGCCTATACAGTCGCAGCGGTCCATCCAAGCACCAGCGCAGCATCAGCATTGCTTTCCGCGACAACTCTTCGTCTAGCGGCAACGCCTATAACAACAGTGACTTGCAGCGCCGGAACTCTACCGGCAAAAAGCTGAGCAACGGTTTGAAGCGACGATGGGGCAGTCTCCGTGAGAAAACAAAGGCATTGGTCGAGTAAGCTCAATGAAAGTTGAGCTCTCACAAAATGGGAAATGCCTACAGTACGTTGTGTATATGTTTTACTATGTTTTTCTCTAAGGAAAGGCCAAGGATTTTTATATGGATATGATTTCAATACGGCGTATCAAGGGCATGAGATTGGTTCCAAAGGTATCAATTGTGTGGGATCATATGTATTATAGAGCGCTGGATGGCAGCAGGTTATTTTTTGGTCGGGCGGGATTAAATAAATTCGTCCCAAGTAAAGTTTGAATGAAAACAATCGATTGGGTTCTTATTTAACAGATATTGTAACTCGGGACATGCTAAGATATGTATCATCATTGCTCTTTGTAGTTCCAAGTACGTCCCAAAGTTTACATTCCATGGCTATATGGTATGCTATATGATATGCTGTCAAGACCATTTTCCCATCGTAGCCAAGTGCCAAGTTTCAACGCGTAAGCTATATTCCAACCAGCTACCATCTGTATTCATCTCAAATATACGCAAGCCCGGTCCATCCCAACACAGCCTCCAAATCCTCCCTCAACTCCATCACGCTATCATATCCGCCCCTGCTCGCCACCTCGGCCCTCTTCGCGGCGCCCAGCTCATTCCACCGAGTCAAGATGGCGCCGTCGACAATAGCGCGGCCAGACGCGGCAGTTTCGACGCCGACCATACGCGACATGCCGCCTCCACCCTCGGGAGCGCGGTGTGCTCTGGCGTGCAGGCCGCCGTGGGGGACGAGGGCCGGTAAGAGCTGGTTTGTGACGGAGAGGAGCCGCCTGTATGCCGATTCGGGGAGGGGCGTCAGAGCGGCTAGAGAGCCTGATGGGGAGGCGAGGAGGAGGATGTGAGGCTGTGGGGTGGAAGAGTCTTGTGAGGCCGCGGCGGATTGGGACGCGGGAAGAGTGCGTGGGAGGAGGAGAGTAGATGTGGGAGGGCTGGGGGTTACGCTGAAGGTGGTGCGGTGAAGCAAGAGATGGCCCTGAAGGGATTTGGGATCTTTGAATAGAAAAGTCAGCATTCGTCAAGCGAAATGGGGGTAAAGAAACTTACGTTCTGGGTTGAATTCGAGAACATGGATATCGCCATCCGCATCCACAGCAACCATGGACAAATCTTCACCATCTGGGAGAAAATCTGCCACCAGCAGTGGCAAGGACCCGCTACTCTTGCCGAGCACCTTGAAAGTATACGGCTCCTCGGTGTATCCAGCAAACCACAATCCCTTAAATGCGTCTGCTATCAGACACAAGCCGGTGCCGGGCAATTCCCGTGCCGATGCTACGTGGCAGCTCATGTCTAGGAAAGCTACGGGAAGTAATGAGCCATCTTCCTTTAGACCACGCACCATGCATTTCTGGCCTTGCGCCATCAGCATGAGGCCTTGAGTGCCAATTTCAGACAAAGCCGTCACGCCGCCGCGGGGGATATCCTCTTTGGCCAGAAGCTTGAGTCTCTTGTTCGTCTCTGGTTTTCCCGGCTCGGGAATGACGGTTACAATGTCGTAAACCTGTACGCGGCCTCGGGTGGGGAGATCTTCGCCCCTTGTCAGGGCAGTGCCCACTGCCAGAAGCATTCTGCGTTCCTTTGTCTCCTCTGATACTTCGAGATGCAAGGTCTTCATGCATTCAATGGACTCGCCGGGCTCCATGTCGATTGAGTGAATAACAGTCCATGTGACGGGGCTGATGAGCTTGAGGCTTCCCCTGACTGTTGAAGGCTGGAAGGAGAGCGATTCTTTGGCCCACTCCTTGTGATAATCGTCATCCTTTGGCAGCTCAAAGCTTTCAGTCACAGCGCAGCCCGCTATATACGTTTCAGTGGGATGATGATAGGCAACGTGGCGGACGTCGTTTCCTAATGGGACCTTCTTAACCGAGACGCCCAGCTCTGTAAAATTAGTTTTGCTCGGCAGCTGTGTAACTCTAGCAATGCCCTCGGAATCTGAGTAGATGAAACCCCTATCGCAGCCTTCGGTGTTGAAAGTGCTCATGCCGCGAACACCAAGGCCTTGAACTCCAATCACTCTGGGAACGCTTTTGCTGCTCTTCAATACGAACGCTGGCGAAGGTCCCGGGAGGAACACGGTACTGTAGCCTCCCACATTTGCGCAGATTCTCAGGGGAACATAGCGTGGCTGCTGTGCGGTGTCGTCTAATGAATCCTCTACGGTGCTCTTGGCTAAGGCAGAATTCGCCGATTTTTTGAAGAAGAGGGTGTCCGATAAGGTGTGAGTAGCTGAATCAGTGGGCAGGCGAATGGGCTCGTAAATGGTGAGATCATCGGTAGAGTGACGCAGCTAGCGTATCTTCTTGTTAGCTGTCGTCAATAATTGATAGCAGAAGGATCCATACAATCAGATAAGGAGAACAGTAGACGGTATCTCCAAGGTCTGCCACGACGAGTTCCGTCAGGGCTTCTCGTGAGGCTACTTTCTTGGCCACATAATCGGCTGAGAGATGGTGGGGTATGGATGAGAGTCCCTCAGCTACATAGACAGGCTTTGAGAGATCCGGCAATGCGTATATCTGTAATGGTTAGCTTGTCGTGCTGGTATTTTTAAGCCTTCCTAGGCAAGTGCCGCTTACATGCAGAGCTCCAGCGGTATTGAGCAAGAACATCATGACCTCTTCACCTGGTTTCTTGGCTTGATCGCTCTGATTTGCCTGAAAGACGCCCTTGGTATCCTTGTATATGCACCCCGCCGCCCACTTTGTGGATGTAAGACCACTATCGGTCTTCTCAATCTCCTCAATCTCATTGTTGCTGTCGATTTGTGCGAGGAAAACACTTGCATCGTCACGAATGATGAGCAAGTAGGGGTCAACGATACTTGCACTGACGGCACGGGGTTCCGCGCCGGTTTCTTCGTCAAGCATGGGTAAAATCTGGATCAAGCCCAGATCTGGATATCAATTAGCAGACGCACTACGATCTTGGGCGTCATTCAACTTACCTCCGTTGTAGCACCGAACTTCCGATTTGAGCACCTGGATCACTACCATTTGATTTCCCATTGTGCCAGCCTCAACCGTAAATCCAGCAGCCGGCTCAAATTCCGTCTCTTTCAGCGTCTCAAAGCCCGCAGCTGTGAGTGCATATACGTCAGAGGTTTCGTAGCCATCCAGATCGACCTTGGCAACAATCATGAACTTGTCATGCTGAATAGGAGTGTCGTAATCGCCCGCTACCCCGGCATTCGTGCCCAGTGATTTCGGAACTGGTTTCTTTACACACATCGTCCAAAACCCTCTGGCTTCCGGAAACTCGAATCGGCCAATAACTTTGGGTTGGATCTCCCGGTTGATAACTGCGATAGAGCCTGCTTCTCCACGCCCAACAGCACAAGCAAGCTGCAAGTCAGCCGAGACCCCTTTATTTAGAGCGGCTTCTTCGCTATCTGGCAAAAAGGCGGATTGTCCACATGCGATGTCTTGAATCGGTGCAATACTGAGTAAAGTGTCGTGTATTCGAAAAGATATATCCCCGGATTTGACCGATCCCCCGTTGGCCGTTTGGTTGGGTTTAGTGATAGCAGAGTCATCTCCGTATAAGTCATCGTCCTCTTCATCGTCCTCAAGGTCAAGGTCATCCACATCCAAAGCTAAATCTGTGTCGAGCAGTCGAGATTTCCTGCGCTTTTCTTGCGTCTGCTTTCTCGACCATCCTAGCACGACTGAATCGCTCGTTTCACTCCCCAGGAAGAACGCATTCTTGCCTAGTCGAGAAATACATGTGATTCTACTCTTGATGATATCGCCACCGCAATCTGCGCCCACCAGCTTGACGCCAAGACCAGATACCGTTCGTCCATCAATCTTGAAAGAGACTATGCCCAGTCGACCATCGTTTAATATTAAAAGTAACTCGCCATTTTCGATGGCGAGCAACTCAATAGCACAGCTTTCAAGGCGCAAATTCAGGTCTGATTGGTCGGTCAAGTTAAAGGATGTTGCCAGCTTGGCCATAGGATTGACAGCCACGCCATTTGCTTTTCCAGATTGGTCAACATGGATCAGCTCATTCTGCCCAACCAGTAAAGCACCGCCAACAGGAGCAGGCAGTGCGATGACTTTGTAAAGATCGTGCGGCAGGCCAGTCACTGATAAAATGGTTGTCGATGCTCTCTGTTGTAGGTCTAGAGTAAACACTTTGTACGATAGGTGGTCTTTTGAGCCTAGTGAAGAAGCAGGCGCTTGACTGGAAGAGAGGACACCGAATGTGGGCTCGCGATACTCATGCAGAAAAGTGAGGTGTACAGGGTGAAGCAGGCTCGGGTCTAGGAGGGGCAGACGCAAGACAAAAGACGGGGTATAAGCTGCATCTACATTGTTGCCCTCTCCGTTGGTAGCTGCGGTATGTTCTTTAACTGGCCGAGGCCCGTCTAGATCCTCGTCCCAGTCCTCCATCTCCAGATCCTCTTCAGAGCGAGTAAACGGCAGAATGGCAAGGTTTCGAGTGCCGAATTTGAATGCGGCACATCTACTACCAGGGTCTGCCTCAAGGTAGTTAACATACTCCCCAAAGACTTCCTCCCATGGTGATCCCTGCAGCTCTTCCTTCTCATAATAGTGGATGGAGATGGTCTCCAGCTCGTTCTTCTTCGGATCCCATTCGGCCAGACACATCTTGGCCGCCTTGTATGCCAGCAACAGAGCCTCACCCCCCGATGCGGTGTTTTTGGTCTTCATCCTTGCCAGCCCAATGACAGTTCCTGCGAGTGGAATCTCTGCGATGAGCACCAACTTCGTATTGTTCGTCCGATCGGTTCGCATAAACATCGACTCGCCGCCGAGGAAGGAGGATTCGAGGCCATCGTCATCATTTACCTGGCGGTCAAACCGCGTATCCGTCTCAGTCGGTTGGCTGGGCTGGAATTCGGGGTCAAGCTCGGCCGAGATAGCCTTGACCGTGAAGATCTGTAGCAGAGAGCCCTTTGCGACCACCAAGTTGTTCGCGGTAGCAGATGTTAGAGGTAAGCTCAGGCATTGCGTAACGGCTGTGGGAGCCGTGAGCTCTGTGTAAACTTGCATTGCTGCAAGAGCAATTCCTCCGCCGTCTGACGGGCGCGATTAAGTGTTGCTGCTATCAATCAGAACGAGGCTTGTCGCAAAACAATTTCCGTTGAGGTGGGTATGTGCTATCCGGGGAGCTGTGTTGAGGCCGGCAGTGGCTTCCATAGCGGATCAACGCGCTGCCGTGCCGGGCTGCTAACAAACAGACATGTGCTGGCGCCGGCTGTACCGAATACTCTAAACTTAGGCGACAGCACTGTTGCAGCGCGGAGTAGCCAATACCCGGCCTTCCTTAGGCTACCCCTTCAGATGCTGTTGTGGGGTTTTCAGCTCTAGCTCAGGCACCAGATGTGCCTGAAGGAGCTCTAGAACGGGGAGTGCATGCGCTGAGACAGCTCGTGATGCTGCCATTGCGTCACAATCCAGAGAAAGACAACGCCCGCCACGCGTTTCGAAAGAAACAACACTGAACGTTTACAACAACCCCATGCCAGACCCATCAAACTGAATTTTGCTCGCCATCAAGGAATCATCAAAATTAGCACGAATAGCGGTTGAATCACAAAATTGCCCACCATGGCCGACGCAGGCCACGTCCAAGCCGGTTTAATATGGCTGGCGTATGCGGTAGCCATCTTGCTATGCCTCGGGGCTGCGATTATCACGACATTCACGTGGCAAACGCCTATCGATCGTTCAGCTATGGTCAGCATAGTGGCCGTCGTCAGTCTGACATCTCTTCTCGCGACTGTCTTGCTTCTTCCCGTCGACATCGCCCTAGTTTCATCCACAGGGTCCTCGAGCCTAGGCGCCAAGAAAGATTGGGCCACGCCAAAACGAGTCGCAGATATTCTCTTGACTCTCAAGATTGTGTACTACTCGCTTTATAGCTTTGATGCTCTTCTCTGCCTTTTGGTGATTCCGTTTGCATACTTTTGGTATGAGGAATACGATGAGGTTGCTTTCGAGGAGGAGGGCCGCACGTGGAAGGGCCGCTTTTGGGCTGCCACCAAGTATACGCTATTCTTCGTTACCCTCACCATCGTCCTCTTCCTTCTAGGATTCTTCGTCCCTGCAGCTGGTGGCAGTAAGGGTCACTGGGATCTTGATTATTACAAAGGTCTACTGTCTCAAAATCATGGCGAGAAGGCGCTTACTTTTGCTCTTGGACTTTTGGTAACGCTGGGAACCTTTCTCTATGTTATTTACACCAGCGCAGGACTTGCTCTCATGCCAGTCTCTTTCATCAAATCAGCGCCCCCAATTTCCGCGCCACAGCTTTCAGCTACCACAGCTTCACAGCTCGAGCAAAATCGAGAGCGCCAGCGCCAACTTGAGCTGCGTAATGCAGGCCGCGAAGATGGCATGCCACGCAAGGATAGAAGGGAACTGGATGCACTCGTCAGAGAGGAACAGACGTTGGTTCGGCGCGAACGCCTTGCTGCCGAGGCACTGGGCGAAGGAAAGAGTCGAGTATATCAGATTTGGCTCAAACTGTGCGCCCTCGTCAGACCAATTAAGATGCTTGGTGGGATCTTACTCTTGATTCTCGCAATTGTGATCTGGATATCCATGTTCATCACAGGCATCGACAAGGCCAAGAACTCGATCTGCAAGCAGCGTTGTGGTTACATCCTTGGCCAAGTTCACATCTTCCAGCCAATGAATTGGATCTTTGTGAAGGCTGCCAAGGCATTCCCTGTCGATTACATCTTGATGGCTTCACTGGTCCTCATTCTCTTCAGCAGTTCCATTTCCGGTATTGCTGCCGTCGGTATACGGTTCCTTTGGATCCGAATCTTCCAGATCCGAAGAGGCAGAACAGCCCCGCAGGCCCTTCTCATTGCGACGGTCATGCTCTCGCTTATCACCTTGGCTATCAATTATGCCATCGCCATGTTTGTGGCTCCGCAGTACTCGTTTTACGGAACCCAGACGTTTTGCACAAACGAGCCCGCGTATCCTGGAGCCCAGCCTAATTGCAAGCACCACCCAGAGTTAATTCGCCCTTGTTCCGACGCTCTACACTACAAGCATGCCAAAGACGTGTGCACACCATCTATGATGTCTACCTTTTTGAATCGCATTACCATTACTTGGCCACTTTTCGGTCTCATTGATTTCTGGGCACAATATGTGTTTATGGGCATTTTCCTCATCGTCTTCATCGCGGCACTGGTGCGCACTCCCAGAGTAAATATGGCTGAGATTGATGAGTTTGCCGAGGCCGATGAGGAGGAAAGCCTTCTTGCTTCGACCAGCCGCCGGTTCGGCGCGACTTGGCAGGACGTTAGGGGACAGCCTGAGCAGTCCAATGGAAACTCAAGGAATGGGCCCGTACTGATTCGAGGTTCACGGCCACCAGGCAATTAATCAGGCCATCAATCTTACAGAGCCCCCCCTGTTTTTGTGTGTGTGATTTATAGTTATGGATTAGGGTTGGGAAATTGGGCGACTCAGATTGTCTTTGATGGGAAACGGAAATTGGTTTCGGGTTATGGTATTGCACGACTTGGACATGGGAAGTTCGGAGTCAACATTGGCGAACACTCCATTATTAATCTGTTCTTATTCCGGGAAAGGCGTGTAGTACAAGTTGCTTTAGTTGAGAGACGCCCAGCCCGAGAGACTCTTCGCAAACATGCCGGCCTGTCTCACTTTATTTTTTAGTTTAATGATATTATGATCATGTCTTTTGTCTTTAAACCTTACTTTAAAGAAATTTCAAGCTCCTAGCGCTACTCTTCGTTGGTCCTTTTTCCTTGCTCTTGTGAACTGTACGGCTTTATGGCTTCTGTCGTCAAACGCAGCTGCTGGCCCGATATGCATCTCCCTCCAACAGCGCGTGCAGTAAGGATCATCATCACAGCCCAAACAGCGTAGCGTGGCGTCATTAAGACAGACGGTGCACCAGCTATCGATATCGTCATCCGTGTAATCTGTCTTGCTAGTAAGTCGTTTGACAGGTTTGTCACCTGCAGAAGGCTTGGAACTAGGTACAGAAGGAAGAGAAAAGGAGTCGTCGGTGGTGGGAGCTCGGAGAGCGGCCATGCGAGCCGCTATGTCGTCCATATCGGCTGTAGCGCCAGCTCGTCCGGGAGATGAAGCTGAAAGATTGTCGAGATTGGAGGGGAGTGAAGGAATGACAAAGTCTATACCGGCAGGCCCAGTGTCTCCATCGTCATTCTGGTTTTCTTCCTGGTTTTGATCTGTAGACTCGGCTTCATCGTCATCGGCTGTATTTCTTAGGGTGGCCTCGAGCTCTATTTCATCTTTGAGCCTGGCGATGACGTCGTTTGCTTTCGTCTGCATATGCTCGCCATCGGAGTCGTCTGAATCCTCAGCAGTCTCTTTCTCCTGCCCTCCTTCATCTGCGTTATCTTTCGGTACAGACAGCGATAGTTCTTCCAATAGCGCTCTAACTTGCTCATCGCTGGGCTCCGTCACCAGATTCTCATCAACACTAACATCGCCAAGCAGCTCCTCTAACGTTTGATCATCTGTCGAGAACATAAAGTCCGCATCATCGCCATCTTCCAGTTCGGCTGGCTTCTGCTTCTCTTTGAGTACCATATTTCCAGCCTTGGTGGGCCTTGATTCTGATGACGATGACGGGGGTATCACACTGGTAGCGGTCTTCTCCGTTTCGAGAGACTTCCGTCCTGGTGATGAGGTTGAGCCGCCATCCTGGGCTCGGAGGGACTTTAACCGAGCGGCGAGTGTATCTTCCCTGGTTGCTGGTTTGGACCTCTCAATCACATCTACACTGAACCTGCAAAACTTTTAGCATTCATTTCTGCTTTCGTTCGCCGAGAGGATGCCTAGCGGCTGGAATATTTCTCGTACGTTATCGGGGCTGCTTGACTTGATGCGCCGGAGCTTGAACCCCGCAGCGCTTGTAGACGCTCTAACAGCGACTTGTCTACATCACCGGGCATTGTACAAGCAAATTATTGAAAGGTTTGTTGTTGTTTCTTTTTCAAGAAAGAAAAACATACGGGTAGTATTTCTTTGAAAACCCAAGCACTTTATCATATGCGCCCATGTGAGGTGATTAAAGTCAAAAGCATGATCAATCAGCACGCAAGCCCCAGCGCGCAAAGTCACGCGCCAGGCCGATGCTTTACTTAAGCGTCTCTGCTACTAAATTGCTTGTCGCCTTACAGAGGTTCAAAATGCCTTCCATTCTTAATCTTTCTGTCTATTCTTCCGCTTTTTCGCATCTTCGTAGCTATAGCGGTGAAAGAAATAAAATGCTAATTTAAAGACACCCTTTACAGAGTGCCACATATCTATGATCTTTAGCAGCAAAGCATCTTAGCTTCGGAAGTAGATTGGAGGTGACGACAGAGCCTTGAGATACGCCTTGAATAGCCTAAACGACGAGCCCGCCGCATGCTACCTAAATCCTCCAATAAATGCTCCAATGGCAGCAATGTGACATGCACTCCGCATGCATCCAGCTCAGCTTACATTAAGCTTATTGGCAAGACTACGTAACAATCCGCCAACAGGGAAGAAACTTGGTGTCGTGTAAATGCATGACGATAACGATCGCCACCCATTCATCCGTCCATATCCGAGCATCATGATGATTATTGAGCACCACCTGGCAAGCATCGCCTCCCTCAGTGGCCAGCCGCCACGGATTTGACGGAGGGATTTCATCACCTGCATGAAATAGAGTAAAGAGCACTGCCACCTTTTAATGAACTTTATAGTCATTACATTCAATGTTGGGTATTTACTCTAAAGCCGCCCTAAAACCGCCCCTAAACTTTTGGCTGCTATGGATTCCAAATCCTCAGCCCAACGCCCCAAATCCCCAGCAATGGCCGAAGCGCAAAAGCACTGCCCAACACAAACTGCAATCTCAAATAAGCATCTACCGTGAAATGAAAGCCCAAAGAAGCGCCAAGCCCATATCGTCAAATTAATTTTGGAGCCCATCAAGCGTGGTGCTCGGTATTCGTAAAGACTGTTCGACATGAATGTTGAGAAAGAAAAGTTCGATAATCGTGAAAGAAACATTAACGTAAGCAAAGTAAAGTAGGAGTTCTGATCGGTGACGGCGACGTAGTCTTAAGCCAAGAAGACAGTTACAAGCACAGCAGCGACAGCAGGCCAGAGGCCAATCATTTGAGCCATAGTTCTGATGCTGGTTGCGCTTGAAGCATTGGGGTCGTCGGCTGTCGTGCCGTTCGGTAGAGAACCGTTGATAAGAAGGCTGTTGGTGCCATTGACCTTTGCAACATTGACGACGCTCTTGTTGAGGGCATCGTAGCTTCCGTTTCCGACAAGGCTAACGAAATAATCGGTGCTGTTGTTGTCGTCGCAGCTACAAACATCGTATGTGCCACATCCACAAAGGACGTTCAGGGTCTCATTCCGGTTGCTGGATTCATTGTGGAAGTGGTATGGCTGGTGGTATGGGTACAGGTAGGCACCGTACAGCCAGACTCCAGGCCAGAAGGCGAGAGCAGCCGCGCCTCCCAGGAGCGCAAAGGGGAGGATGCCTCCTACGGGGCTTCGAGAACCGGCGGTGTAAGGAGTTCTCGCGCCACCGCCGTAGAACTGGCCGCCGCCGTATTGTGGTTTGGGTCCGCTTCCTCCACGAGTTGAGCCACCGACGTTGGAGCTGGGAGATCGATTTCCACTGTGGTGATGGTTAGGTCGCTTGTGCATATGGGGCGGCAGGAAGAAGTTGGAGTACTTAGAAGACCCAGAGTGCCCAGATGATCCAGGGCGTCCGGGACGTTCAGAGTGTCCATCCTAGGGGGAAACATACGAACTGCCAGAGCTTCCAGAGCTTCCAGAGCCACCTTTACCACTGCTGCCACTGCCACCGCTTCCACTGCTACCGCTTCCGCCACTGCTTCCGCCTTTTCCACCACTGCTTCCTCCTCCTCCTCTTCCACCACCGCCGCCACCGCCCTTGCGCTTGAACAGATCGTGCTCATCAGATTGAGAGGTGCCCTCTACTCTGACCACATGTCGAGGGCCACCGATAGTGCTGGCGATGACAGTAGCCAAGAGAGTAGCTAGCAAGAGGGTGAGATTGAATCTCATGGTGCAAAGCGATAGCGATGCTGACAGAGATATAAAGCGACGCGACCAGTATGGGTAGATGCAAGGTCAAGAAAACTAACAAAAGACGAAACAGCACCGGAGCTTTTGGCCAAGACCCAGGCTATATAGAAGGGAGGGACACTACTGATGGCCGAATTTGATTTAAGCGGCTTGGCATCACAAAGGAAAGCCCAGACCAGGTTCGGGGCAGGTTTGGGGCAGCCGGAGTTCACAAACGGCCGGCACGCGCCAAAACGGTCAGTGCAAGCACCATTACGTCGAGACCCAGCCACCGGGCTTTAGGGAGCGCCACGCAGCTGCTAGAAAAGGCACATGCAGTGAATGAGTCGCAACTTTAGTTCTGCTTGGCTGAGCTTGGGCGCGCCAATTTCTACTCCGAACGGCAGGTTACATGCCGCTCTGTGCCTTGCGTCAGGGCTTGAGCTTTGGCCGCCTCGCTGGCAGCCTTGCCGGCAGCCTTGCAGGCTCTGTTATCTTCATGTTCAACGCCATCAATAGATCAATGTACCATATAACATCGGTGCTTAGCGGTCCTTGGCAGAGGTGCGCAGCGCTCAAGCTTTGAAGCTTATACCATGTCGTGGCGATACAGCAGCTGAGCGTACCTGTGGAATACGCTCGCTCTTCTTAGTCTTACTGCATGCGCTAGGTAGGAAACAATTTGAAATACTACCAAGCCGGGGACAGAAAAACAGGGAATGCGAGGATTTCGAGCACTCGGAGCAAGACCATGCACATACAACAGCCAATGTTAAGTATTAGCGTTAAAGGTGCTGATGTTATTATTTTATACGCACGTATTCAATTTGCGGTTACTGTTTTTCTGTTTCCTGCTTGATCATCAACTCCAACCACGTCAAGAATAGTAAGCACTTATACAAATCGAAGGCGGTGTAGATGCCTTTACCGCATCTTAGAACAACGAAGAGAGCCTAGTAAGTCCGATGGAATATTCCTGAACGAGAGAAAGGCTTTATCTGTATTTGCAGATCTGTAAGGTCCACCCACGCGCGCGTGCATTAGCTTCACACCTTATAACACCCTATTTGGCGACTCGATTTCTAGAACAATATCGGACAGTTTTGGCACCTGCGCAGCGCTGAACCTGAAAAAAATTGGTCCTAACTCCAAGACTGCAACACCATTGCGCAGCATGTAAAAACAAGGAACATATCCTTAGAGGCCGAAACATGTCAGAGATGCCTCCGCCTTCCCCCTCTTGCTTTATGTTCATGGTCGCTAGCTAATAAAGATGCTAAGGACTTTACACGTTCTAGTATTCCCTTCTTTGTATTGACTGTGCAGGGTTTACTAACCAAATTCAATTTACGATGGAGTGGCAAAGATATGACGGCAAAACCGTCGCATCAGCCAGCCTTCGCATCATGGAAACGATCAACCTATGGCTGTGTAAGTACAACAAGGATGGGAACAAAAGGTTTTCCGCGTGGCGTAATTTCTGGATTTTTCCGGCTGGATACACAGATAAAGTACTGATTCCAATGTGAAAACTTTGTTCAAAGCTGTCTAGTAGCGAGAGCTTTGAGAGTTCCCAATCGGTTAGTTTCTACTTGGTACGGTCACTTGTTTATACTTTGTTCAGCGAAACACCTGAGCATAAGTGGATCATCTGGGCTGGAGTCTTTCTCGTTTGCCTTTCAATCGTAGAGTTTATGGACATGTGGGCTCATCAACGCAGCTCAATACCTACTAGCTTTATCAGAAATCTGGCCGCAAGATAAACCATTTCTGAATTTATTATTCTCTCTCTGGTCAGAAGTATAACAAAACTAATATTTGGTGTCTAAGGGAGCCAAGTAAGATCCAGATTAGCACGAATCCACTCCTGCTCTCTATTACCTAGTTCAGAATTAAAAACCAAGAACAGTAATCATGTGAAGAAACAGCACATAAAGAATTATAGAATGCATAGTAGAGAAAGGCATCATACTTACTGTAAACTCCAAACTTCTTATTGCAGCACTAGTACTAACTCATTGCCAGTCTCACCAGTACCTATTGCTGTCTCTCATCCGTTTGCAAAGCGGCACTGCTTTTAGGCTGAAACACGTGCGCACGGACCCACATTAGATGACTAAGCGATTTCGCATCTTCTGCCGGAGAGCCATCTCCAAACAACGTTCAAGCCAGCTCAGCCGATGCTCACTTTCAGCTTCTAGGAAGCTATTTTATCCGCACCCAGCCCTACTAGATCTCTCAACCGCAGAAGCTGTACGACCGACATCTCAACCCACGAAAGGCATGATTTAGGCCCTTCAAATCCCATAAACCTCTCGGAGGACGCTTTGAGGGGAGGTGGCGCGTCGCGATCATGCCTGACGATATCGAATTTTCGTCCTTTGACGAGAATGACTGGAAAGCCCAAGATGCCGCCGACGAACGCGAGATTGCGCGGCTCCTAGATCAAGGCCAAAATGGCGCCAGCGGTGGACTGAAGATAGACGATACGCCCTTCGATCAAACCAATAAAGCAGACGACGCAGAAGATTTTGAGGATATCAGCGACGACGACCTTCCCGATGAAGAAGAACCCAGCGCAGGCACCTCGCTCGAGGTACCTGGGTTGACGGACGATGGAAACACAAGCAACGATGCGGATGATCTCTTTGGAGAAGGACCCTCTTCTCCCATCGACCCTATTGATGGCCCAGCTTCACCCGGTCCCCACGTCCATGACGCCGAGGCAGCCGATGATTCGCAGGCCATCAGCTCAGGCATCAGTTTCGGAGCTATCAACTTCGACCCCGATCCCCATGTCAATGGCGCGGCTAACCAGGATCCCGACATTCCTGCTCCTGCCGAATCGATTGGGGACCTTCTCAAGGCAACATGGCCAGCGTACAAAAAGGGCCATATCCTTACCTGGAGTGAGCTTTTGCCGGCGAAGAAAGCGACATGGAAGGAGAAGAAGCCGTTAAAGAAACCAAAGTATCTTGTCACGAGCAAGCTGAGCCTCGACTTGGCTCCTGATGATGAAAAGCTATTTCGCATCCCTGGGCCGGCAAGTTCAGCTACAAAGGCAAAATCGCATGAAGCGGCGGTCAATGGTCTTGTCCACTGCAATTTTGTGAGCGATAGCCGCGAGGAGGATGCTGCGCAATTTGACATCGACCCTGACTCCGACGCTGAAACTGTCATGGGCTTCACGCTGCGTGACATTGAATTAGCATGTGAAGATTGGAACGTCCATATTGACAGCGTCGAGAAGAACTTTGCGGCCCAACAGCTGGCTGCAGAGCAGGCAACGTTATCACAAAAACGCCACATTGAGGAAGTCGAGCAAGATGATGAATGGGACGCTGAATTTTTAATGGATATTGCGGACGATCCTCAGCCCCATCAGAAGAAGCGCAAAGCAATCAAGCTCGGTTTACCAGAGATTCCCCGCTACACTGCGCCTTCATTCGATAACTTTGAAGATGCCACTCGACGGGGCGCAAAGCGCGTCCATTTGGATACCACTGATCCATATCTTCTGTTGGAGACTGAGTCATATAACCCTAATAAAAGACCGCGGCAAGAGGCCAAGATGAAGCGCATGGCAAACGGCAATATGGGCCGAGATGTTTCTCAGCGTTTCAATCTCTCCAATGATGAGGCGTATGAACTTTTGAAAGAAAACCACCAAAGCAAAGTTCGGGCCACGCTTGGAAACATTTCTGTTGAGCATGGTATGCCCGCTCTGAAGCTTTCATGGCCTTACTACAAGGTCAAACTGGGTGGGACGACAGATGAGTATCATCGTCCCCGCTTTCGTTACAAGAAAAGCGTGGGGCATACTGTCAGGTTCGAGAAGCCTCTACATTTTAAGCGAAAGCAGATGAAGGGCAAAGCGCATGAGATTTTCCTCAAATCGAGGGATCTGAGTCTCTGCGACAATTCTGCGGCCGTGCTATTCGAATATTGCGAGCCAAGACCCAGAGTGCTGAATGGCTTCGCCATGGGTAGCCGGCTCATCAATTACTACAGGAGAAAGGAAAACAGCAATGAGGAGGATCAGCTCGCGAAGCTGGAGTTGGGCGAATATCGCACGCTTCTTCCTGAAGATCGGTCGCCATTCTCACTTTTTGGAACTGTCGATCCGGGTGAGGTGGTACCAACACTGCACAATGAGATGTATAGAGCGCCAGTCTTTAAACATACTCCTCGTAATACGGATTTTCTCATTGTTCGCAGTACTACTGGCATTGGTGGCGCCAAATGGTACATACATAAAATTGATCACATGCATGTCGTCGGCCAGACATTTCCATCAGTCGATGTCCCTGGACCCCACAGCAGACGGGTAACAAATGCATCAAAAAGCCGAATGAAGATGCTGGCTTTCAGAATGATCAGACACAGTCGATCGGACAACTGTCAGCTATCCGACATTACTAAGCATATTGCGGAGTCTACAGACACTCAAAATCGACAGAAGCTGAAGGAATTCCTTCAATATGACAGAGACAGCAAAGAGAAAGGAATGTGGCGCCTCAAGCCTGGAGAGATACTCCCAGACGAGAACGCGATTCGTGCAATGATCAAACCTGAAGAAGTCTGCCTTCTTGATGCTATGCAGCTCGGCATCAAGGAGCTTGAGGATGCCGGCTATGATCCTCGCAATGCTACCATTGATGATGACGCGCAAGGCGTCGAAGTCGATGAGGATGAGGATGATGACGGTGAAGGAAGCAAAATCGTCAAAGGAGCCAAAAAGGTTGCGGAAAAACAAGAAGAGACACTCGCCGATAAAATGGCTCCGTGGAAGACGACCAAAGCGTTCATTGACGCATGTGCCCAGAAAGCTATGCTTCAATTGCACGGCGAAGGAGACCCTACTGGCCATGGGCTTGGTTTCAGCTTCATCCGAACATCCATGAAGGGTGGTTACATAGAAGCCGTTCAGGGACCACTAGCCACCTCGGCAGACGCAATGGAACGCGAGAAACGTGCAAATGGCGGGCATGCTTACAACG